AAGGGGAAATGTCTGTGCGTGTTATGGAGGAAATGCCTACGGGTGGCATGCCTACGGATTTTCCTCCTCTAAAAACTATGTGCGTGTTATGGTCGCGTGCGTGTTATAGAGCGAAAAATACGGTACTTCTGTTTCCCATACTGTGCTTTCTTCTTTTTTTCCAATCTAATAAAGCCCTTGATTAGTTGCATCAGATGTGCTTGAGACAACACCCAGTGTTTTTTTCTCTCAGCAGGTACTCAAGGGTACTAAGTACCAGCACCTCTTTTTTGTTGTTAAAAAGTGTGGCACTTACTGTGACAACTTCCTGGTGAGTACTAGAACCTATTTTTCTAGAAAGAAAAACACTGACAACACCTGTTGTATTTGTGCTGTTGTGAGGGGTTCTATTCAGGGGGTGAAATAATACCATATTTACGTGAACTGAACGCGTCATCAAATCTAATGGGCACCTCAATTTTCAAAACACTGAAACCAAAAATGTATTTGCTGGCGAATGTAAATGTGTCATCAAATCTAATGCGCACTCTAATTTTATGAAGTAATTTGGCCAAAAAAGTGTGCGTTACATTCGAGTAAATATGGTAGTTAGACTGGAGAAGCCAGTATAAGTCGCAATTTCAGCTGAATTTGGAGAAACCACTTGAAGCATCTATTGTGTTGAGCTATTTCAATTGCTTTTGTTCCGATTTGCTCATTTCTGTTGCTCCGTGTGGGTCATTTTCATTTTTTTAACAATAGCTTCTTTTTGTTTATATTTGACTAATTACATTTTGTTTACATTTCAGTTTTCTGTAATGACTAGTCAGGGTTTACCTTTCCAATATGATGTTGGAAGAAGAAGCACTTACACGGGGCGTGGCCAAGATGTGCAAGTTGATAACATCAAAGCATATATTTGCCAACCTCCTTCCAACACGGACAAAGCTGTGATTGTGATTCATGACATATATGGATGGCAATTCCCAGATACCAGATACGTTGCTGATATGGTCGCAGCTAAAGGATACATGTGAGCAATTGGTTCTTTTTAACCTTCCTCAATCTCTATGTTATGGTTGCAAGGCCAGAAATTTGACCTGGCTTGTGATTTTCACACAGAAAAGTTATCCGTCACCTCTTGTCTGAATGTCTTCCTGAAAGGCATTAGTCTCATTAAAAAACGTACATTAAGAAATATTACCTGAAATGTGGGCACTTAATGCATTGTTTTCACAACAGATCTGGAAATAAAATGGCTTACAAATAAAGAATTTGATGGGTTGTGATAGGAATTTTGAGGTCTTGATATATGGTAAAGTTCATAAGTATACTAACCAAGCACATACATTGATCAGCACAGGAAGACCAACCTGAAACCATTTTGATTCCTAAACTGAGCAAATGTTTTTTTCTGCAAGGTCAAAGTGGGAAACTTCCCCATTGCCTCTTTCCTCACAAATCTTGTCTTAAGGGCACATTCCTGTCTTAAGGGCACATTTAAGATATGAATAGGGTGTGAGCCTGTGACCTGGCCCAGGAACTAAGTATTTATCATTACAAAAGACAAGCCAGGCTTCCCAGGCAATCCAATCAAGTAACCTGCCAGACAGGAGATAAACAGTGACAGGAGAAAAACAACATTCAAATTTCTGTTTTAGACCGCCTTTTCTGTGATGTAGGTATGATGTATATGGGGGGTGGTCTTAGGTTACACCCCTTCTGTGATGTATGTATGATGTATGGAGGGGTGGTCTTGAGCTCCAGGGCAGGGAATTTAAAATGTCTATATATATGGCCTTGTGCGCTATTGTTCGGGGTTCCTCCTCCCTCCTGCGATGTGGTGAGTGAGGACCCTGTTGCAACAGATCAATAAAGATCAGGCTTACTAGCTGCTTTGCTTCTCAATATTCTCTGGTTGGCCTCTGTTGTTTTCTCCTACCAATAGGGAACCTATGTAAGGACTCTATATGGGCTCTTAGATACCCCATAAGGGAAAAGGGCAGATTTTTGTTTACAACAGGGTTCAGCAGGGCTTTTCATAGCAGTGCTGCATAATCCTGTCCCTTCCTCAGAGAAAGTGAGTTCCAGTCGGTGGTGAAGCTGGGCTTTGCTGGGGGCCTTGACCAGCAAAGGTCCACTTCAAACACCACCACAACACTGTTTTCACCTAGCACAGGGTTTGCAAAAAGTTCAAAGATACGGTGTTATGTACTGAGTTGAATAGGATCCAAAAGGCAGCAGTCTGATTGGTCCTAGAACAATAGGATCCAAAATGCAGCAGTCTGATTGGTCCTAGAACAATGCAGCAGTATGATTGGTCTGCAGGAGCCACCCAATCCAGCTCCAGATGGAAGTGAATCCACAATCTGATTGGCCTACAGGAGAATTCTGGAATTAGCCAATCACGTGCAGCCCATTGTGTAAATAATGTATATAAAGCAGATACTTTGGGGAAACTTTCATTCCTCCTCACCACTATGAGCTGAATAAAGAGAATGAAATCCACTCTCGACTCCAAGGATATTTCAGATACTGTGAGGGAGCTCTCTGCTTATATGCTCTTCTGGGTGAAGGGGTCCCACTGAGGATATTTCCCCCAATAACTACTAGACTACTAATATCCATGCTAAACATATAGCAAAGCACTGAGTTAGGTGCAGAGTCTAGATATGAAGGGTTTAGCAACAGACAGAGCCAATTGGAGGGTGACTCAGGAGGGCCTTATCCACAGGGCCCTCATTTTTTTGGCATTCGGCAAGTTTCACAACTTGTTTTTATGTGCAATGGAGCAACACGCAACACACCTTCTCAGCTTAGAAGTGCAAATTTGTTAATTGATACAGATGGTGTGGTGTCATATTAAAGAATGTAAAATGTTCGTTCGTACACTGGAACCTCGGTTGTCACACGCTTCGGAAGCCGAACAATTCGGAACCCGAATGCCGACAACCCGGAAGTGAATGCTTTCCGTTTTCGAACGCGCCTTGGAAGTCAAACAGCTTCCGAGGTGCGTTTCTCCATTTTTAAAAAGGAGTTTGCCGACTGGCAATTGCATCTCAGCGGTCAAACGTTTTGGAAGTTGAACAGTGCTCCGGAACGGATTACGTTCGACAACCGAGGTTCCACTGTATTAATAAAAATGTATCTGCTCTTATGCCACAAATCAACTGATAATATATATGAACCACTCCTTTTTCAGTGCCTTATTTTGTTTTTGTGTTGTCATTTTTTGAATTATTATTTTGACTATGGGCCTCAAAAGGTAGGAAGTGGCCCAGGCCTCTCTGGGCCTCAGAGTGGACCTGCCTACAGACAGTGCAGGCAGGATTGAGCTATTATTATTACTTTGCCCGTCCCTTGGGACGCCCTCCCTAGGCCAAAAACTTTCTGCCCTGTCCTTTCATTGAGTCCTTTCGCCTTGCTGGAATGTGTCATTGAACTGTGACTGTGCCTCTTCTTTTCCTGGATATGGAACTGTTGCAAGTGCAAGCCACACACCAATTGTGTAATGATCCAGAATAAGAATTTGAAGCACAAACACTCTAGAGGTTAAAACAACTTCATGAAAATAAATGCCTTTAATATGTGAATTCTTAACTGCTGTACATTGGATGAATGTTGGCTGGATGCCACAATGATCTGAGGTGGTGTCGATGAAAATGATTTCATTATCGCCAATCACAGCACACAGGGAGGGAGTTTTTGCAAAGATTGTCACTGGGGAGATAAGGGTAAAACTTTCCTGCATGCTGCAATCTCTATGCGCAGACTTAAAATGACATATTTTTTTAAAAGGCTGAACAGGTTATGGGTAACATCTGTCTGCTATTCCATACAGAACCATATGCCCAGATTTCTTCCTGGGAAAAGAACCATGGAAAACTACTGATCGTTGGCAGAATTTTGCGGACTGGTTAAAGCACCGAGATCCCACGAAGGTGGACAAGTAAGACTAACATTTATTCCAAAGCTATAACTAATCGATGTAGCTAAGGGGACAACATAAGGTTAATTCAGCATCGACAGGAGAATTGAATTTTGGGAGGGGCATTGACATACCCTCCAACATTTCTCCGATGAAAATAGGGACGTCCCATTCCAGAATGATAATTTAACTATTAATACCCCACACATCTTACTGGGTTACCCCAGCCACTCTGGGCAGCTTCCAGCATATATAAAAGCACAATAAAACATTTTTAAAAACTTCCCTATACAGGATTGCCTTCAGACAACTCAGGAGTTGGATAACGCCATACCCTCTAATATTTCTCCAATGAAAATAGGGACATTCTAAGGAAAAGTGGGAAATTCCAGGATCAAATCAGAAACTTGGAAGGCTTCTCTAAACCAGGGACATCCCTTGGAGGGTCTGTATTGATTGAGCTATGCAATATGATCCTAAGCATACTTATTCAGAAGCCAATCCTGTTGAGATCAATGGAACTTACATCCAAAAAAGTCTGCATAGGATTTTAGGCTAAACAGTGGCAGACTTGAGGCTCTCAAATTTCAGCAGCACCCTGCGCGTAGCTATAATTCGACACGCCCCACCTCTGTTATTCCTTAACAGGCTTATTAACTCCCCTTCATGGTTTACACATTCTTTTGACATTCATTTTAGTATTATCAACCCTTGTCACTCTTCCATGTTCAGTTGTTCCTCTTACAAGTGTGTAAAAAATGAGGAATAGCACCAGATATCCATTTTCATAGAGAAATTAAGCATTCTTTCCTGTGTTTATACTTCTATAAAATTCCAAATGGTGCCTCTGTTGGTCGTCAGTTGTGGGCAAGCCCACACTTTTACAAGGGCATGTGCCATTCAAAGCAAATGATTTCATTTAAAATCAGTTCCCATAATTTAGTGGTCCTCTGATAACCCGGCATCTTCCTGAGTGGGTCAGTGCTTTTTTAACAGCAGGTGAAGGTGGGAAAGCAAGTTTTGATAATATTGCAATTGTATGTAGATGTCTTAGTTCCCTTTTGTTCATGGTTGTAGGACAGCTGCTATTTTCATGAAGTATCTTAAGGAGCAGTACAATGCAATGAAAATCGGTGTCATTGGATTTTCTTGGGGTGGAATGGCTGTACATCACTTGATGTTGACAAATCCTGATTTTCAAGCTGGGGTATCCCTCTATGGTAATGACAAATGTTTGTAAACTTGAGCAGGCTCCTATGTTTTTGTGCACTGAAACATTTATAGTCTAAGTCTGTGTAAGGATGAGCTGCGGCATTCATTATGGCTATTTATTTCAGCAACATATGCTTCGTTCTCTCACTGTTCAAACAAGGGGGATAAGGATGCAATCCTATGTGCCTGCCTAACTTCTTGTGGGAGGGAGTTCCATAGGGTTCGGCCCACAACACCTCTTTTTTTCTTCCACGAGTCTGGGGGGAAGTTCTGTTGAGTTGAGTTCCACTTTCACAGAAGTTCAGTTTAGCATCACATATGAGCCAGGGTTGCTGATTTGCAACAAACAGTGATTAGTCGCTAAACACACTAACTCAATAAACTTTTTCTTTCAAGTGTGCCTCTTATCTGGGACCTCAGCCATCAAACAGTAAAAATTATCCTACAAGGAAAATATAGGATTTTACTGGCATTTGATTACTATAATGGCACAAATCATTACCTATAACACTGCTAATTAAGCTGATGGGGCATTATTGTTTTTTAACTGCTGCCCTTGAGAACATGAGAAAGAATGGATGAGAGATACATACCACTGAAGTAAATAGAAGCCTTTGTTCTCTATTGACCTTGAAGAACATACTACTTGATTTAACCTCTTTCTTTAAATATGCTTTAGGAATCATCAGAGACTCTGAAAGTAGGTATAATTTGCTGAATCCTACCTTTTTCATGTTTGGTGGAAAAGATCACACCATTTCTTCTGATCAGGTAAGCTATTGCACAGTGAAGTCTCTGGCAGAGGGGCCAAGGCATGGTGACATTGCCATAAACACAATCACTTGGGATTTAAAGAGGCTTTGGCTTTATTAATCACAGGTGTCAGCAGGTTTTGGCACAGACATCAGGTGTATATCTTGAAGTAACCAACCCTTTCTACTGGTAGATTATTTGGTAAGGTTAAGGTAAAAGGTAAAGGTACGCCTGACCGTTTGGTCCAGTCGCAGACGACTCTGGGGTTGCAGCCCTCATCTTGCTCTGTAGGCCAAGAAGCTGGCCACAGACAGCTTCCGGGTCATGTGGCCAGCATGACTAAGCTGCATCTGGCGAACCAGAGCAATGCATGGAAATGCCGTTTACCTTCCCGCTGGAGCGGTACCTATTTATCTATTTGCACTTTGATGTGCTTTTGAACTGCTAGATTGGCAGGAGCTGGGACCGAGCAACGGAAGCTCACCCCGTTGTGGGGATTTGAACCACCGACTTTCTGATCGGCAAGCCCTAGGCTCTGTGGTTTAGACTACAGCGCCACCCGCGTCCCCCACAGCGCCACCCGCTTTAAGGACTGTACATTAAATTGGAGTGACGCCTCCCAAATCACCATTTTGGGAGTGCTATGGCCCATAAGCCCCTGTCTGGGCATCTGCACAAAAGCACCTCCGCCTAGATTCCTTTAATGGGATACCTTGATTCCTTGGAGTGGTGGGGTGACTCTGGACACCCTCACCCACCTAGACTAAGGATTCAACTCAGTGTCTTATCCACCATCAAGATGTGGCAATTGCTAGGAGGAAGGCAAAAAAACCAAACACACTCATATAGGTCCAATTTGTCTGAAGGCAAATTCCTCCCTGGCCCTGAGTATGGCGACTGAAGACTTCCATAGCAAGGTCTGATGCATGCCTACCCTCAGAATGTGTGGTGTATCCAACATCAGCTGAGACTTAGGCTTGGGTAACTACAACTAATCCAGAATGCAGCAGCTAGACTGGTGACTGGGGACGACCGCCAAGACCACATAACACCGGACTTGAAAGACCTACATTGGCACCTAGTACGCTTCCGAGCACAATTCAAAGTGTTGGTGTTGACCTTTAAAGCCCTAAACGGCCTCGGTCCTGTATACCTGAAGGAGCGTCTCCACCCCCATCATTCTGCCTGGACGCTGAGGTCCAGCGCCGAGAACCTTCTGGCGGTTCTCTCACTGCGAGAAACTAAGCTGCAGGGAACCAGGCAGAGGGCCTTCTCGGTAGTGGCGCCCACCCCGTGGAACGCCCTCCCACCAGATGTCAAAGAGATAAGCAACTGTCTGACATTTAGAAGACATCTGAAGGCAGCCCTGTTCAGGGAAGTTTTTAATGTGTGACATTTTAATGTATTTTTAAGCTTTGTTGGAAGCCACCCAGAGTGGCTGGGGAAACCCAGCCAGATGGGCAGGGTACAAATAACAAATTATTATTATTGTTATTATTATTATTATTATTATTATTATTATTATTATTATTTACAGCTGGCTTTTATAGCTCCCCTGCAATTGGTTGCAACCACCCAGCCGTGAGCGCAGCCAGTGGAGGAGGAAGTGGCTGTGCCAAAGCTGGAAGACCGCCCAATACCACCACAGCCATGCTGGACCACAACCACTGCTTCTTTCCAGCTGGCAGTTTAGCGTCCATTGTCTTCCAATTCAAACTTCCTTGATGCTTGAAATTGCCTCTTGAGTACAAGCTGCAAGTCTTCTGTAATGAGGGACAGGCAGCCTCTATGTGCTTAGCCCTACTTTTCTGATTTAATATTATTTTGCATCTGTTTCTGTCAAGAAGAGGCATTGCCACAAATGGAAAAGGAACCATACTGGTGTGTTAAAGGAGCAGGGCAGAGAATCAAAAACTAACCATACTTGATACAGGTGGAAAAGAATAAGAGAGGGAGGCAGGCTGGCAGGAAGGCAAAGACAACGTTAGGTCTGCTCCAGTGAGACTGTCTCCATCTTCCACCTCTTCCACCCCATCCCTGGGCAAATTTCGCATTTTATATTGTTTATTTGTTTTAGTATATTAAAGTTGTAAACTGCCTTGGGTGCCTTGGCATTAAAATGGTGGATTTTATTTATATATTTTTTTAAAAAATAATTGCACTCTGGCATGGTAGAATTTATTATTGCTTAATTGTAGTTATGGCAACACTAGATTTAAATAAAAATCTTGAAGGAATTCAGATTAAAAGGGAGCAAATTTGGAAGTTTTGATTCTTAACTTTTGTAGATATCTAATGAAATTGATTGTGTGTTACAGGTCACTTTGCTGGAGGAAAAACTGGCAGAATACTGTAAAGTGCCCTTTAAAGTCAAAGTCTATCCTGGACAAGAACATGGCTTTGCTCAGTTAAAGCCTGACGACATGAAGCTTGAAGACCAGCCTTACATAGAGGAGGCAAGAATGGATATGATTGACTGGCTGAACAGATACATTATGTTTTGAAATTTGAATATGTGGCTTTATTTCCTCGCCCCCCACAAAAATGCAATTTCTTTCCCCCCTCTAAAATATTTATAGATTGTGGTCCTATCTATCGGAGAAAAGAGAAGATATACTTTAGAGAACTTTCAATAATAAATTATGAAATATTTATAATTAAAGGGCCTTGAAATCATTGTCTGACGCACAAAGATACGAGCATTCGGTATTGGAAATGTGCATGCCTTATAATGAACTTTATATTCTAAGGCTGCCTTAAAACTTATTCTTCTTTTTCCCCATTTTATGTGCTCCATTTCCTTCCCACCCCCCGAAAATAAAAATGTTCAGGATCTGAAAATGCATTATATACTAGCTATATTTTGGGCCTTAGGCTATGTACACACTAGCAGCTTAAAATGGAATAAGGTTGTTTCCCATACACTCACACCGAGTTTCAAATCACATTTCTACATTGCTGTATAAACCAGGGAGGGCGTGGAGACAATATCTGAGGCAACCAAGACAGTGCACAGTATTCCAAATGCAAGTTTCGCCACAGATTTGTATAATGGCGTTATATGATACCGGCAGTTTTGTTTTCTGTTCCTTTCCTAACGACCCCTGGCGTGGAATCTGTTTTTCTTCAGAGCCGCCGCTGGGTTGACATCTTCTATCTACTTACAACCCCAAGGTCTCATTCCTGATCAGTCACTGTCAGGTCAGACCCGATAAGCATATATGTGAAATAAATAAAGAGAGGTCTGATATGCTGTTTCACATTCACACCTCATTCCCACGCCGCCATTGCCGGTCATCTGACAGGTCGGCAGACTGAACTGCTTAACTGCTTTGTACTGAGTTGAAAAAGATCCAAAATGCAGCAGTCTGATTGGTCCTAGAACAATAGGATCCAAAATGCAGCAGTCTGATTGGTCCTAGAACAATAGGATTCAGAATGCAGCAGTCTGATTGGTCCTAGAACAATGCAGCAGTATGATTGGTCTGCAGGAGCCCCCCAATCCAGCTCCAGATGGAAGTGAATCCACAACCTGATTGGCCTACAGGAGAATTCCGGAATTAGCCAATCATGTGCAGCCCATTGTGTAAATAATGTATATAAAGCAGATACTTTGGGGAAACTTTTATTCTTCCTCCCACTATGAGCTGAATAAAGAGCATGAAATCCACTCTCGACTCCGAGTATATTTCATGCTTCCTGCAGGGATTGGCTTGATTACCTCATGGGGCACTAGGGGATGTGGCTGATCCAGTGCTTAAGGGCTCTCCTGCCCAACAGCCAATGCCAGGGGAGGAAATCTGTTTCCTGCTTTCTGCAAGGATCCGCTGCTCACATGAGCATGCAGCCAATCCAGTGGGCAAACCCTCTCCCACCCAATATCAGATAGAAGAGAGGAGGGTCCCAGTGGATCCACAAAGGTTCCTCTCCCCACTCCCACATGAACACCCCGTGAGGAGCAGCCCAACCAGCAGACAAAGCTTCACCCACCCAACAGCTGATAGGAGACTCACAGCAGATGAACATAGCTGTCAACCGTCCCTTATTTGGTGGGAAACTCCCTTATCTCAGCGCCGCGTCCTGCTGCTGTCCCTTATTGATGATGTCCCTTAAATTTCCCGGGTTTCAAAGGAAGCAGCTTCTCTCCCTCCCTCCCTGCCGGCCAGGGAGGAGGGAGGCTCCAACTGTGTTGCTTGGCTGCGTTGCTCACCCAATAAGGAGTCTAAGAACGACTGGGGGGTGCAGCTTGCATGCCTTGTGCCAATCAAATTGGCTGCATTGTCTGGGGACTCGCCTTTGCTCAGCGCTTCCCAGCGGAGTGGTGATGGTGGTTTTCCTTGCTGCATCCCCTTTGCTGGGTTGCTGTGCTGTGGGAACCACCGCTTGAGGCTTCGTTTGGCTGCTGGCTGACTAAAATCCCTTATTTTGGCTGCTGATCCCTTATTTTCGAGGCTGCTGGTCCCTTATTTTCAAATCTGTAAGTTGACAGCTATGCAGATGAAGCATGATCTCCATTCTCTTATGAACACCAGAATTGATTCCAGAACAGGATACTGAACAACAGAGCTACAAAGCATCCATCCCTGGGATTATGTGATTATGAAAGGGTCTTGAATTGGAGTGATTATGAAAGGTTTTAAACTTTTCAGATTTTACCTGCACATTTACTTTGGAAAGTGAGTGTGTTAGCAGTGAAGGAGGGTGACTTTGTATGGACCACGCTGATTAGATTGAGACAGAGGCAACTTCAATTACACGTTGCACCTTGGCGTGGACAAGCCTAGACTTGGGTGGAAAGATTGCGCAGAGCAACTCAGAATTATTTTTTAAAAAATTCAAGATGAACCTTGAGACCTCTGCATACACCTAATAAATAGCATCTTTGCATTTCGCAGAATTAAAACCCATATCCTCCCTTCTCAGGTGTATGGAATACTAAAATAAATACAATATATATCATATAACTTACATACAACTCCCAAAATAACTGTCATAACATTTTATTCAACGTATGAACCACCAAACCTGAAAACACCTGCTGTATCTGCAACAAGTCTGCACCAGCCAGGGTGCCACCAGGTGTAGTAGTAGTAGTAGTAGTAGTAGTAGTAGTAATAATAATTTATTTATACCCCGCCCATCTGGCTGGGTTTCCCTAGCCACTCTGGGCGGCTTCCAACAAAACACTAAAATACAATAACCTATACAATAACCTTGTATGTATTACACCAATTCTTAAAGGTCTGCAGTGGTTGGCTTTGTGCTTCCAAGCCCAATTCAAGTGCTTACAGGGACATATAAAGCCCCAAACAACTTAGACCCCAAATACCTCAAAGAATGCTTCCTCCTACATTGCAACATGGTGATTCTACCACCTTGTGTAAGGCAGGACCTTCTTAGTGGTGGCCCTCAATGTTGTGGAATGTGCTCTCTAAGTTGTGTTTTGTCCTGTCACTAAACAGTGAGAATGAGTTGAGAGCATCACTCCCTCTGAAATGTGGCTGCTTGTTTGGTTTGTTGCATGATATGGTGTAACCAGGGCTTATTTTCATCTGGAACTCACCGGAACTCAGTTCTGGCATCTATCAGGTAGGCGCCATTTCCATTCTAAGGGAACGAGGGAGGTGTTTTGGCACCTCTTTTTCTATAAAAAAACAGTACTGGGTGTAACTGATCATTTAGAGTTGTTGTGCACTATGTGGCTTACTTGCATTTTAGCCAGGCATAGGCAAACTCGGCCCTCCAGATGTTTTGGGACTACAACTCCCATCATCCCTAGCTAACAGGAAAAGTGGTCAGGGATGATGGCAATTGTAGTCTCAAAACATCTGGAGGGCCAAGTTTGCCTATGCCTGATATTAGCTGTATGTAACCCAACTTGGGAACTTGGGTGGCGCTGTGGGTTAAACCACAGAGTCTAGGGCTTGCCGATCAGAAGGTTGGCGTTTCGAATCCCCGCGACAGGGTGAGCTCTTGTTGCTCGGTCCCAGCTCGCTGCTGCAGGTTGCGTTCTTTTCATGTTGCGAACGGGCCTCCGGAACAGATCCCGTTCGCAACCAGAAGTACCACTCTGTCTGTGTGTTGTGTGTGTGTGTGTGTGTGTGTGTGTGTGTGTGTGTGTATTAAAGAAGTCAGGGAGGCTAAAGCGCAGAATCGAATTACGGTATTTATCTTTGCAGTTTGTTCACGGCAACAATGGAACAGCAGTTAATGAATAACCCAAGATATTGCTGATGCTGGTCCCATGATGTCCTTGTGATAATTTTAATCTCTTCGCAGACATGGTCTTTTCTCACACAGTTAACAGTCACCAAACAACATTTCTTGGGGTTTCTCCATAGTGTTCAGAATTCTTTATGTCTTTGCACAGGGGTCAGCAAACTTTTTCAGCAGTGGGCCAGTCCACTGTCCCTCAGACCTTGTGGGAGGCCGGACTATATTTTGAAGGAAAAAAACGAACGCATTCCTATGCCCCACAAATAACCCAGAAATGCATTTTAAATAAAATCACACATTCTACTCATGTAAAAACACCAGGCAGGCTCCCAAAATAACCCAGAGATGCATTTTAAATAAAAGGGCACATTCTACTCATATAAAAACATGCTGATTCCTGGGCCGTCTGCAGGCTGGATTTAGAAGGTGATTGGGCTGGATTTGGCCCCCGGGCCTTAGTTTGCCTACCCATGTGTTTGCACATTGATTTTGGGAAGTATACTGGAGCCCTTCCACCAACCTTAAAATGGGTAGTGCCTACATGCAATGAGGAAAATGGGACCCCTAGCTGGTAAAGATGGTGCGTCAGATGCTGTTGCAAAAGCCCCCAGCTACTCTTATTATTACAGAATGCTTCATCGTGTGGCCACAAGTTAAGTCTGGAGCCAGGGCAGGGGGTACAGTCCAGATCTAGCTCCAGAGGGTGGCAAGTCTGGGCATTTACTCCACCTCTACAGTGATATAATTTTCGCTTTGCAGAAGAGTTCCCCAAAAATGTCAGGATCTATGCGATATAATAAGGGACGTGGGTGGCGCTGTGGGTTAAACCACAGAGCCTAGGGCTTTCCAATCAGAAGGTCGGCGGTTCGAATCCCTGTGACGGGATGAGCTCTTGTTGCTCGGTCCCAGCTCCTGCCAACCTAGCAGTTCGAAAGCACGCCAAAGTGCAAGTAGATAAATAGGTACCGCTCCAGTGGGAAGGTAAACAGCGTTTCCGTGTGCTGCTCTGGTTTTGCCAGAAGCGACTTAGTCATGCTGGCCACATGACCCAGAAGCTGTACGCCGGCTCCCTCAGCCAATAAAGCGAGATGAGCGTCGCAACCCCAGAGTCGGCCATGACTGGACCTAATGATCAGGGGTCCCTTTACCTTTACCTTTAACCCAACTTGAGACTGCATGGTAAAGAGCAGGTTATAACTACAAAGAGAGCTATGAACTACCAAATGTTGGGAGGGCACTAACTGTTGATTACCAACATTTGTACTAGTGTGTGAATGATGTGTAATGAATATATATTTTAAGCAATTGTTAATTAATGATTTGTTTGATTGGATTTATCTCATTTCTATGCCACTTTTCATTCCAATGAATCTCAAAGCAAACAATAAAAAACAATAACATAATAAAACATAAAGAACATCACAAATATAGCATGAATCATATAAAGTAATTAACAACTCATCAATGAAACAATCACAATTTATAAAACCCTATTTACAAAACTGCAACTTAAAAAATAAGCTAGACATCACAATTGCAGCAAAGGTTATACGGTTAACAAATCAATGTGGCATTTATAATCTATAAAACAATATTAACATGAGCAGAAGAGCAACTAAAAATAAGCTAAGCACTGTTAAGCTCATACACATGTTCACAACTAATGTGAGGCAGAATAAAGTAGATTTTTTTTATCAGCAAAAACAGCAGAGCTGTGGCAAGATGTCGTTTCTTACGTTTCGTGTGCACAGTTGAATGGGTTAGGAATAAATAAGGAAACAGAGAAGACTACTGTATGCTAAAGAAGCACGATTGGAAGAGCAGAGGAGGAGGAGTTCAAGCCTCCTCCCACTTCCTAGCTGGGTTATTCTGGGTCACCTCTGGTGCTGTTTTGTAATAAGCAAACTCTTTTTTCTTTTTCATGAAGGCTGCAGCAGACCCACTCAAGGAAGCTGTGTGGGAGAAGCCGCAGCAACCGTTAGCAGACAAGCTGATTTCTTTTCCCTTTCAAAAATCTTTCACAGCTTTGGGAAATAACCCTTTCTAACCTCCCAGAAGAAAAGAAAACGGAGAACTTTGGAATTCCAGGTACGTAAGAGTCCCAGCGTGATATGCCAAAGTGTTTTCTGCAGGAAGTTGAGTGGGAGGGAGGCAGAGATGCCTTCATGAGTGTACTGTATGGTGTCTTGATAAAAATAACTGACGGCAACAGCTTGCTCATCGGTTCTCCTGCACTTTTAGTAAGGTTCGATTTACCCACATCTATTTCAAAATGTGTAGCGCTATTGGCGGAGAGACGCAGCGCCAATTCCAGGATTTGGGCAACCCACGGACTTGGAATTTTCAATGAGCTTCCTTAACTTTAAAAAAAGGCAAGCATGGAGGCCATGCATTATCTCACATAAAGAGGTAAAGGGACCCCTGACCATTAGGTCCAGTCGTGGTCGACTCTGGGGTTGCGGTGCTCATCTTGCTTTATTGGTCGAGGGAGCCGGCTTACAGCTTCCGGGTCATGTGGCCAGCATGACTAAGCCGCTTCTGGCAAAACCAGAGCAGCACACGGAAACGCTGTTTACCTTCCCACTGGAGCGGTACCTATTTATCTACTTGCACTTTGGCGTGCTTTCGAACTGCTAGGTTGGCAGGAGCTGGGACCGAGCAACAAGAGCTCATCCCGTCGCAGGGATTCGAACCGCCGACCTTCTGATTGGAAAGCCCTAGGCTCTGTGGTTTAACCCACAGCGCCACCCACGTCCCTTATTATCTCGCATAGATCCTGACATTTTTGGGGAACTCTTCTGCAAAGCGAAAATTATATCACTGTTGAAGTGGAGTAAATGCCCAGACTTGCCACCCTCTGGAGCTAGATCTGGACTGTACCCCCTGCCCTGGCTCCAGACTTAACTTGTGGCCACACGATGAAGCATTCTGTAATAATAAGAGTAGCTGGGGGCTTTTGCAACAGCATCTGACGCACCATCTTTACCAGCTAGGGGTCCCATTTTCCTCATTGCATGTAGGCACTACCCATTTTAAGGTTGGTGGAAGGGCTCCAGTATACTTCCCAAAATCAATGTGCAAACACATGGGTAGGCAAACTAAGGCCCGGGGGCCAAATCCAGCCCAATCACCTTCTAAATCCAGCCTGCAGACGGCCCAGGAATCAGCATGTTTTTACATGAGTAGAATGTGTCCTTTTATTTAAAATGCATCTCTGGGTTATTTTGGGAGCCTGCCTGGTGTTTTTACATGAGTAGAATGTGTGATTTTATTTAAAATGCATTTCTGGGTTATTTGTGGGGCATAGGAATGCGTTCGTTTTTTTCCTTCAAAATATAGTCCGGCCTCCCACAAGGTCTGAGGGACAGTGGACTGGCCCACTGCTGAAAAAGTTTGCTGACCCCTGTGCAAAGACATAAAGAATTCTGAACACTATGGAGAAACCCCAAGAAATGTTGTTTGGTGACTGTTAACTGTGTGAGAAAAGACCATGTCTGCGAAGAGATTAAAATTATCACAAGGACATCATGGGACCAACATCAGCAATATCTTGGGTTATTCATTAACTGCTGTTCCATTGTTGCCGTGAACAAACTGCAAAGATAAATACCGTAATTCGATTCTGCACTTTAGCCTCCCTGACTTCTTTAATACACACACACACACACACACACACACACACAACACACAGACAGAGTGGTACTTCTGGTTGCGAACGGGATCTGTTCCGGAGGCCCGTTCGCAACATGAAAAGAACGCAACCTGCAGCAGTGCGTCTGCGCATGTGCGGGTTGCGATTCGCCACTTCTGTGCATGTGCGTGGCTCATTTTGCGCTTCTGCGCATGTGTGAGTGGCGAAACCCAGAAGTAACCCTTTTTGGTACTTCTGGGTCGCCGCGGGATGTAACCTGAAAGAATGTAACATGAAGCGGACATAACATGAGGTATGACTATCTTTACTTTCACGTAACAGTTACACAATTACAGAAAATCAAAATGAAACAACTACCATCAGAGAGTCATTCCCAAGTACACCAACAGAGCTTTGCCAAAGTGTATATGCTAAAACCATCACAATCTTAACATGAAATGATGCATAGGAACATCCGTTGTTCGCCACAAAGAAAAAGATAGATTGCATCAGCAGCAATTCTGGTATGCAGGGTTTTGTACAAAGGCATGAGGAAAGGAGAAAAAAATAGTGATTAAAATATGTGCTTCATGAATGCCAAACTGCGCTAAAGACCATAGGCACTGTTCTACTATATGCCTCATGGTTTGCATAATCAATAAAGTCACCCCAGATTGCATAATAGTTGTCGTGTTTCCCCTGGCCTCTTGCTACCTTTGGTATGATTTAGGCTGTAAGTACTTGCCAGTAACCCCCACTGAATTCAGCAGTACATTTCTGCAATCTTAGAATTGCCGCTCACTTTATGCACATTGGCAGGTCTTCCAGTCACATTTTCACCCTCCTTCCTTGCATTTCTAGCCAACAGAAACAATTCCCAAGGGTCCCCAAACCTGTGTGCAAAAACAGGTCCTAAATTCAAACTATATTAATTGACTCCAGTGAGCATATGGATAGTGACCAAAAAGCCAGAACCACACCAAAAGAAAGTGAATTAGAAATTTATCTACAAACAAGTGACAAATGGTGAAAAATAATAAATATTCATTTAAAATAGTAATTGATATAGAAGTAATAGAATTGTATAACACGAATTACATGAATAAATGAAACCATTATGAGTCTATTATAAGCACTAGATAGAAAAATATAAAGCTATTTGCATTAGCTGCGTAACGTATACAAGAAAGCAATTATTTTCTTAGCATCCTCCCTCCAGTCCAGGTAATTAAAGAGCAAAAGTACCAAGGAAAAAATCATGATACGATAAAGGCATTCTTATATTCTAAAACAACATAGGAAAGATTTTAAAGTAAAATCTTAGGGCTTTGTGGAATAATGAATTCAAAGGTCCATATCACTCCAGTGAGGTTTCCACTGGAAGATTCCTGAGCAAAAACAACCCATTAGGATTAGGAAAAATAAAAAAGGGGAAAAGAAACAAGCCTAAGAAAAATCTAGGATTTTTGTGTGTGTGTTAGGAAGAATGATTCATGTGTTCAAGGATGTTTTTCTGCTCCTCCAGCCTTTGACTTAGGCATATGATCATCATCATGGCTTCCTGAAACCAAACTTTGGTTCATACAATAAGTGGAACTGTTCCTTCCATATAGGACCCCAGAACCCAGATAATAAGTTTAAAGAAGACCTAATTAACAAAGGTTGCAAGAGACAACAAAGGGAAAGGGGAGATGGGGGAAGCCTCATTCCGTGAATGTGAACACTTTTCCATTCACAGAAAGAGATTTAAGCTGCAAGCCACTAAGATTTCTTTAAGAAAAGTTAAAAGCACAGTGCCAAGAAAATCATTGTGCCATTTATGGTGGCAGTAGTTAAAAATCAGCAATTTCTCTTGGAATCTGTGAGTTGATCTTTTGAGAATTTTGATGTATCTGATACGTTTTTATCTGACTCTATGCGTCACAGAGCACTCGCGCAGACTCCAACAACCACCTGCAGCAACTGTAGAGTATACAGACATATTTCTATTAAAATTTAGTTACATTAACCTTTATGCATCTTTAAAACTTTACAGATGGCTAATGAAGAAAAACCATGTCCATGTGATATTGGAGACAAATTTGAATATGAAGGACACGGGCAAGAAGTTTCTGTTGGGCACATCAAGGCCTACATCAACAAGCCCTCTCACAGCACAGACAAAGCTGTGATTGTGATTCATGACATTTTTGGATGGCAGCTACCAAACACCAGATACATAGCAGATATGCTCGCATCCCATGGATATACGTGAGAAATTGTCTCTATTTTTCTTAGTCTTATCTCTTTCAGTTGACATATTTATGCATTGTGAATTATGAATGCAAAGTGCAAGCTGATGTAGTTGTTCAAAAATACTTTGCTTGACTAAACTTTTTACCTTTAGCTGAAGTAGTAAATGTGTATTATTTATACCCAAGCCACTCTGGGTGGCTTACAGAATATATAAAAAACATAATAAAGCACCAAACATTATAAACTTCCCTATACAGGGCTGCCTTCAGGTGCCTTCTAAAAATCAGATAGTTGTTTATTTCCTTGACATCTGGTGGCATGGTGTTCCACAGGGAGGGTGCCACTACCGAGAAGGCCCTGTAACCTCACTTCTCGCAGTGAGGGAATCGCCAGAAGGCCCTCGGAGCTGGACCGCATTGTCCAGGCCGAACGATGGAGGTAGAGACGCTCCTTCAGGTATTCTGGGCTGATGCTGTTTAGGGCTTTAAAGGTTAGCACCAACATTTTGAATTGTGCTCAGAAATGTACTGGGAGCCAATGAAGGTCTTTCAGGAACAGTGTCTTGGCAGCTTCTCCCAGTCACCAGTCTAGCTGCCGCATTCTGGATTAGTTGTAGTTGCCTTCTGCCTGATTCCCTATAATTTCACTTCTCGCAATGAGGGAACAACCAAAAGGCCCTCAGAGCTAGATATCAGTGTCCAGACTGGACAATAGAGAGGGAGATGCTCCTTCAGGTATACAAGGCTGAGGCTGTTTCGGGATTTAAAGGTCTACACCAACACATTGAATTGTGCTCAGAAACGTGCTGGGAGCCAGTGTAGATCCTTTAGGACCAGTGTTAGGAACAGTGGCTGTTTCCAGTCTAGCTGTCATATTCTGGATTAGTTGTATTTATACCAGTGCTGTGATATTTGAAAAATGAACTTAAATTTATTTTCTATGCAGAGCAATTTGTCCAGACTTTTATAAGGGACAAGAACCTTGGAAGCTATCTAATGATTGGTCTACATTCGATGACTGGCTAAAAACACGAGATTCCAAGAATATCAACAAGTAAGGGTTTAAGTTAATTTATTTTTTCCTTAAAAAATGTTTTGGGGTACTCTCATTTTCCAGCTCATATTGAAATATTGCCCCTCAATGAGGCCAAACTTAGATTCACAAAATGTTTAGGGGTATGCGTACCCCCATGTACCCCCAGATAAAAAGCACTGATTCCTGCTGTGGATTTTTGAGGCTGATGATATGATTGATCAGATTAAACTGTACACATGGAGAGAGGATTTGCAGATTTTGGCCTCTGATAAAACTGTTCGGCACCATTGGCTATATTATCATTTATGGTGGGACTGTAAATTAGGGCAAGATTTTTGGGGTTTTAGCGCTAATATTCTTTACTTGGAGCTTGTTATTTTTTTACCCATATGCAACTGTACTCATTCTTTTATTCTTTATCCGCTTTTAATTCTCATCTGTTCTCATAACAGTTTTCTTTGTTTTATACACATTATAAAATGAAATTTTAAAATCTATACAAAAAACATTGGCCGTGGAATTATCCTCTACCAACCTCTTGGGTTGAGAGTGTTTAAAGGGCACTAATCTGTGCTTGCTTTCCCATGCTCATAGGCCTGCAAAGGTGTCACAACGTTGCACCATCTCCCATGCTGTTTTGCATCTTCACAAAACCACTGGGTGGGACCATCTGTAGATTTGGAATAAAAGTATAGCCACCCAGCTTTGTCTTTCCTTTCCATCAAATCACTGAATGACAGTTGGATCCTGAACTACACAGCTGGATTCTGCAATGATACTTTTTTCAAGTGATCATGAGAACTTACGGGGAACGGCGATTGCCAGAGTTTTGTTTCTTTTGGATGAAGAGAGAGTCCTAAAGGAACTTTGCAATATCTGACTTCATTAAAAAAATATTGACTGTATGTGGAGACCAAGAGTTTAAACATTACAAAAAGCAAACCTCTGTCCCAAATCAGATGTCGAAAGAAGCACCCTCCACACATACAAAAAAAATGAGCTTTCAACAGGGCAACTGTTCCATTAAAAAACTGCAGTTTCCCTCACAAAGAGGATAAGGAAGAAACAAATGCCTTTTGCCAATATTATTCTCACTTTCTAAATGTTTCTCCGGCCATTTTTTAAGCCTGTGGGCAAATTAACTATAATTTCCCTAACAAAAGACTTTACTGGCAAATTTGCCAATACTTACTATCAGTCGTGTAGCGTGGGTTGTCAGCACCTGGGGCAAGGCAAGTAATTTGCGCCCCCTAACCCGTGGATTTGCGCCCCCTAACCCTACCCCCCAGATGTTACGCCCGGTGCGGCCGGCCCCCCCTGCACCCCCCACGCTACGCCACTGCTTACTATGGAAGTTTGCAGCAGTCCTTTGGCCCCATTAAGCCTTTTTTTTTTGTTTATACCCTTAAATTCTCAACATTGTGCAAATTTGTGAGGGCTCCTTGTAAGGGTGTCTTTTCACTGGTGCTTTTTTGTTCACTTATATTTCTGTGCTTTAGGGAAACGGATGTTGTCTTGCAGTATCTGAAGGAACAATGTAATGCAAAGAAGATAGGTGTCATTGGATTTTGTTGGGGTGGAGCTGCAGTACATCATCTGATGTTGAAATATTCTATCTTTAAGGCAGGCGTATCCCTCTATGGTATGTGTAGCTACAATAAGAATATTGATATCACTGTGTGCGTTAGAAATAATGGCCAGAATATGCTTTTCTTTGCAGCAGAATGTTTTTGACACTTGCACCAGGTTTTAGAAAATATATCCCTGATATACTTTGCACAGACGCTGTTCACATGCAACTCGTATCACCTAATCTGTACTTCCTCATCTGAAATAGTTATGCCTGGTTTTTCATCACCACTCTAAACTTATTCTAAGCTAGCTCAGTGATTACTTTTTTCCTTTCACTCCACCCTAAAGCAAATCTTTTAGAAGGAGGTTTTATTGGGATACAGCTGCCAGAACAATTGAAGGAACCACAGACCTCTGATTATTATAAGATCCTATTATTTTTCTCTGAAATTACGTTCATTCAGTACCTGAAAGGCACCAGAAATCATTTTTGTCTTTTCTTTTGCTCCATATGTGCTGTTAAATGACTGGAATTTTAAGCTATTTTTAATCTTTCTGAGGATCGCAAGAGATATTTTGGGCATATCCAAGAGCCTGTTTGCTTGGATGGACCTTCTATGTTTAGAGGCAGCACGCCACTGAATAATAATTGCATGGGAGCAACAATCAAAGATGGATATTACTTCCATGTCCTGCAGATGAGGTTTCTAGAGGCACCTTTAAAAAACAGAATGTTGAACCAGATAGGCTGTTGTTTGATTCAATAGGACTTTCCTTTAATGGAGACTCGTCCATTAGAGCATGTGTCAATATTAGGAGCCTATTATTTTGTATAGCTCACCACATATAAACTGGTGCTTAATGTCAGGCTTTGCATGAGCACCAATATGAAAGGATGCATTTTACTAACTTAACCAGATCAAAATATTTCATGGGATGTTGACTTGGAATTTACCTGCAAGTCAAACTTGTCAACATCAATATGACTTTGACCAGTCCTTTTGCTCTTCAAGTCCTTGTCTATACAGTGGTGCCTCGCAAGACGAAATTAATCCGTTCCGCGAGAGTCTTCGTCTAGCGGTTTTTTCGTCTTGCGAAGCAAGCCCATTGACGGATTAGCGCTATTAGCGCTATTAGCGGTTTAGCGGCTATTAAAGGCTTAAAGGCTTAGGGGATTAGCTGCTAAAAGGCTATTAAAGGCTATTAAAGGCTTAGCAGATTAGATAAAGGGGGGGAAAAGCAAAAAAAATCTCAAGACTCGCAAGGTATTTTCGTCTTGCGAAGCAAGCCCATAGGGGAATTCGTCCTGCGAAGCAACTTCAAAACGGAAAACCCTTTCGTCTAGCGGTTTTTCCATCTTGCGAGGCATTCGTCTTGCGGGGCACCACTGTATGGGATTCACTTTAAGGAGACAAATATGCTGTTGCTCATCCCTGATTTTGAACCTTTGGCAAAATAAAGATATATGAAAGGATTTGCATGCAAAATGTTAAATATTGCACTCTTACGGAAAGTGTTTGGCGTGCTTCATTTTAATGTAACTTTTATTGTTGAATACATTCTAGGAGTGATCAAATTTACAGAGGACAGTTGCAACCTGATGAACCCCACCTTTTTCATTTTTGCAGAGAAAGATGAAGTAATTCCTCTTGACCAAGTAAGGCATTATTTCAAAAACTGAGTTCCTGAATCAAGAGCAATATTCCTGGTGTATAAATTTTGCTGAAGAAAATGCTTTTTTGGGGGTGGGGAATGGCTTACAATTATCCGAAATCCAGAGTATGTTGGCTATTCTGGCTGGCTGAGTTGATATTTCTCTTGGAGATCTGAAGGTCATACATTTATACCATTTTTTTTGGTCTCTGTTCCAAGATGTGACAAGTGAACTCTGGCAATCTCATAAAGAAATAAATTATTTCAGTACCAGTAATGTGAGGGTATATTTTTTTGCTGCAGGTCACTGCCCTTGAACAGAAGCTGAAACAGCAATGCAAAGTTGAGCATGAAGTGAAAATATATCCTGGACAAACTCATGGTTTTGTACATCGTAAAAGGGAAGATATTAACCCTCAAGACAGACCTTACATTGAAGAAGCAAGGAAGGACATGCTGAATTGGCTGAGTAGATACATCTAACTGTCTATTCATCCAAAAATGCATCATGGAAAACTTAGTGACAAGGATATGCTTTTAAAATTTCCAGAAGGAAGTCTTGTAAGATTTAAAATTAAAATATACCACAGACTTAATCTGTTTGCCCCAAAACATCCTTCCTCATGCACACAAATGTGCAGACAGACCCATCTGCTGGTGGTGATAGCAACAGCTACCTGACTTTGCTGCATTCAGCAACCTGTGCCTGAGCAGTTCACTACTCGCTAATCTTCTCCCCTAGGCACTAGGATGCCCAGGTGGGCTTCACTCAGCTGGTGAACCTCAGGGCAGGAGTAGACTTCAGTGTGTCTGCTGCACTACCCATCTCTCAGCCAGCCAAAGATGAACAACATTTTGCCTGTTGTTTTGCCTCTTCCTAGCCCTGAGTCACCACCACCAGTCAACCAAGCCATTGTAGATTTAGCTAGTTAGGGAGGTATCATGAGCTGAGCTACTGCCACTGCTTACAAGTAGACCGTGCCCAAGTAGAGCGAAAGTGTGTGAGAGACATACAGTAGCTATTGCAAATGGCAGGTCCTGGTCTTCCCCTACTGGAGGGCCTTCCCTTACCAGAGTACAGTGCATTAACCAGAATCTACTCATAGGCAAAACCAATTGAATCAACCAATAAATAAAGTGGCCAATTGGTTAGGAGCAGAAAAGCTGTTTTCTTTTCCTTGGTAACATAGTCCTGAAACATAAAGAAATAACATTTGGTATAATTTTTCTGTGCTGATTCCTCTATTCAATAAAGTTTTAAATTGAATTGCATCATATTTATATTCATTGGGTGCCTAAGGGAATATGTCCATTAGCTGTGGTTAGCGATAGGGGAGAAACTCAGTTTGGTACATATTTTCCTGCAAATTTATCTGATTTATACTTCCCAAAGCAAGATGTGAACCAAATTGCAGCTATCCTTAGAAATTTGCTTCTCCAAATTTTTGCAGTGCGCTTCTGAATGAAGAATTGGGTGGCCATCTGTCATGGATGCTTTAGATGACATTCCTGCATTGCAGGGGGTTGGACTAGATGACCCTTGGCTCCTTTCCAACTCTATGATTCTCCAGTCCGAAAAGGTGTACATGATGCATACATTAGGGGAAAATGTATATAAAGTGTACAGGCTGAGACCAATTCACATGGGGGTTCCATTCTCAGACCCCACACGAAACAGTGGAGCTTGCATAAGTGCATCCCATTCCGTTCTGTCTCCATTCCACACTCTTCCAGGTGCAAAAGGGCCAGCACATCAGTGATTGTGCACTAATTGGATATGCCTAACATGGTCGCCACCTGTATATAAAAATGAATATAAGTGAAAAGGTGCTTTGTATTAGGGGAACTTGTTTGAATAAATATGTCTTAGACAAAATTACATACAAAATATGTTTATTAGGATAAAAGATCAAATGCTGATGAGTTTTCATTAAAACTTTTGTTCGCTTTTGTTATTCAGTACTGTTATGTTGCAGTCTATATTTATGATGCAGAAATATGACAAACAGAATTTAAAGCTATAAAAATGAAAAACAGAAATTGATAGCTTTGCTCATCCTTAGCTGTGGTTAAGGAAGTTTGCACAAAAACCTCAGCACTACAAATATTGTGAGGTGAGGCTGATGAATAAACTTCCCTAGGTACACTTCTTTGGAACTTTTTGAAACCATATTTGGAGCCTTTTGTATAACTAGGAAAGATGCATTCTGGAAACTTGGTAGAGAAAGAGATAGCTCCTTTCCTGTTTTGATTTTTACAGGCCTCTGGCAATACTCATAATTTTGGAAAATCTGACACTGTTTCCCTTCGTCTTTCTAATCTGTAGCCGACGCACTCTGCTAACTGTCACCTCACGGTACACCAGTTAAATGAATGTCTACAATTTACCTCAGGCTATCTGGTGGCGGGTGTGTGTCTGTGTGTTGTGTGAGGGAATCTGCGATTCAGCCATGAGCTAATTCAACAAGGAAAGTTTTATTTACAAAACAAACAAAAAAAGAAGTTGGTGAAATAAAGTTGTGTCGGGAGACATGTTCTTTCAGGTAGAACTAAATGACTTAAACTAAATAGAAGGATGTCTCAGGCTTAAAAACGGTAGTACAGGCACAGCTTCTCTTTTTAACTCCCTTTACTCAAAATTAGTTGTTACTCTTCAGTTTCTGTTACTCCTTTCTATGTCCTTACACTTAGTTTGGGCAGGTGCTTCAGGTTTTAACACAGTTTATTAATTGGGTTCGAGAACAGAGGGGTTTCTAGAATAGGTGGTGAAATGCTTGACTCCGTTTCTGCTGCTTCACTCTCGTTCCTTTACTTCGTTATTACAGTGGACTTCTTTTGACACGGCGCGGCTTCCTTCACAGCTTAATACCGTTCACGAGTGAGGAGTACTTTTTGTCAAGTTACCCACTCTCTTAGCACTTCCGAAAGGAATGTGGTTGGGGATGGAAAAAATCCGGTGAGTCAAGGCCCGTCCTCTGAAAGGGGACCCGGGAGAGGAGGCAGGGCATGGGAAGCCCCGCTGAGAGCGCTCCTGGATCGTGGCCACAGGCAGGTGCCAAGAGAGGGTGGAGCAGGTGGAGGGGGGAAGAGAAGGGTGCCAATCTGTCACCTCGCTCTGGCCAGCTGAGACTTGCGCGGGTGTCACAATTGGAGGGTATGCATTCTGCGTCACGGGCTGGCAGGCCTTTTTCCTTCTTCCAAAACAGCAAGATCAACACACACACACACCCCCACAACCTACAACCCTTCCATGCAACTGCGGGAAATGGGTTTTGCGCGAGTCATCAGGATATATTTGTCTTTGTGTGTAAGCATTTTTCTCCCCGCCCCCCCCCAATCTTTCCTCGTTCTGTCCAGCTCTTCCTTTCCTGCGACTCCTGAGGTATTCGGATGAGTATAACAGACCCAGAGGATCGCCTCACCCCTTGTTACTGGCATAGGAGTCTCCTTTACCTAGAATAACTCTCCCCTCCTGACAGGAATGTGACCCAGGTAGCCTGTATTCACACGGATTCTACCTCTCCTCAGACGCAGCCCACTAAGATGGCATTGTTGGGCCTGCCCTCACTTAAATATAGTGCACCCACCTCACAGAACACAAATTCCCACAAACTACCTCAGATTGTCTTGTGGGCAGACTTGTGTCAGGGAAAACTTAATAATTTGGAGTCTCGGGCAGGATTTGATCAAATAAACAATAAAGATTTTATTTAACAAAGGAAGTTTATGACACAAGTGGGTAAAACATAGGATACTTCAGATTATAATGTGTTTCCTCAGTTGTTGCGCAGCTGTTACCGCTTAATACTATCGTTCTTAAACAAGGTGGTACTTCCTGTCCGTTAGACAACCCTACTCCTGAGGTACTCCAAGTAACAGACCCAAGGGATCTTCTCTTTTTGTAGAAGAATCTCTCCCCTCCTGGCTGGAATGAGTCCTAAGTAGACTGTATCCTCACAGCTTCTACTTCTCCTGGCTCAGCCTCAGCCTCCCAGTTAATTACTGGCCTAATTACTCTTACAGGACACCACACACTGTCCTTCACACTAAGTTCAGTGTCTCCTTTCTCTAGCTTTTGATATATTCCTCAGAGTGGATGCTTCTACCCAGAACCAACTCTCTCTCCTCTTGCTTCCTATCTCCCAATCTATTCTCCCAACCTCAATCCCAACGTACTCCCAAAACTATGAATTGTCTCTCCAAATCCTCTCCTTTTCAACTACCCCTCCTGCTGGAACCCCAGCCGATTATAAGCTGCTGTCCGCTAACCATTTGCTGGCAGGGAAAAAGAAAAAACCAACTTTTCTGGCACACCCTCTATTTGACTCCTGTCTGTATACCTTCCCCAGACACTCAACTTTCTATCTAAGCTGCAAGGCTCGTTCCTCTTGCTTATCAGTAGTCTCCTCAGCATGGATGTTCAACTCAAATCAGAACCGGTTCTCCCTCAGCCAAACTCAGTGTTCACCCCAATCTCCCACCTCAAATCATATCACTCTCCCTCAGAAACGGCTCCTTTTATTCTCCATCCCGAAGTGCTGCTCCATCCTGCTTGGTAGCCAAATCAGAGAGAGATTGCAGCACTCTGGCGGAGTTTCTGAGGGACTAGCGTCTGCTGTCCGCGTCACGGACCTTTGGGGCTGAGTTAGCCGAGTATTTCTGAGCTGCCCAAATGGTCCTTGCTTGCTCTGGGTACAGTGGTACCTCTGCTTACGTACTTAATTCGTTCCGGAGGTCCGTTCTTAACCTGAAACTGTTCTTAACCTGAAGCACCACTTTAGCTAATGGGGCCTCCTGCTGCCGCAGCACTGCCAGAACACGATTTCTGTTCTCATCCTGAAGCAAAGTTCTTAACCCGAGGTACTATTTCTGGGTTAGCGGAGTCTGTAACCTGAAGCGTATGTAACCCGAGGTACCACTGTATTCTTGTGCCCTGAAGGAGCAAAGTACAAGGAAACCTATCCGTTCACCTGAGAGTGCCAAGAGGATCAGCTCACAAAAAGGATTACAACTACATGAGAAGACTGAAACGGTGCAAATTCAGAAAGGCCCCTCCTTCTCTGAGGCCTCATCTTCTTCCTATTGTTGCTTTTTATAAGATCCGTAGTCCGGTTCCTTGGTATTGTGTATGTGTGACAGAGTATACCCCATCCTTTGCGTATATGAATTAAGGTTTAGTCAGCCTAGGTCGGCTAATTCCTTCACTTCAATTTCTATTCCTCATTCCCAGAGTTACTTTTTTCATGAGGGAGAGAACCTTTTTGTAACATCTGGTTTGCAAATGAAAGCTTCAAATTTTGTTTGGCTGTTTATCCTGGCATCCTTGCATCCTCTTTTCACAAAGAACTCTGCGGTGTGCATTTCAAACTGGATCAACTTGGCGCACATATAAAATAATAATAATAACAATAATAATAATAATAATAATAATAATTTTTTATACCCCGCCCATCTGGCTGGGCTTCCCCAGCCACTCTGGGTGGCTTCCAAGAAAAATTAAAATACCGTAATACATCAAACATTAAAAGCTTCCCTAAACAGGGCTGCCTTCAGATGTCTAAGAGTCTGGTAGTTGTTCTTCTCTTTGACATCTGGTGGGAGGGCGTTCCACAGGGAGGGCGCCACTACCGAGAAGGCCCTCTGCCTGGTTCCCTGTAGCTTTACTTCTCGCAGTGAGGGAACCGCCAGAAGGCCCTCGGCGCTGGACCTCAGTGTCCGGGTAGAACGATGGGGGTGGAGACGCTCCTTCAGGTATACTGGACTGAGGCCATTTAGGGCTTTAAAGGTCAGCACCAACACTTTGAATTGTGCTTGGAAACGTACTGGGAGCCAATGTAGGTCTTTCAAGACCGGTGTTATGTGGTCTCGGCAGCCGCTCCCAGTCACCAGTCTAGCTGCCGCGTTCTGGATTAGTTGTAGTTTCCAGGTCACTTTCAAAGGTAGCCCCACGTAGAGCACATTGCAGTAGTCCAAGTGGGAGATAACCAGAGCATGCACCACTGTGGCAAGGCAGTCCGCAGGCAGATAGGGTCTCAGCCTACATACCAGATGGAGCTGGTAAACAACTGCCCTGGACACAGAATTGACCTGTGCCTCCATAGACAGCTGTGAGTCCAAACTGACTCCCAGGCTGCACACCTAGTCCTTCAGGGGCACAGTTAGCCCATTCAGGACCAGGGAGTCCTCCACACCTGCCCGCCTCCTGTCTAAGGTGCTTGTCTAAAGTTTGCAATCCACCTCCACCCCAAAATTTATTGGGGGTTGTTGAAGAGCCGTGGTGACTAGCTGATGCTAGTCTGTATCACTTGAATTTGAAATAAGTGTTATGGTTTGCAGGGGGTGAAGTAGGCTGTATGTGAGATCCTTCCATCCCTGGATCCAGCAAGTGTTAAAATCTAAGCCAGGCCAGCTTTCTGTGCTGATGGGGCATTAAAGGGATCTAAAGAAAGGGGCACTGTGCACGATTGCAAATGGGTGCCCCCCGCCCTCAACTCAGGGATAGTTAGAAGGACAAAGCCATAGTTGAGAGCTTGCAGTGATGTGAGCTGGAGACTAAGCATCAAACTGGGAACCAAGAGACACACAGCAATGTTTGATTTCTGTTTGAATCCAGGGTTGCAACTATGTGTGACTTCACTTGTCATCCAAATTTCAACAAATTAGTGCAGATTCTTTGCTACTTTCATACCGACCACTAGGTGGAGGTACAGCACAAATGCAGGGAGTTGTGATGATTAGGAAACAGAACTCTGCTGCTTATTATGGAAAGAGATATGGGAATAAAAAAAAAACAATGAAGCAAAATTCTAACTATCAGAAACATGTAAACGGTTTATCTCCAACAAAGGAGGATTAGTCCTTCCTGGAAGAACCAATTATTATGAGAGAAATTGCTGCAATGGGTACAACTGCGGAATTTTATAAATATTATTGGGATAGATTAATATCATACCAGAGGAGAATCAATGGGATAGTATTAAATAATGAATGTTTTAAGATCATGCAAAAATGGTATGGCTTGCCAGAAAGCCCAATGGCAGCTTGAAACCACGTCTCCAGCAACCAAGGGTAAATATTTAAAATATTGTGTTTTTAATATTCGGTTGGGAGCCACCCAGAGTGGCTGGGGAAACCCAGTCAGCTGGGCGGGGTATGTATGTATGTATGTATGTATGTATAAATAAATATTATTATATTCGCCAAGGGTGACAGCAAACAGTTTGATATAGAGTGTGAAAAGCTACTAGTAAAGTGATAATGCTATGGCACCTAAGGGGACAAATTGGCCAAATATGATCTAAAAGAGGCAAAAAACACAGACTTTTTTGTGCTATTGGATGAGGCTGTTGAAACTGGCATAGCATGGCGAGTCTTCCCCAATTAAAAAGGTGTGAAACGTACAAGACATGGGAACCTGATGAATAAAATCCGAACAGCTCTTGCATTGGAGTGGCCAGAGGCTCTGCAGCTCCTGAAGGCTAAATCTGAAGTGCTGTCAGGACAAATGAGGCATTACATTTAGGCTTTGCTAATCAGTCTGAACTATGATCAGAGGCAGTTTTAGGGGTGTGTTACCAGTTTGCCTGCACTAGGTGCCGAGCTGGGAGGGTGCCGCAAAAATGACTTGGAGTGGAAGGCGAGAGGTGGAGGAAAGGGTGCCAAATTTTGGCCTTGCACAGGGCACCGCTGAAATTAGAAAGCCCAAAGTCCTCCATTGCTATGTTTTCTGCAAATGGTGATAGAACATATTAATCTAAAGCTGGAGGAGCATTTGCATGGTGTCAGAACACTGATGGACAAGATCCATTTGAACTTTATTACAGTTTTATATTACAAATTTATAAAGTCAGTCATTTATTACACCACTGAATTGAAAGCAAGCAAGTTGTGTGTGTGTATGTATATATATATAAAGTTTTGACAAATAACTTATTAAAAACCAAACATAAATCAATTCACTTAATTCATCATGAAGTACATCAAGAGAAATGCCATTAGGAATGGTTTCCATAGCAATTTTCACAACTTTAGATTACACACAAATCGATGCACACAAAGCACTGAGTATTCTCAGCAGTTTTGAATATGTAATTATTACTAAGCCTCAGTCCTAAAATTCTGCCTGCACTGTTTGCATGTATGGATCCAAATGCCCTGTTTATAGGTGCAAAAGAGAAGTTTGAAAAACTTGTTCCAATTAGACTTTTCCCTCTCAGATCACCAAAAAGTGCAAAAACCAAATGAGAAGTGAATAAAATGAGAATGGCAATTTTTTAAAAGCTGAGATGTTACAAAACCAACAAAGAGAAACACCAGTTTAATCCCTTAATGTATACATGGCACTTTTTCACCAAGCAATAGCAGAACCAGTCACTTAAAAACCACTATCCACATAAATGAAAACAGCTAAGTAATGAATAGGAATAAACGTTTCTGTGCTTATGGGCTCTGTTCAAAATGTTCAGCTACATCCTTCTTGTGTATTGATGCAGCAGAAGTACATTGTACTGGTTGGAGGAATGTAGAGCTGCACTTCCACTTGAGTCTTGATCAATCCCTTCTGCATTCATGTGATTTTAGCTGTAACATAGCACCTATTTTGTGCATGTCTTTGGGGTGGGGGCATCAGAACTGTTACCGAGTGCAAAATCCCTACCATGCAGAAAAACCAACCACTGGATAGGGGTGCCAGAAGCACAGCTCCACTCCATGTACAGAAAGGAAGTGCATTTTACTTTAAGGTTCTGTGGGAAAGGCGCAATTGTGCTCAACTTTTTGGTATTTAAATAATAATAAACGTGTAATATAAGGAACAATCACTTGTCTGTGCTGCAGGGCCACTAACCCAATGTCTCTGTGCGACAGGAACTTAAAAATTCTACTAGGGACGTGGGTTTGGCCTCTTCTCTTGTTACAAACCATTCCACTAATTTAAATCATAATGCACCAAGAATGGATACTTGCACGTGTTCACAAGGCAGATACAGATAGTCCAAGCCACTTCAGGATTCCCCTGCATATTGATAAAATGCCGTTACATATATTTAATGGAAAGGCAGGGTACAAATTAGGTAAAATTGACTAAACAGTACCCTCATCTAAAATCCTTACACACTATTCTTTTTAGTAAGGTGCATCCATGTGGGCACTCCTGTAGCTTGGAAGCTGTCCACAAAAGGAAGGGGTATGAAACAGGAAGAATGTTAAGGAAATATATGGGTCACAGTTTGCAAAGAGGAAGAGGAGGAGAAATAATAAGGTGGCTTTATATCTCATTTGAAGTACAGTAACCATATTCAATTGCTGTCTGGCCACTGATAAAAATGCAAAAAAATAATTATTATTTGTTACCGCTACACGCAAAGCATAAGGCTACATGCTACCCTAACTGAAGAATAACCGATAAGCTCATTTCCATTAAAAAAAACCAAAAAGGAACCTACAGATGACATAAAAAATCCCCAGCTCCATACACTTACCACCTGAAAATATCCAGCATTAGACTTATGGCAAAGGCAACTCAAGTTTAGATACAAAAGGGTATAAACTTACTGACTCACCAATCCTACTGTTTCTAGGCTGCACAAAGTTCAAATTGCTATGGGACTACGCCTCGTAATGCTTTGACTGAAAAGCTGGCTTTCATCATTTCATCTGGATACATCAGCATCCCTAATTTCGTACTTCACGAATTCAATTAACTTGTCTCCTTAAGCTGAAAACCTTTAAGAATTTGTTGCAGATGCATTTGTTGTCCATCCCTGAGTCTTTGCCTTCCAGCTTGTATCCATACGGGGGTTGGGGGAAGGTCTAAAACAAAGAGCCAGCACTATAGGTTTATACTCCCAGAATGATTTAGGGCCCCGACCGCGCAGGGTGTTTCTGATCATACAAGGGAACAAGCTTCCTGCTTCTGAGCTCTCCCCAGCTCATTGATGGCAGAGGACAGGGCTGCCAATCACACAAGGTGGGTGCAATTTTGAATGAGTGAGGGGAAACAGCTTGCATAGGGCTATTGTTTCACTGTGCCTTATACCCAGACAAAAAGTTTATCTTACATAGGAGATATAATTCATTTATATTTTATAGCAGATTACCTTAGATGCCAACTTGTTGCATTTATCTGTCCTTACAAACCACTACAGGTTTTGCAGCGTCAGATGCAGGCTGTTGAGACGTACATACAACTTGCACTTACATTCTATGTTCGTTTCCCCCCACCCCAAAGCTGGTTACACACACACAGAGGGTTAAAGAATGACAAGCTATTTCTTTTCATCTGCTGTTTCCAGGATGTACTTGTGATACACCGAGTACAAAGCGTTTCAACGGAAAAAATGATTGGTAGCATCACTTCCACTTTTCAACGGCACAAATTTCACATTCATCTTTTCAGTCCTGTACATCAAAGTAGTCAATCACAGGCTCCTCTTTGAATCCTCTCTCTGTGCTGCTATTCCCGTGCCTGAAATTAAAACAGAATGGGGGGAAGGAGAAATAAAAATTTGATACTTTCAGGTAAAAGTCAAATTTTGGGGTTCTCAGTAATGCAGGCCATTCTGGACTGACACAATAGCACCTTGGTCTTGGTCAGCAGGCAGAGTCACCTTACAAATTACCATATTTTTTGCTGTATAAGACTCACTTTTTCCCTCCTAAAAAGTAAGGGGAAATGTGTGTGCGTCTTATGGAGCGAATGCAGGCTGCGCAGCTATCACAGAAGCCAGAACAGCAAGAGGGATTGCTGCTTTCACTGCGCAGCGATCCCTCTTGCTGTTCTGGCTTCTGAGATTCAGAATATTTTTTTTTCTTGTTTTCCTCCTCCAAAATCTAGGTGCATCTTGTGGTCTGGTGCGTCTTATAGAGCGAAAAATACGGTATGTTAAAGGGAAGGGCTTCCCCTCCGTTCCCTGACTATGCTTGGAACCTGGAGAAGCTCCTGAACTTGAAGAGTAAGACTAAGCACTGTTACAACAAGGTAACAAGGTGAGCTAACGAAAAGATGACAAAAGGAAAGAAGGTAATCCCACTAAATTAAGCATTTTAAGACACCTAGTGAGGGTGTGTGGACTGCACAAAAAATGCTAAGTCCTGCTCTTCCCAAACAACCAACATGAACGTGTGTGCTTCCTGTTTAAGTGTGGGGTGGGCTGCCCTACCCTGATCTTTATTAAAACTAAATTTTGCTTTCTCCAGTAATGTTTTACTATAGTGGGATTCATACTGAGACTACCTTATGGAACATGCTTCTGCCAAATATTGCATCAGATGAATACAAGTCAATGCACTGATACTTAGCAGCCTTACAGATAAAAAGACAGGATTCAAAATCAAAGTCCACTTCCTGGTTGTGCAACTACATGCTTGTGCAGGATAAGACATTTGTGCTGTGGCTATGGCTGAAAATGACTGGGGCATCAACTGAAGGAGTCTTTCCAAGGTTTTGGGAGACAGTGTCTAGCTCTAGTCCAAAGGTAAGGAAGATGTGGTCCTTCAGATGTTCATAGAATCACAGAATGGTACAGTTGGAAAGTACACCCAAAGGTCATCTAGTTCAACTGTCTGCAATGCAGGGATCTCAGCTAAAGCATCCATGGCAGTTGGCCATCCAACCTCTGCTAAAAAACCTCCAAGGAAGGAGAGTCCACAACCTCCCGAGGGAGACCGCTGCCCTGTCCAACAACTCTTACTGTTAGAAAGTTCTTCCTAATGTTTAGTCGGAATCTCCTTTCTCTTGTAACTTGAAGCCATTGGTTTGAATCCTACCCTCCAGAGCAGGAAAAGACAAGCTTGTTCCCTCTTCCATGTGGCAGCCCTTGACGATGGCTATCATATCTCCTCTCAGTCTCCTCCTTTCCAGGCTAAATATACACAGCTCTTCAACTGTTCATCATAAGGCTTGGTTGCCAGAGCCTTGGTCATCTTGGTTGCCCTCCTCTACATACGTTCCAGCTTGTCAACATCTTTCTTAAATTGTGCTGTCCAGAATTGGACACAGTATTCCATGTGTGGTCTGATCAAGGCAGAATTGAGTGGTACTATTACTTCCCTTGATCTGGACACTATACTTCTGTTGATGCTGCCTAGAATAGCATTAGCTTTTTTTGCTGCTGCATCACACTGTTGACTCATGCTAAGCTTGTGGTCCACTAAGACCCCTAGATCCTTTTCACATGTACTGCTAGTAAGCCAGGTGCCCCCAATCTTATATTTGTGCATCTGGTTCTTCCTGCCTAAGTGCAGAACCTTACATTTGTCCCTACTGAAATTAATTTTGTTAGCTTGGGCCCAGTTCTCCAATCTGTTATTATCATTTTAAATCCCGATTCTATCTTCTGCGACAGTAGGACAGACTGGGATGCATTGCCAGCTTGCCCATTTGTAAGTGTATGTATCTTATTTCAGAAAACACACTAATAAAAGATACAGCACCAATATTTCAAAGCAATAGTACTTACTTTTCTGATTGTTTGTGATGAGGAATAGGTGGTGGGGGCCTCGTCTGCCTTTCCTTGGTAAGCAGCGAAGTCAGAGTAACTGTTGGGCAAACTGATTTCCCTCTGGAGAAAGAGAGCCATAATATAAATGAGCTTTGACAAAGGATGCCTACATGGCTGCGACTAGATTTCCCTTCCTCTCATTCCCTCACAGCCACTTCTATATCAAAATTTTAAAAAGAAATGGGTTTTGAAAGCAAGGGAGGAAAGCATGTCCTTTGTATAGATCTCACTTCACACAAGAACCCCAGCGGGATAGGAGAATGCTTTCATTTAATGTCCTGCGTTATTTGGAAATACTAGTGAGTAGTTATGTTATACAGAGAAAATTAGAAACAAAAAAAAAACCCCATCCACCAAGTTAATACTGATGGACAGAAACAATGTCCCCCCTCTCTGCTCCCACAGTAAGACAACAGACAAGTCTACAAAGTCTATAAAATGAGGGTTGGGAGGAAGACTGATTAACTAATGGTGCTTATGATGACTTTTGCTCTATATTAAAATCTGACTTGATGCCAACTATTACCGAATTCAAATATGTAAAATATATATATAAAATGAATCAAATGAGGAACGTTTCCAACAACAGAAATGTTCATGACGACACATTCCTCTCCACAAAACAAAACGCTGTTTTGAAATACACGGCACACAAAGAACGCACAAGATGTTTGCACAGTGCAAATGTAAAAACAGAACAGGCTTAAACAGAACAAATGCGAATATTACAGTGTCTGTTAAGGAGGTTATTTTGCAACTTATAACAAGAAAATGGAACAACATACTTCACCGCACTGATAACAACATTGCGCTTTGGTTCGTTATCATAGCTCACACTCTCTATGCCGTAAGCCTGAGCAAGCTCATGGATGATTCTGCGGTGTTCTCTGTTCATAGGCGGGAAGCAATGGCTCTTCTTTGTATGCTTGCTCTGGATTACAGAGAGATGTTTATTTTATATGTTTCTTTCATGAAGGTTGGAGAAGAATGAAGCATTCTAGTTTCTAGCTTCTGTTATGTGTTAATCTGAAAGACTAGAGAACGAACTATCTACAATAAATATGTATCACTTCTTTGAATCACAACTGTTAATTGCAATAATAAAAATATCTATAGCATCCAAGTTTATGTACATATGTGCATCATATATACATGTTTCTCTCTGCCCCATAAGTTAAAGAAATCTTACAAAATAAATTTTAGTTTTGTTCATGGCTTAAACGTATGTACACTTCAAAAAATTAACAGGAAATAAAAGGTTCCCCCGTTACTAACCTTATTTACTGCTTCTACAAGGGCTTTCATTTCTTTCTCAACTTCACTGACAAACTTTAAATCTTTCCTGTAATAATAAAGAATTGTATGACAAATGTAAGGAGGACTACTGCTATCCATACATAGCATTTGAAATACACCAGTGTTTTCCCAGCACAAATCATACAGGATACACTGTGAGTAGTTTCAGACTCTCACTTGCAATCCAATTTCATTATGCCTCATTTTAAAGCCACAATTGACATTTTCTGCTTTTTCACAAGGTAAATTAAAAAAAAAAAAGTATATACGAGCTTCAACATTCACACTGCATTTAAATTCTGATGGAATAAGCATCATACATATCGTTTCACTGCTTTTTTCCCAAGAGGTCACCAACCTCTTTGGACCAGTGGGCAGATTTGTGCCTTCAAATGGAGGTCAGTGAGAATCACAAATAAAGTACCAGGTAGGAACATAAAAGCCTGATTGGGCTAACAGTCCATGTAGTTGAGCATCGTCTTCTCAAAGTGGCCAACCAGTTGCCTACAGGAAACCCAAAAGCAGGACTGAGTGCAACAGAACTCTTCCTCCTCGTGATTCCCAGCAACCAGTATCCAGAGACTGTTCTGTCCAACAATGGAAGAACAAAGCCACTGTGGAAAGCAGCCATTCAGAGATTTCTCCGCCATGAATTTGTCCCTAATTATTTAATTATCACTAATATGGCACTTGCCAATTTCATAGCTGCCATAAACCACATTGACATCTTAAATCAATTTGAAATGGAGATTCTGAACCTTCCTCCACATGCTTCCTCTCGCCACAGTGCTCCTCCTAGCTGAAACCAGCTCCAATACTGGAAATGAACATGTGTAAAAGAAAAATCAGCTACAGAAGGGAAACCCTAGGCAGGGGAAGAGTACAGAATTCCATTGCCCATGTGCTCCATTGAGGCATTTACAGTTTACGTTCAATATACAGTCGTACCTTGGTTTTTGAACGGAATCCGTTCTGGAAGCCCATCCGACTTCTGAAAACGTTCACAAACCAAGGTGTGGCTTCCGATTGGCTGCAGGAGCTCTCTGCACTCAATCAGAAGTCACACCGGACGTTTGGGTTCCAAAGAACGTTCACAAACCGGAACACTCACTTCCGGGTTTGCAGTTTGGGAGCCAAAGCGTTCGAGTCACAAGGCATTCACAAATCAAGGTACAACTGTACTAAACATGCTTTTAACAACATAGTTATGCCACCATTATTTTCTTGGAGAACTCACAAGAAAAGAGGGAAACATTCAAACAAATTTCCCTATCATGTACGGGGGAGAAGAGGCACTTATCAGTATGAGCGTTTAATAAAACCTTTGCAAATTAGACCAACTAGAATTTTAACATTAAAACAATTCTCCAGCTATAACCTCTGGACACTGAAGTCAAAGGGCTACCAATGTGTCCCTGGAGAATACACAAACCACTAAGTAACAACGATACATACCTTGCATCCTCTTTCAAGCTATCACTGTACTTGGGTACAGAGGCACGGACATTAAAAGGATCAGAACTGTCATCAATATGAAGAGCCTCAGCAAACCGCCTAATTAATGAATATTAAAAAGTAATTGTTTTACCCCAATATTTGACAAAAATTAAACTACACAACATTCACATGATTTCAAGCCTTTCTTATACAGTCATTATACTATAGAATCACGATTCACCTCTGGGATTTTTTTCTTTTACATGATTTGAGGTGCTCAAGAGTCTTTTAAGCCATGACTGACCAGTGTTAGAAATTCCCATTGTTCTAGATGCATTTTGCGACAGGAAATTTCATTAGCGCGAGCAGTTTCTGAGCTCTGGGCACAGTACTAGGCCTAAGATTTCAGATTAAAAGTGCAGAGTGGAAGGAAAGGAGTTTTTTCTCCCTCCCCATTTCCAGCTACTCTCTGAAAACTGAAGAAGAGATCCGATACACTTAAGAATGTTCGGGGGCTGGGCAGGGGAAGGACTAGACCATGTGAAAAATGAACATAATGTTTCAGCTGCAGTTAATTCATTTTCAGCTTTGCTTTCATTATAAAAAAGCGTGCCTAGACATTCTGTTGTTGCGCCCATATCCTAGGTTTAAGGTGCCATTTAGCTCCTAGCTTTCATATCTGTTTCTAATACTGCTACTGACCCATGATTATGCCAAATAACTGCTTCTCATTTACACAAGTAGGGAATTCCTGTTTATGGCTTCATTGTGGTCTGGTAACTTCTTGTTGCCATTTACACTGGGGAAGACTGCTCCCCTCCTCAGGTGTGGTGGACCCTTTCCAACAGTTCACCTCCAGAGGTTAACGGAATTCCAAGTTGCCCACAGGCATGGGTGATGCCACACTTGTTCCTAGTCCATTTCAAGCACAATTCAAAGTACTAGTGCTTACCTTCAAAGCCATACACAGCTTGGGACCAGAGTGGTCCTAGATTACTCAGTTGCCCCATCATCAGCCTACCATAGAGTGAGGTCTTCTCTGAAGGCCCTTTTCTGGGTGCCACTGGCTACTCTGGAGAGGCTCTCCTCAGTGCTGACACTAGTGCCCCTGGTCAAGAAACTCACCTGGTCCCCATTTTGTTACTTTTTCAGTGTCAAGGGAAATTTTTTTTCCACTCTGGGCCTTTAAACATTTTAAACCCAGGATGTGGCTAGTTTTATATTGCCTTTATCACTCTCCTTTTTTATTTGCTTCTCATTATTTTGGATTTTATTAATGTTTCGTATTTTGTGTACCTGCAAGCTACCCTACAAAGCATTTTTTTTTTAATGGAAGGAACAAAAGTTTGTTAAATAAATGAAATACAAATAAATTCCGGTCTGTTCAGATTACCTCCTCCTAATCTTACGTAATTTAATTCCACGATATTTCCACCCAATATAGAATAAAGAGATGGTTGTTTTATTACATTTATATCCCACCTTTCCTCCAAGGAGCCCAGGTGGCGAACATGTTTCCCCTCTCCATATTTTATCCTCATAACAACCCTGTGTTAAGGTGGAGAGACAATGAGTGGTCCAAGGTCACTTTTGTGGTTAAGTGGGGATTAGAACCCTGGTCTCTCAGGTCTTAGGCCAACACTCTAACTGCTATAGCACACAATCCGTCTTGCTAAATTAAATTATAAAATTATTACCTACCTGTTTCTTTCAAGAGCCAAACATTCATCATCACACTGCAGCCTACACAAACAAGATACAATGCACAAAATTACATTTCCTTGTAAAATCCTCTCTCCCCCACATATAGAAAAAAATAGTATTTTCAGTGAAACAGAAGCTCCTATTTGCCTTGTCTTACCAGCAGCTGGACATAGCATAGAAAGATTTCAGATGTTAGTATTCAATAGTGTTCGGACTTGATGCTTAACTGGAATAACTCTATGTTGAGCTTCCACTCCTCACTCTCCACAGGAAACTATGGACAGCTCATAGTTAGTGAACAGTCAACAATGGTAACTGATTACAGGGGACAACTTCTGCATCTCCGGCCCCCAAATCAAAGCAGCAACTGATAGGTAAGCTATCATTTGATTTTAAAACTCGTTAAGCTCCTCAGTTCAGCAGTAATTTGAGTCTATTCAAGTATTTGTTTCATAATTTGATTACCTGGTTTGCTTCATTTCCTTTTTGGTAATCAATTTGCTGATCTCTATTGAATCTCCGTGGTGTGGATCGGTTAACTTAGAGGCTATAGAAATAGCAGCTATTCTGGAAAAGAATGATATTTATGAAACATAAAATGTCTTTAAATGAGGCAACAGAAAATTCCCAGGGGATGGCACCCAAACCTGCACCAGCAGCTTTCTGCTGACACAATGGCCTGCCCTGTAACCTCCAAAACAGCTCCACATCATCTCTCAACCCTCCAGAGCTAATTTAGAGGGTACACAGAGGGCTGGAGGGTACACAGAGGATTGAGTGTGTCAAGGAAACTATGAAGTCAAGGGCAATGATGGAATGCACTTGAATGAGCGAAACATAGACCTTAGAAGTCTTTTCCGTTAAGGAATAAGCTAATCTCTCCTACCAATGATGCAAGAAAAATACATAGCAGATATTATGTGATTACATCCATAGCTGTCCCCAAATTTTGCATGTATATTATTACTGGCATGCTATCTGAAAAACTTAAATTAGCATCCCTTACTCAATTCAGACACTAGTGGTCTTAAATACCCAAGCTAGACCATGATTAATATGGTGCTTTTTTTTTTTAATGTAACATTTCTGATAGGAGTTACAAAAGACGATTCAATATAAAAAGTAGGAAAAATTATCATAATTTCCCACTCAGAATAGTTGACAAGAAAAAAATTCTGCCAAGAGTTTATTTATGTCTAGTTATTTATTTATAGACTTCCTGTTAAATTGAAACACAGACGACATATATTGCAGAGCTGCTACCTCCTGTTAGTAGCAGGAGAACACATTACAATGCTCAGTATGAAAGAGCAAGTGAGTAAATTAATTTTCTGTTTCTAGGACATACAAATTTTAGAGAAAAGCCATGGCTGTTTATGATTAATTACTGCACAGAAACAGCAACACACACACACATTAAGTCTGCAACTTGTGCTGACTCTGCTTACACAATTGCAACCGTATGCGGGTGGGGTAGAAATAAGTAAGTAAGTAAGTAAGTAAATGGAGAACTGGGGAACCCCATTGCTCTTCACTCTCCATTTATTTCTCCCAACACAACCCACCCCTGTGCACCCAGCAGGTTTTCCTCACTTACCAAGCTTTGGGAAGGGAGCAGGAGGGCTCTGAAAGCATCCAGAGCCGTCACGGCCACTTCCCAAAGCCCAGTAAGCATGATGGTACCTATCTTACTGGCCTCTGGAAAGGAGGTGTGACAACTCTGGGACTGTCCCAGAGGCCAGTTAAGGAAGTAGCCTCCTTGCTTACCAGGGTGTGGGAAGCTTGCAGGACAGCCCTGGGAAGCTCACAGCCACCTGCCCCGTGACCTTCTCAGACCCCAATAAGCAGTCCTTCAACTTGCTGGGGGGGAGGTATTCCGGGAGTTCCCAACTTTGCACAATTTTGCCTTTGCACGCGTGGACCTTACCCCCCTCCCGGGAACTGAACCCTCACGTAAGGGACAGGCCTACTGTACTACAGAAGTCAGAGCCAGTAAATACCTTTGAAAAGTGCTTGATGCTTCTGAACAAATCATAGTCTCCTTTCTTCTCCCACACTCACAATGAAGTTCAACCTATAATGGCACAAAACCAGGAATATGGCAGGAATCTAACGTTCCTAAGTATTTTATGATTTGAAGAAAACACAGGTGAGAATTCCCTGATTCCCTAAAATACGATGGATTCATTTGCTGTTATCTAAGTGAAAATCAAGCTACTGCAATCAACCTTCCCCAACCTAGTACCCTCCAGATATTTAGACGACTTCCAAGACATTCCTGATCATTGGCCGTGTTGCCAGAGGCTGATGGTAGATGTAATCTAAAACATATGGACGGCAACAGGCTGCACTACACTATAACAGTAGCAATCCAAATAATCTGCCAAACACTCTGCTTGATTTACTGGAAGATCAAGGTTATATCTACTATAATAACATATACAGTGCATCAGTGCTGTATAGAGAAATCCCCCCTTCATAATACTAGAACCCATGGCCATTCAATGAAGCTGAATGTTCAGGACAGCTTCACACAGAACATTCTTCGTGAATGCAATACATCAAAGATTTCAGTGGCTCTCTTATTTATTTTATTATTTTACTTATTAAATTTGTATACTGCCCTTTATCCATAGATATCAGGGTGGTTCACAACATAAAGATACAATATAAAAACACAAAACACATAATAAAAACAAGAACAACTGACCACAAACCAATTAACACCCTGCTCCCTGCTCAACAACGGTATCATTCACAAACTAATGAAACTTCAATACTTGCAAGTTCATGACATCTGTACAAACCCATTTGACAAAATCAGCTTTAAAAAGAAAGGCCGTGGTTTTTATATTTTGCAGACTGGGCCATGCTGCCCATCTAAAGTGGCTGACATTAAATGAAAAAAATTATTTATTTTTTTGAAAAAAATGTCTGATTATTTTTTATGTCACCTACCTTTGCACTGCAAGACGTTGTGGGGCATGGTAAAGATGGGTGGCATGGAGACATACATGGATGATTACAGTGAAGCCTAAGGATAGTACACGGTTGCCTGCATTCTTCATCTATGAGGCATTCCCCTTTGTGGCAAATCCTTTTACATTTGTGCATTCCACATTTTAACATTCGATCACAGGGAAGACCACAGGAGATGTCAGTGAGGTAGCAGGGAATATTGCTCCGCAACTAAGCCAGGAAGGAAAAAAGAAGAAGAAACAAAGAGATGGATACTGGACAACCTTGTAAGAAATGAGGTTTAAGAATGTCTATTATTTAAAAGCAGATATACTAACTGCATAGGATGGGCCAATCTCTCATTGTAGAGGAACTTTTTTGACAGACATATCATAGAATCATAGAATCATAGAGTTGGAATAGACCACATATGAAGGGACCTGTGCTCATTAAAGGCTTCTGAATGAGTTCATCAGGCATCTGTGTTGCAGTGAGACACATGACAAACCCCTTCATAAAGCAGAGTTATCTTCAGATTTTCACTGTAAAAGTGGCTATCCAAAAGTCAACTCATGATGACAAAATGGTTGTCTAAGCCCACATATTTTAATACGATTTTTCACAGAGCCCCCCCCCCCCCAAATGGGCATAGGCTGCCAAATACTTAAAGAGCTTTGTCAGTTCAGAGCCACAAAAAAAGGTAAACACAACTCACACTCCGTTCTCTGCATCAGCAAAAATTTAAGAGCCTTGTCATTGAGGAAACAAACTGGTTTGGCCTGTTTTTTAAAAAAGCATCTAAAAACCTAAGTTCTGTTTGGACAATCACATTTTTATTCAGTAAGCCAAAATATGAATGATCCCTTTTGCCCATGCATGCAGACTTTCTTTTCTTTTCACACTGCACCCAAATGAAGTACAGATCTACAGTCATACCTTGGAAGTCAAACAGAATCCGTTCTGGAAGTCCGTTCGACTTCCAAAACGTTTGAAACCAAATCGCAGCTTCTGGTTGGCTGCAGGAAGCTCCAGCAGCCAATCGGAAGCCACGGAAGCCCCGTCGGACATTTGGGTTCCAAAAGAACGTTCGCAAACCAGAACAATCACTTCCGGGTTTGAGGCATTCGGGAGCCAAAACGTCAGAGTTCCAGGGCTTTCGGGATCCAAGGTACAACTGTATACAATTAACTATGGTTTCCCATTCAATCCGAACGCTATGATAAGCCTGGTTCAGATGAAATAGGACACTGTGGTCAATTGGAGTCATCTGTATTTGACCCAGGTGTACTGCAAAGAGAGAAGAGAAGGGGCTGTGTGTGCAGACAAAAGGTTCATTTAAATCTTAGCTTAATAAATCAAGACATGATCTGGACCCAGCTGTACAGTGTGCAGATATGAGCAACACCACTAACGTACAAATAAAACACAGCTATGCTTTATTTCTAAAAATGGGAAGTTAAACAGTCACACTTACCTCATGTCTTCCCATACACCATTTCTGAACGAGGTATGTACATGGTGGACACTTGTCTTCACTATGACAGGAATGATACACTGCATCCACAGAAGGAGGGAAAACGAGTTTCAAATAACGTAAGGAAATGTTTCAAGATGAAATCTCTTTAATGAAACAAATTCAAATATGTCCTTCTAAAGCCATGTATTTTAGCATTTAATATTTTTACATTCTATTGTTCAGTGCAATCAGGCAAGCAAAATTTTACATGGTTGCTCCACTGATTGGTACATCAATTGTGGCCTCATCTAAGTCACTTGGTCTGCTCTCATTTTAAATGTGGTATCATTTTACCAGTTCTCAAGATGGACTTCCTCTGAGCTTAAAAGAGGACTTCTATATTAGTGCACAAAAAATAGGCTTCACAGTGCAAACTATGACATTATTCTTTGCCAGAGCATGTCCTCCCTCTACACTGTATTGTGGGAAGGTATTTAATAGCTAATCAAATTAATTCATTCCATGTGAGGGATCATCTCGCAAACCTACTAGGTTTTATCCAATGCTATGTGAGTGCAATTCCACTCACGCAATGGGACTTCCCGTTCATGTATTCTCCCCAAATGCCGCCAAAATCTTCTGAAGAGGGTTTCCCAACTCCCTGGACCAGATTTTGATGGTGTAACAGAGGAGAGAAACGGAGGGGGAAGTTCCATTGTGCAGTAGAATCTGCTGTGCAAGCAGAATAGCAACAATGGACGCAACCTTGTATTTCAAGCTATTTTGTTCCACGCTTATCGAAAAAATAACCACTGCCTCAGTTATTTTACTAACAAGACAGAGGAAACTTTACCAAATTCTCTTTCATCAGGTCTCTGATCACATGAAGAGTATTTGAATCTACTTTTATTTGAAGTGAATGCCCTATTTATTCTTCTATGAATTAAGAAAACGCTTTGAAGGCTTTTACACCTGCATTTTACTACAGTAAGAAATGTTCTGGAGTTCAGAAATTAATATTAAGATTTAAGTTCAAAACCTACACCTGAATCTGCACTGTTACATCATACATTTGAAAATTTAATAGATTCATCATCTTAGTTTGGCACGGCTGTTGTAGTAGTTGTAGTTGTTAAATGCATTTTGTATGTAAGTCTTACCTGGATGATCACATTCATGAGGTCTAGTACATGAATTTTTACATTCTGGTGGTCGAGTACCACAAGGTATTGGGGGGTATATCACTGATTCACCACAGTAACACGTTAATTCCTCAAAGCCTGAAAAAAAAAATTAAAAAAAAATAGGTTGCAGACATAAACCAATGCTGTAGCTTTGCTGGCACAACAGACTTTCATATATGCAATGAAAGAGCTTCCATGACCTATTATCCAACTGATAACTAATAACTGACCTATTATCCAACTGATATATCTATAGGTAGCGGGCACTTATCTATTTTTTAGATAACGGGGTGAGCTCCCGTTGCTCGGTCCCTGCTCCTGCCAACCTAGCAGTTCGAAAGCACATCAAACTGCAAGTAGATAAATAGGTACCGCTCTGGCGGGAAGGTAAATGGCGTTTCCGTGCGCTGCTCTGGTTCGCCAGAAGCGGCTTAGTTGTGCTGGCCATATGACTCGGAAGCTGTACGCCGGCTCCCTCGGCCAATAAAGCGAGATGAGCGCCGCAACCCCAGAGTTGGCCACGACTGGACCTAATAATCAGGGGTCCCTTTACCTTTACTATCTATTTTTTAAAAAAAAAGTGGGCACGAAAGCAAACTGGGGGAAAAATGGTATGGGACTTAATTGAAACTAAGGGGTATTGCATTGTGCTCAATGTAGGGGTAGATCAATCCAAAGCCCTGGTCACAAACAGCAGGGTGGGAAAGAGTAGGAAATCCACCGCCACATTCAACAATCCTGCTGCTCACTCCAAGGTGGTGGTGGTGGTGGTGGTGGTGGTGGTGGTTGTTTTTACAATTTTGCTGCCCCAGCTCAAGGCTGCCCCAGCAGAGACTCAGATTAAGCACAACTCTGGGACATGGATCTGCTTTGTACCCAGCAGATCCACTGGCGGCTCTGCTCTGCCCCAATAAAACCTTCATTTTGGGGACTTACGCCAGCTACCCACAGCAGGAATACTGCCAACTGTAGCTTCCGAACTTCCTATCCTTTTGGTGAGCTGAATGGGAGCCCCCATGATGGCAGAGCCCAGCAAAAGGATACTGCCACCTGTTCCCAACCCTCTCCAGCAGCACAGATCAAGGATTGGGATTTTACTCATAATTTTAAACAAACTAATTAATTTTAAACAACTTGAGTGAAGCGAATTGACTATGTATTTCAAAACTAGTATAGAGCATACAATTCTGATGTGCACTCACTAGTCTGCCAACACTTCTGGCAATTGCCACGATGACAAGGTTCTTCGCATCTATGGATGCCACAATTGAGTTTCCGTCCACAAATCAAAGAGCACTTGTGTTCTTTGTCCTGCAAAAGAAAAAACGTGGTGGGTGTGTTGTAAGTTATGTCGTTTTATGTGTGATGGGGAAAATGAAAATTGCGCCCCCTCTTTCCTTTATATCAAATTAATAATTTATGCTTAATACTTGGTTTTTCTTCTAAATGATTTGGACTGATAAAGAAGAGTGCAACACGTTAAAGCATTTAGCATCCACCATGGGGTGATGGGAAGTCGTTATAGAAATTATGTATAAGGAAAAAACCTAAAAATATGGGAATATGTATTTTTCTTTTTCTGAATGAACATTAATTTTAAAAACCCACAAAGTTTCACATCAACCTGTTCCTTGCTTCAGCCTCTACAGAAGAGTAATCAAAATGGCTTCAAGCAAATTTCTTTAAAGATCAAAACCAGGATGATTGCTTATGGCTATTATTAGCCAGCCTTCTAAATATTAATTAAGAGTTCAAACAACTAATAAAAGGAAAAAACAATTTCTTTTTCTGCTGGAAAAAAAAAAATCATTATATTTATGAACTCACCACACAGCAAATCTCATTACACTTGTGTCGTCCACATGACAGCTTCTTGTTGCATCTCTTGTCACACAAGAACACAACTTCAACTACAAATGAGAAAATACATTTACATGATTGCTATTCATTGAAAATTACTGCACCTACCCTTAGGCTCCATGTTGCATTAACTGTGGTAAGACATTAGCCCTTTTAAGATCCATATAAAGAACGCAGGCAAATCTTATTAGTATCCTGCCTTTCAGGACCCTTCCAAGGCAGCTTACAGGAAACATTAAGCTACAATTTTAAGAATTGTATCAACCTATAAAAGTAACTGGAAAAGCAAATTCCATAACTCATAAAACAAAATTGCTTTTGCATTTATTTTTTAGATTTAGACTGATACCTATTTAGAAGTTACTAAACATTTCAACCATGAGGCCTAAAACTTAATTTGGCTTATCTGGCTTCAGTGAATGACAAGTATGGAACGCCAAAGCCACGTGGGAGTTAATGATTACTTGTGTAAGAAGCAGTATATCAATTGCAGGCAAACCTTGAGGAATATTTGCATATTTAATATATATACACAGACAGATTCTGTTATCTGCCTGCTTGTTATGCAAAAATTCACTTATCTTCCGAGTTTGACATGGTTGTAATCCAAAACGGTTGTAATCCAAAGCGGTTGCAAACCAAGGTACCACTGTATACATATGTGGGCATATATGCAAGAATTTTGCTTATGTGCTTTCAATGACATTTCAGGAAATGCTTATGCTTTCTGAGGTGTCAAGGAGCCAGACAACAAGCAGCCATCATTAACGTTTCTTCATGCACATGGGGCTCCCAGAATTGGCTGTAACAGGCAAAGGTCTGCAAGGCGTCTCCTTCTCTTTCAATAGTCAGTAACTGAAAGCCTCAGCCAAGTGTGCCGAACTAACTTTGTGAGTTGCAACCACTGTGTTTACATGGCACACGTAGTGCTATTTCACAAGGGTACCAGCATATAACAGCCATGAATGTGTTTGTTACCTTGATTTTTGAGTGAGGCACAGGGAACTTCCTAAAGAAAAGAAAATTGATTGGATTATAGCCACATTATTTCTACCATCAGACTGACATTAAAGAAAAACACATTGCAACAGCTAATATTGCATCTTAACCATTGCAAAAATTCTCAGTGCCACATGTTCTCACTGCACCTAGATTTTCAGCATATGAAAACTGAAAAGTCTGGCTGTGATGGATGAATCCAGTGAACTGTGTGAAGGCTGAATTATTCCAGAAGCACACAAAAGCAGTCACCTTACAACCAACAGGAGGGGACAACAATTCAGGATAGTAGCATGTATTTCACAATCAACAAGCAGAATTTCAAATATGTAAAAGTGTCTAGAGGCAGCCTCCTGAAGGACTGAAAATATCAGTCTCATGGGTTAGTTTATAAAAAAATTAAAGAGATCTACTCTGTGTGGCTGCATTAGCGACTGCAAAACTCCGCTTTGAAATCAACACTACCATAAAGTACATTTGCTGCACTATACAGGCGACAGTTTATTGGAAGCTGATTTGAAATCCAAAACCCCAGTACAGTGGTACCTCGGGTTAAGTACTTAATTTGTTCCGGAGGTCCATTCTTAACACGAAACTTTTCTTAACCTGAAGCACCACTTTAGCTAATGGGGCCTCCTGCTGCTGCTGCGCCGCTGGAGCACGATTTCTGTTCTCATCCTGAAGCAAAGTTCTTAACCCGAGGTACTATTTCTGGGTTAGCGGAGTCTGTAACCTGAAGCGTCTGTAACCCGAGGTACCACTGTATAGAGAGCCCTGCTACTAGTCCAGCATCCTGTTTTCTACAGAGGACAACAAAGTGCCTATGAGAAGCTCACAAACAGGACAGGAATGCAACAACACTCTCCCTACTTGTGCTCCCAGCAGCTGGTGTTCAGAGGCTTGGCCCCTCTGATCCTGGAGGTAGCATATAGCCATTATGACCAGAGTCACTGATAGCCTTATCCTCCACAAATTTGAATGATCCACTTTTAAAATTGTCTTAAACTGGTGGCATCATCATGTCCTATGGAAGCAAATTCCATTGTTTAGCTAGGCAGTGTGAGAAACACTTCCTTTTGTCCATCCATAATCTCTCACTGGAGAGTATGATCTAGTGCTCACTGGAAGGACAGATCCTGAAGCTGAGGCTCCAATACTTGGGCCACCTCATGAGAAGAGAAGACTCCCTGGAAAAGACCCTGATGTTGGGAAAGACTGAGGGCACAAGGAGAAGGGGACGGCAGAGGATGAGATGGTTAGACAGTATTCTCGAAGCTACGAATATGAGTTTGACCAAGCTGCGGGAGGCAGTGGAAGACAGGAGTGCCTGGTGTGCTCTGGTCCATGGAGTCATGAAGAGTCGGACACAACTAACGGTGGCGGAGCTTCATGCTCTGACACCGGGGGCGCAGAGCAGATGGGGGCAGGGCTGGTGCACATTCTGGGGGGCGGGGCATGCTGCCTACAGGGGTGGTGCGATCCCCGCGCCCCCCTCTTCCTCTGACAGTGACGACTAAATGACTAAACAACAACAATCTCTTACTGGTCAGCTTTATTGGATGACACTGGGTTCCAGTGTTACAAGAGAAGGGAAAAAAAGTTCTCTCTCTCCTCTTTCTCCACATCAAGTATCAAGATATTAAATACTGAAAAGCTTATGGCATTAGGGTACTGATCCTTAAAAATCACCCAATTTTAGGGTAAGCGGCAGGAATCGAGAGATCTGGAATTCATTGGTTCAAGCCCAATTCACCTCATCAATACTACACTTGGGGATTCTTACACCATCACATTTCCAAAACAAGAGGGGAGGGGAGCCAAATAGCCCATGGGTAAGCATTATAGCACATCTATTTTAAAAATATTTGAATACTTTGGTTAAAATGCTATGTAACACTGCCAAAAATAAATGGACCTTCAATAATTGTGGCACAAATATCTTTATATAGGAAAAAACACATCACATGGGACAGAAACGGAAACACAGTTTTGCAGGCTCAGATTAGAAGATAACCATGCAAACATAAAAAGTAGATATCATATGCTTTAGTCTTTCAAGTGCCACAAGACTGTTTTACTTTCAATATTCATTCTTTATTATTTTTAGGAATTACCTTTGTTTTTAAGGCACATCTGCAGGAAATCTTTGATGTGCGAGAACATGGTCCACATTCTCCTTCATGGCAGAGGTTTTCACATGTATGAACAGCATCTATGCATAATTAAGAGAATATGGTCAACTGAAACTTTAATACACTGGGTTGTATTTAACTAACGTGTCCTGTCAGCAAATGGGATTCACCTTCCTCGCCCTACACCCTTACCAAATCTGCTCCAGAGGGTTGGGCAAATCCATAGAACAGATTTAGAGGCCTGCTGGAGGAGGAGGGTGGGCGGAAAGTATTGTGGCACAGCCAGGTATTACTGCATTGATGGGGCATGGTAATGCTAATTTGGATACAACCCAGAGTAACTATGTATTCCCTGAGCAAAATAAGCAATCACAGATTCCATTCCTTACAGTAAACAATAACACTAGTTGTCCATGCTACCGCTTTTGCAACAAATTTTGAAACTTTTAACTTTATTGTGAATATATCATTCACTAGGTCCTGCGAGGTAGGTTAGACTGACAGATAATGGCTGACCCAAGCTCAGTCACGCAAGTATTTGAAAACAGGCGTTCCTAGCCCAAGTCTGGTGTTCTATGCATTACATCACACTAGGTCTATACATTACAAAGGTACGGTGCTCCGTTCATTTGCTCTTGTGCAGGATTCACCAGCTTGGAAAAACTGCCTTTCTTACAGCAGTTAGATCCTTTTTATCCTGGTGGCTGGAGGTGAGAGGCTGCGCAAAAGTACAACCGTTTGGTAAAACACAGAGCAGCTTACAACCTCTTTTCCGTCTTCCTCCCCAAAGAAAAGTTTCTTATCTATATAGGCTTTTTCTATCAACTTGAACTGCCACCATAGAAATGCACTTTTATTTCATCTTTTTTTTAATCGTTCTGGAAGTGGCAATAAAATTCAACACAAATGAATGCTACATACACAAGCAAGCAACATTCTAATTACCAAAGCTACTACAAGGCAGAGGTTTTCCACATGTTCTTCCGCACGATGGGATGGGATCTGTGCAGAGTTTACGTTCTGTGCACCCCAGCTCTAATAATTTATTAAGGGGCGTTTGCCCACAAGGGCAACAGTGCACTATTTGTGGCAGCCGTGGACAAGGCTGGCAAGACTGGGGATGGCATACTTGTGCACAGTTGTGCATTCCACAGGATAGTTTTCTGAAATTAAAGAAATACAATTTATCCCACGTAAGGCTATGTTAATCCACAAACGTTGACAAAACTGAGCTCAGGTTCCAAGCAGAACTTACTTGCCACATGTTCTCAGACAAGAGAAATGATCCTCACTTGTCCCACACAACACTTCTCGAGAGGTGCTCCCACAGTAACACACTGTACAGAAAAAAGCATTTGGGGAGAAAGAGAAACAGAAAGGGTTATCATAAAGTGAAAGGACAACACATGAGCCAAAATAAAGATTAGCCAGATCAATTGGATTGACCCACCCCACAAAAGGAGTAAATCCTACACCAATCCAGAGTGGAGTCCCTAAGACGGTTGGATGGCACCTTGTACGCCTCCTTCTCGCAACTCCTGCAGCCAAGCTGGTGCCAAACGTACTGTTCTGCTTTCCTTTGGAGCACATCAGCAAGGCTGGGGGTATGTGTCTTGTCTGGCAGCCCAGGACTTCCATACACACTTGCCCAGGCTTGTGCCCTGGGGAGGTCACTTCAGTGCTGTTAATGCAGCAAAAGCAACGTGGGGGGCAGCAGTTACGAGTTACCAGTTTCTGCAGCCACACCAGAAATCGGCACAATTAAAACACCATCCCTAATTGGAACCGTAAGAAATTGCACAGTGTATGATTGGATTGTTTCATCCTTCTCATGTAAGAGTGTGATTTAAAGTTACTAAGTTGAACCACTAGGAGTGTGTACAAATACTGTAGCCTTAAAAGAAGAAGAAAAACAGCAACCTTATGAACTGCATGCAGTTGATTACCGACTGGACACTTCAGAGGAAAAAAACATGTTTTGAGTCATTTTAGTGACCAGCTGCTCTTTTTAGTCTTCATCACTAACTTAAACTAAAGGAGAATGGGAGAGGGAGAGCACTATTCTTCTGATAATACTCCCAATTCCCTAGCTATGTTCCGTTTTCCTGATGGAACAATGGTGTCTCCAGCCCTGTTGCTGCTACATCATTTTGTTACTGTACTTCAGTAGCTCTATTTCTTCATGTCAATCCATGAAAAGGTTCAGGAAAGCCTAACAGAATTCTGAAGCATGTTGGTCCTACATAATCAACAACTCCTGGAAGTTTTAGTACTATTTTATTAGAAATTTAATTTTACACACACACACACACACACCACTCACCTTGTTTTACAGTCAATTCACACGGCTGGCATTTTCCTGAATGGCATATCTGGGCACAGCTATGTGTACCACAATTCAAAACATTCCCACATATATTAGTACACTGAATTGCAGTAGAATGCCCACAGCGAACTGAATGGCTGTAGAAGAAAACTCAGTCAGTCATCAGTTGCAGCTGGCAAGATTAGAATACTGTGTTTATAGTTTAGGCTATCACCCACATTCCCTCTGAATGTGACTACATATATTTAGTAAAGGAGCTGTTAATATTAACAGGCAAGTCCCTTTAGGCTTTAATATATGCTCCATTGAGGGTTTTGCTAAATTAAAGGGAGAATAATTCCATAATAGTGAAAACCACAGAGATCTTTATTTAAACAGGAAAAATGCTTCCAGCACCCGCAGTACCAGCGTGTCTTAAAGCATATACTTTTGCACCATTTGAAAATGCAAAACTATTCTTTGCAATTATGCAGTTGTAGCAGCACACAGCAGGTTACACCAAAATGTAACTTTTAAAGTGGCAGTTATTTTGTCTCAAATAAAATGCCCGTGCACCCTTTCTCAAATGCAAATTTGATACAATTAGTCTGAGTTCCGTGTGTCTAAAGAAGCGTTCATCTGCTCACACAATTGGGCATATGCTATCTAAGAGAAAATACTTTGGGGGTGGGAACCATTTCCATTTGGTTCTATTTGTCATCTGTGAAGTAGTTCAAATGGCTTTTAAGCAAACAAAAGGAGATAATGTAGCATTTCTGTTAATTCATTTGTACCTATAACAAAGGGAGTCAGCTCAATCTGAGAAGGTAGTTTGCAAACCTGACACAAAAGAATTAGAAGTTCGTATGTACATGAAATCCATACAAATCATGGTGGTTGGGGTGGACAGTAAGAAAACCTCTTAGAATGGTAAAGCAGATGAGTTATCTAGCTTAGAAGTTATTTATTTAACTCCAAATGAGGAATATGTTGCCCTCCAGATGTTATTGAACTCCAGTGCCCATCAGCACCAGCCAGCACTGGCCAGAGATTTGGGGTCTCAAAGTAGCTTTGAGTTCCTCTCCAAGCCCCTAACACATTCTCATTTAGCCCAAGTTTGGCTTAGCATGATGTGTGAACCAGGCTGAAATGGAACCTATGTTTTAGCTTACTCTTCTAAGCCTGCCCCTCAGAGGGTGCTATAGGAATATACCAATGAGATTTCAGCTTGCCATCTTGCAAGTAGAAAAATTGGAGTGTTTTGCCCAGTACATATGTTAAAATTTAAACCATGTTTTCCAAGCCAACTTCAAACCATTTTTTTTCATATGCCAATTTGCAGCTAATTCACAATTACTCACATACCGGCTGCACTGAAGGAATCAGCCATGGTTTACTGTGATGAGAAAGCAACACTGGCAATTACATTGAAAGTGTCTTTTTGCTCATGAGCAAAGTGTCTCCTCAACAGACTTTACCACTAGCTCAAGAGGCAGGGTAGGCATCCCTGTCTCTCAGTGATGGGGGCTGTGATTCCCATCAGTCCAAGGCAGGTCTGCTAGCATTCTGAAATAGCTATACATCTGGCCCTGACCTCATTTTGCAGTATTTGGTTTCTGTGTACCTGGGGAGATAGTGGCACTGCAGAGAACTCATCTCAAAGGTCAGAGCATTTTGGCAGGGCTGTGTCCTCCAGCCAGGAGAGCCCTACATAAAGTACTGGTGGTTCTCTCATCCCCACCCCAAACACCCTGTTTCTGATGCTGCAGGGGGAAACTGACCTGGCATTGTTTTAGTTTAGCTTTTTCTTCTTTAAAGCTGCTCTCAGTATCCATGCTGATTTATAATTCAAGTACCATTGTGCATGCCCTTTTCCATATAACCAAACAAGAGTCTATCCAGATAAGACTATTTTCAAAGTGAAGGGAAATTAAGACTAAAAAGGAAATGGGGGGTGAGGGTATAATGCAATTTCAACAGGACAATCTAATCTACAACTCTGAATTGTAATCATACACAAAATGATTATATAGCATACTATGATACACACAGAAGCAACACAAAACTGAAAACCTGAGCTTAGTGGGCCTTACTATATTTATCTTTTACTATTTTTCTTAGTTTTAATTCGTGGGACAACCTGAGAAAAAAACACCTTAAGAACAATAGCACCAAATATTGGCAACTTAATTTTTACATTAGCAGCAGCAATGAACAAAGAAAACTCGAGGGCCAGCCCATAAATCACGTTCCATTTATTTCAGATGTATCAAAATTATCTATGAATTGTCTGGAAATTCTTACTTGACAGGAATCTCACACAGCAGGGGCACGATTAGTCACAATAGGAAGAGTTATTTGTGGTGTACATCATAAAGACAGCAGGCAATTGCTAGGCAATCACAGCAGAGAGGGTGGCATCTATTTCTGATGCATTTTGCTGTACAGCCTGTAAGAGCTTGTCACTGTACATAGAGAGATCACGTACAGAAAGATTTGCTTATTGCAATATCCCATTGAAGCTTCATATAATATTAGTATCTATGTCATGCTTTCCTTCTCAAGTAATTTTGTTTTTCTTCCCTAACAGCACCCTTCCATATTTTCAAATTTTGGTAAAAAGAATGATTGCCATTAAAAACACTGGCCACCAGCCAGAGGAGGGCACTGCAGTAGACAATCCAACTACACATGGAAGGAGCATGTATACTAGGAGATACATGCCATTAAAACGGTAGCCAGCCAATTTCCTAATTATATGGACCATTAAAAAATATTATTTTAAATAAATACTGTATTATTTTAAATTTTTCAGATTCTTCGGAGACATTAACATTACAAAAAAAAAAATACTAAATTATTATTCTGTGACAGGCCACAAATAAATTTTAAGCTTTTTGCAATAAAGTCTAAGTATGATCTCACCTTGTGCGTCCACATTCACATTTTTTGGTCATAAAAGCAGGACATGATGGGCACGGTCCTGGATGGCAGAGTCTGAAAAATGGAAGTATTCAACAGAATTTAAGTTTTGTAACATTTTCATTTCAATCTGATTCACAAAAGTCAGCAGTTATCCTTGCACGCTGAAGTTAAGGCATCATCAGAACTTTACTACACGGAACGTAATTTAATAATTGCAGTGCTGGACACAATACTACCATGCCTAACACAACACAGAAGCCTAGTTAAGATATAATGATGAGGAACAAATCCCCAGCTGTCTTTAGAATATCAGGAGCAGTTATTTATTTTAGAGCACAATCATTTGATATTCTAGTTAATGTCAATTTTCATTTAACACTCACCCATGGTGAAAGTTAACAGGGAAAGGGCAAAAGGATTTCACACCCTAAAAGGAAGCGGCTGGATGGGAAGGAAATATATGACCCTACAGCTGCTTATCTCTAACATGCAACTAAGTGAACCCCACCATAAACGTTTGCACCATCTCAGCAAGCCCTGCTTACGATCTCAGCAGAACCACTGCTGTGTCCAAAATGCTGCCGTTCACACTGGCTAGGCAGGCAAACGGGGAGGCCAGTGAAGTTGTTCTTTTTCACTGCATAAGCTCCAGGCTGGTATAGCCAAGAGGCCCAGGTTGGGCCCATTAGCAGTAGCTGGACCAGCTTAGCACCCGGTGGATTCTTGGCCAGTCAAGCTCTGTGTTCTCCTCATCCGCTGACCCTGAAGCTCCATTTTGGGGAGTTGATACTAGCTACCACTAGTGGGGATACCACCAGTGATAGCTTCTGCCCACCATTTTGGCCAGTGCAGCAAAGACCTTCACAGTGGCACCTGGACAGTCAGCTGCATCCTAGCTTTCTTCAGTGCAGTGGATCAAGGGTTAGGACTGTTCTACCCACCACATGCTTTTGCAGAACAAAAGCAAAAAGCCCTGCTTATCTTTCAAGAGTTAAGGCATATAATCTAATGCGCTGGGAATATTGAAAAAATACTTACATATTACATAAATGTGGACAATCTTGAGCTGATCTTTTCTTTCTACAGAGTTCTCCACAGCTATGTGGAATTTCATTTCGATTCCATTCAGGATTTTTTACCCTACCTATAGAAAAAAAAACCAATACAGAGAATGTTCATTTTTAAAATCAATCAAAGACAGAACTATATTAAAGCTTTAAAAGATTTCCTTTTTTGTGATTACTCTTAATGAAGTTTTTTTTAATTCAATCCTCTTTTACATTTTACAACAGGTTTTTAAACTTACATGAGGACAATATGACGAAATTCTTCCAGCACACATCACCCTTCTCTTCTGTCTCTAATCCATTCTTTGTCTATGTATATATGTGTGTTTGTGCATAATACGTATTATATCCATTCAAGAAGTATGCACAGAACTTCATTTCATGTACCTACAAATACAATTAAGGTTTCCATGCTCCTTGCAAGTTTAGCCCTACAACTTCATCCCCTCACCCCTCTCCCCACTACAGGCTCATTCAACACACCTGCCAGCTATTAAAAGAACTGGAAACAACCATCTACAGCCATAATCATTCACATCCTATTATAATTTTAAACATATGTGATTCAGTCTATGCTTTAAAAGATGGAGCTGAATGTTTCCATAGTGACAGCAAATTGTTCAGCAGCAGACAAGATGGCAGCATCCATACCACAAGGTGCAAACGGTATTTCTTAAAGATCTTTATGAAGACAAGCAAATGAAATGTGTGCTTGTGTCAGTATGTATGGGGGGGTGTATATTTATGTATGTATATATTTAAAATGTTCAAATATATACTGTATATTAAATTTATATGCGACTCTTCAGTACTGCTTTTCTCAAGGCATGTAATAATAATAATAATAATTTATTATTTATACCCCGCCCATCTGGCTGGGCTTCCCCGGCCACTCTGGGCGGCTTCCAAAAGAATATTAAAATACTATAATACATCAAACATTAAAAGCTTCCCGAAACAGGGCTGCCTTCAGATGTCTTCTAAGAGCCTGGTAGTTGTAATACGTTGGGCAAATCCCCTAGTGTAAATTCCATCCTTTCTAGTTTTTTAGGTGAAAACAGTAAACAAACAAACAAACAAACAACCCTAACATTAAAAATATTAGTTAACTTAAGGAAGTGCCCTTCTCTTTTGTGCAACTACCTGCCTTCTGAAAAGCCTCTTCAGAGAAGAGGGGCTTCTGAATAACATGGGATGGGAAGTAAGTGGAGTATAATAGATTATGTTTACTGTTGAAAAACAAAATGAAAACAATAGCCATATTGAGTTACAAATGCACTGGAAGGTTCGTTATGCCAAGCTGGAAAAATGAAATCAAAACGAACCCATATCAGAATGATGAAACTTTAAAAAACATTCAATATTCCTGACTCTGAAAGGCACTTACCACAGAAACAGGTGTAAATATTAGGAACTTGGGATGAAACATTTTGACAAGCAGGGCACCGCCAGCCACTATTACCATCTGCAAAAAAAATGAGGGAGGCTTTATAATTCTCAATCAATTTCAGGATGTATTTGATCACCTGAAGTAATAAAATATAGGAAAAACCATTTCTTGAAACAAGTCTCATGTAATACAGTACTTCAATAAACTTGTTTTACATAAAGTTAATTGAGGCTGTCGCACAATATTATGTACAACTATCTAAAAGCAGTTAAGCACAGGGGGTCTTATCAATACATTTAGCAAGTTGGAGGAAATACTGACCTTCAGTCTGTGCTGCTGGTGATCTTGCCCACTTCTTAATGCAGCTCAAGTGGAACACATGATAGCAATTCTGACAGCTCCACACTGGGGCCACCACACGGATCACATCACAACATACCATACATTCATATTTTTCTGAGGTAAGCTGCTCTATCAGAGACCCTAAGGAAGATATTTTAGGACATATACAAACATTATTCCAACAACAAATAAGTCCTGCGGCATACTAAACAAATGTACAGCAGCATAACAATGCTTTTGCCTTCAGTTACCAATTTGTGAATGGTATTTCAGGACATATTCCTTTATTTTTGAATCTTATCTTGCATAACCACCTCCCCACCCTACCCAAGGCCCATACCTGTATTTAACATCAAACACCTTCACTAGCCATTCCAGCCATTTGATGAACAAAGGTATCCAACAGCTCCTCTCCCATCTTGTCCCTCGGACCACTCATTGTCATCCCACTACCAATCCCCGTGCTCTGAGCCTTCTTCCCTTGGTGGTTCCCCAGCTGGTTCCTCCCACCATTCCTCTGCGTCCAACCAGTCCATGACAGTTGCTGACAGGTCTCCAAGAGATAAATTTTATATGCTACAGGCAAAGAGCAGCAAAATGAACAAATATTTTGTGGTGGTAGAGTTCAGATATACACGCTGACTGTAGATGCTCCTCTCCAACCCTGATCACAGAGTTACATTATGAGAAGCAAAAAGTACCATATTGCCAATAGGCAAGGTGATGCTCCCTCAAGCACTGAATTATCTTTTCATCTAAATAGCAACACTATCTCATCAGTGCAGCAGGTGTCCTGATTCTCTGTAGGTACGACTTTGCAAATGCAAAGTGGCTGTAATTGCCATGAAACAGCAGGCAACTCCAAAACACCAGCCTGCTCAGCAGTACTACAAAGATGAGAGACTTTGCACAGCAAGCGCTGCTGACATTACAGTACTACTGGCACACCTTTCCAAGCAACATGATGTTGAACTTCAGGACATTATTTGTTTGTTACAAACAGAGGATGTCATTTATAACCTTAGCAGTTAAATGTGTTCTATCTTTAAGGAACACTTCACACACTGACTCAACTACAGTGGTACCTCGGGTTACGTAAGCTTCAGGTTACAGACTCCGCTAACCCAGAAATAGTACCTTGGGTTAAGAACTTTGCTTCAGGATGAGAACAGAAATCGTGCTCTGGCGGCGCGGCGGCGGCAGGAGGCCCCATTAGCTAAAGTGGTGCTTCAGGTTAAGCACAGTTTCAGGTTAAGAACGGACCTCCGGAACGAATTAAGTACTTAACCCGAGGTACCACTGTACTGCTGCAGATAATCTGAGGCAAATTCTAGTGCATCCATGTTAAGCCTCACCACTTTCCCACATGTGCACCAAAACACCCTGGTGGTTTGATAGTGCACAAATAATTATGATGAGCCAGCTACGTTTCAGAAAAGCTTCTCGCAGCACAATCCTAACCATGTCTACTTAGAGGTAAGCCCTACTGAATGCAATGGCGCTTACTGCCAGGTGCATGGAGCTAGGACTGCGAAACCAGCCATTGTTGGTCTTTTTCCTCTGAGGAACTCCTGAGGTGGTTTCAGGGAAACTTCCATAGCGTTCCTCAAAATCACCAATATACCATTTGGAGATCAATTAGGATCACTATTCAGATATCACACCCTATTCTAAACCCAGGAAATTAAAAGCTTGCCTAGTGCAATTATATACCACACAATTAATCAAGTTCACAACTGAAAACCTAGGAAAATATACAATCAACTGCAAATAAATAACAAGTACTGTAAGCAATTGACTCAGCAGCTGTACCAGCACACAATTAAGAGTAAAACCAGCATAAAACCATATGAAGTAGCGTAAGATCAAAACAAACTCTAACATTATCCAACCAAGGGGAAACAGATAGTTTAGGGATAAGGATGTTATTGCTCTCCAGATTTTTCTAGACTACCAACTCCCATTTTACCGATGGCCATGATGGCTGGGGCTAATAGGAACTGGAATCCAACATCTGGAGATTCACAAGTTTCCTATCTCTGAAAAGTTCAAACAACAACAACAAAGTTTCAAAGGCCAGAAACAATGAAGGCCTTCACCTGCTACTGAAAAGTTCCCATTGTAGATACTATATCCACCCATCTTTCTGACATTCATTCATTTGTTTTGCCCTGCTCCAACATTGCAATCATAATGCATGTACCCTAACTTATTTTTTCTCAGATGTTTCCTACATATACATCCAGAGCACTCATCCATAAAGCCAGCTTCTAGCATTTTGAATAACAACAACAACAATAATAATAATAATTTATTATTTATACCCCGCCCATCTGGCTGGGCCTCCCCAGCCACTCTGGGCGGCTTCCATAGAAACCAAAGATACACTAAAATATCACACGTTAAAAACTTCCCTGAACAGGGCTGCCTTAAGATGTCTTCTGAATGTCAGGTAGTTGTTTATCGCTTTGACATCTCGTGGGAGGGTGTTCCCTCCCGAGAAGGCCCTCTGCCTGGTTCCCTGTAGCTTTGCTTCTCGCAATGAGGGAAGGCCCTCGGCGCTGGACCTCAGCGTCCGGGCAGAACGATGGGGGTGGAGACGCTCCTTCAGGTATACTGGACCAAGGCCGTTTAGGGCTTTAAAGGTCAGCACCAACACTTTGAATTGTGCTCGGAAACGTACTGGGAGCCAATGTAGGTCTTTCAAGACCGGTGTTATATGGTCTCGGCGGCTGCCCCCAGTCATCAGTCTAGCTGCCGCGTTCTGGATTAGTTGTAGTTTCCGAGTCACCTTCAAAGGTAGCCCCACGTAGAGCGCATTGCAGTAGTCCAAGCGGGAGATAACCAGAGCATGCACCACTCTGGCGAGACAGTCCGCAGGCAGATAGGGTCTCAGCCTACGTACCAGATGGAGCTGGTAAACAGCTGCCCTGGACACAGATTTGACCTGTGCCTCCATGGACAGCTGTGAGTCCAAAATGACTCCCAGGCTGCGCACCTGGTCCTTCAGGGGCACAGTTACCCCATTCAGGACCAGGGAATCCTCCACACCTGCCCGCCTCCTGTCCCCCAAAAACAGTACTTCTGTCTTGTCAGGATTCAACCTCAATCTGTTAGCCGCCATCCATCCTCCAACTGCCTCCAGACACTCACACAGGACCTTCACCGCCTTCACTGGTTCTGATTTAAAAGAGAGGTAGAGCTGGGTATCATCTGCATACTGATGAACACCCAGCCCAAACCTCCTGATGATCTCTCCCAGCGGCTGCCTGTAAATGTTGAAAAGCATGGGGGAGAGGACAGAACCCTGAGGCACCCCACAAGTGAGAGCCCAGGGGTCTGAACACTCATCCCCCACCACCACTTTCTGAACACGACCCAGGAGGAAGGAGCGGAACCACTGTATGACAGTGCCCCCAGCTCCCAGCCCCTCAAGACGGTCCAGAAGGATGTTATGGTCGATGGTATCAAACGCCGCTGAGAGATCCAGCAGAACTAGGAAACAGCTCTCACCTTTGTCCCTAGCCTGCCGGAGATCATCAACCAGTGCGACCAAGGCAGTTTCAGTCCCATGATGAGGCCTGAATCCCGACTGGAAGGGATCCAAATGGTCTGCTTCTTCCAGGCGTGCCTGGAGTTGTTCAGCAACCACTTGCTCAATCACCTTGCCCAAGAATGGAAGATTTGAGAACAAAACAGAGCACCAAGGAAAACCACTTTTGTAAAAGCTAAAGGAAAGCACACAACTGGGCTTTCAGGTCCTCAAATGGATTAAGAATGGAGAAATTTACCTGTATGAGTTTCCTTGCTCTTTGGTGCATCATTTTGCTTTTTCCAGCGCCTACTTTTATATCCATCTTGAAGGACAGGTTTTCTCCCATCACGTGTACCTGATTCCTGTACTGGCTGTGCCTGTGCCACACTCACTAAGTTTGAACCCCTTTCACGCAGCACAGATTCTCTCTTCTCACTGGTGCGTTCTTTGGGAGGATGCGGAAGGGACGCATTCTTAACATGTTTTACATGTTTGCTCCTAGATGTATCTTGCCTTTTGCCAGTCTCTTTATTCCACATAGGCTCCTTAAAATATCTGTTTGCAAAGGGGTACTTTCTCCGTGCAATGCTATTGTCAGAAAAGCCATCAGATATTGCTTTTCCAAGTGATGCGTCAGAAGAGTCCGACTGTGTAAGATCTATTGCTGGTATATTTTCAAAGGGCTTGTCCCTCCATTTAGAAACTAATCTTTTATCCCTTTCAGGAGGATGTTTCTCCTTTTCCTTCAATCCTCTTCCACGTGAATGCATCAAATATGTCTTCTTTGGCTTTGCTCCTCTATTATCTGCAGTAGCAGCCTCCTTTTCACTGTCTGAAGAAAAATCACTGTATTCTCTTGGATTCATCCTTCGTCCTGGAATCAATCTGCTATCTAAACATTGAGGATCTTCTGAATTCCCTGCATTTGTCTGCTTTGCCTGATTTTTGCCATGTGTTCTATCATTCCTTGATCTCAGCCATCGCTGACTCTGTAAGTTGCGGCCCTTTGTTTTACCCATACTGTTGAACAATGAAGAATCTGGTTGGCTTCTATGCTGACTCTCTAGACTATAAAAAGTATGCTGATCTACAGGAGAATTTTCATATTTACTGTGTCTAGGGTGAGCAGAAGGTGGTACAGCATTTCTGTCCCGATTTGATTCCAATCTGGATTGACTGTTCCAGTTCAGACTGAAAGTTTGCCTGTCTCTTGGAATGAAGTCAGTTGCATCTGGATTTAACACACCTAGGAAAAAGGAATATATATTGAAAAAAAGCATTTTGCTGTTCAGCAAAACCCAGAATGAACTAACTGGCCAAGTAATGTCAAAATACTGTAGCCTCTTTTGGGTACCTTTCAGGTTTTGGGGGAGAAATTTCTGGGAAACAATGCAGTACGCACTAGCATGTTGTTTTTTTTACTCCAAACAACATTTTGTTTCTTTGGTAAAAAGATTAAGACCACAGTACTACATTTATCAAGGGACGTGGGTGGCGCTGTGGGTTAAACCACAGAGCCTAGGACTTGCCGATCAGAAGGTTGATGGTTCAAATCCCCGTGACGGGGTGAGCTCCTGTTGCTCGTCCCTGCTCCTGCCAACCGAGCAGTTCGAAAGCACGTCAAAGTGCAAGTAGATAAATAGGTACCGCTCCGGCGGGAAGGTAAATGGCGTTTCCGTGCGCTGCTCTGGTTCGCCAGAAGCGGCTTAGTCATGCTGGCCACATGACCCGGAAGCTGTACGCCAGCTCCTTCGGCCATTAAAGCGAGATGAGCGCCGCAACCCCAGAGTCGGCCACGACTGGATCTAATGGCCAGGGGTCCCTTTACCTTTACTACATTTATCACAATTAACTGATTGCAGTATTAAGCCAAAGCCAAATAACTACAAGCACTGAGGTATATGTGCTTTTCTCATGCAGCATACCATTATGACATTCTATATATTGTCAGGGTATTTTATATGAATCGCCCTGAGACCCCCAGGTACAGGGCTGTATATAAATTCAATAAATAATAATAATAATAATTATACTGCTTGTTGTGCAGCAACCAAGAGTCTCAACGCACATCTTGCTGTTACTATTACAGATATGAACTTATTTGCTTCAACAATAAAAAAAAATTTAGCAGCTCATCTCCGTACCCTACTCAGGAAATAACATTTTGCAAAAAAATTACATTCTATAAGATGCCTATTTCAAATAACCTTACCGTAAAGGTCAACTACAAAAGTGGACGGCGGGGGGGGGGGGAGAAGGGGGAGAGAGAAAAACGACTCTCTCAACAGCCCTTGCACAAAAACAAACACTTCTGCTAAAATTAAATTCTACCGCTGCCCCCCGCCCCAAACTGCATCCCGCAGTACATACTGGCAAGCCAAAAGAATCAACGTCTCAGTGCTGCATTGCAACCACGGGTAATCATATTCGGCTTCCCGGTATTTCGGGATGATCTGCCCCCGCATGGGGCATTTCAACGGAGCCCTTTCCCGAGCTCCGGCGTTTCCCTGCTCCCTCCTGCACCGAGGGGCTCCTGCAGCTGTGGGGATGCTCCTTTCCGCGCTTTTTGCATGAGCGTCACGACATCTGTTGATGCGAGATGCACTGCAGCAGCGGCGGCGGCGGAGAAAGCTGAGGAATGAGGACCGTCACCACCACCATGCAATATTGCAGACTTCTTCCAGGCTCGCCGCCTCGCGCTTGGGAATCACGGATGGTGCGCCCTCCCTCCAAGCTGCTCGGAGAGCCCGGCGTACAAGTAGCACGAGCAGCGCGTTTATGCAACCGATGCTACTGCCGCCTGTATAACCCCCCCCCCCCGGCCAGCACACACACGCCGCCGCCGCTCCTCCCCGGTTGCACTCACGGAAGCAAGGCGAAAACTCGCCCTTCCGACCTTTCCCGTCCGAGGCCTTGTGCCCGGCGGAGGGGCTAACCCGGGTGGAGGCGAGGAGTTCCCCTCAGGAGCGGGAAGCGAGGCGGCGCCTTCGCCCCCCTTTCCCCACCCCTCCGGCCTCCCAAGTCGGGTCCTGTCACACACGAGGCTCGCATTTTTTCATTCCCCCCACCACCACCACCATCCAGGCCCGGCGGCGGCTTCGGCGGCGGCTTCGGCCTCCCGCCCGCCCGCCTGCTCTAGCCATTCCTTACCTGAGCTTGGCAACGCCGCCTCCGCCATGCCGCCCGCGCCACGCCGGGCAAAGCAGCCGGCCAAGCCGCCTCACACACAACTCCGCGCTCTCCCTTCCGCGACGCTGCCCCGAGGAGCTCCCGCTTGCCCCGCTGTGGAAGGAGGCGCGCAGGCGCCGCGCTCCGACCGACCGACCGACCGCCCACTGCCTCAGCCTGGCGCCGCCCCACGGGCGATGGCGCCCCCTTCTTCTTCTTCTTCTTCTTCCTCTTGCCTCAACTACCTGATGCAGGCCGGCCCAGGCGGGAGGAGGCCGCGTCAGGACAGCGCTGACGAGAAAGCGCAGGCCCTGCTGAGGCTCCCGCGCCCAAAATCCAAGTCGGCTGCCGACTTTCCCTCCCTGAATATTACCCACGTAGAAACAATACGAATCAATAATAGGCACCAGCAGTGCTTTTTTTCCTGAGGGGACGCATACCCCTAAACATTTTGTGACTCTTAAGTTTGGCCTCATTGAGGGGCAGTGTTTCAATATGAGTAAGAAAATGAGAGTATCCTTAAAAAAAAAGAAAAAAAGCACTGGGCACCAGTATATATTTAACATAGTCTCCCTCAGAAAAGAGACGGGGAAAATGGAGAGGGAGCATTTCAGTGCAATGATGGTTGCTCCTCAGGAGAACTTACAGTCCCTGCTTCGTCTTTGAGGTTGGGGCAACCAAAATTATGCTTTTAAAAATACACACACACGTTCTTTTAAGTAGCAAGTATTCAGGTCTGAAAGCGAACAAAAATCCTAGCAGTTGTCATTTCTTGCCTGCCTTTCATTTAAAAAAAAAAAAAGGTCCCCGAGTCATATGAAAACACAACATAGAACATACAACAATCCTCCAAAACAATAATTCCATACAACACATTACAGAATAATAAGATCAGGTTTTCGGTTTTTAAAGGTCAAGGTAAAGATGTATGTCTTCATCCAGTGCTTTTTTTCTGGGCGGACGCAGGGGTACGCATACCCCTAAACATTTTGTGAATCTTTGTACATTTGTCCATTTGCTGTATTTATTTTTTCCAATTTGAACTATAAAATGGTGATTTTCTTGAGTCAAAATGAGAGTACCCCTAAACATCTTTTTAGAAAAAAAGCACTGTCTTCATCAATCAACAAGCTGCAATCAGATGGTGCCAGATACGCTTTTGAAATTTATTTATTTATTTATTTATTTATTTATTTATTTATTTAATTTGTCAGTTGCTTTATCTTGCCCAGGATAACCCAAAGTGATCTACAGCTAAGCAAACAGACAACAAACACCCCACAGGTATATTAAAAGGAAGAGGAAAGAGAAAATACACATTAAAATTTTTCCCCTACTTCTAAAAATCCACTGATAGTTAAAAGGGTCTGGTTACAGAGGAAAGTTTTTGCCTGGCTTTCGCCACCCATCATTATTTATTTGTTTTATTTTGTAATAAAATTTTACTTTCATGCAGCTGTCCACAGCATTTAGCCCTAGGATTCAGGAGTCTTAGATATGCTGAAGTAATGAGGAAGAGTGTTATCTCTCAGCCTGTACAAATTTGGATTCAGTATCTGGCTCCCCAGTTGTCATATCACACCAACAACTTAAGACTGCAGTCATATACCCACTTGCCTGGGAGTAAGCTCCACTGATTTCAGACTCTCTGGTGTTCCTAGCCCTACCTGAAGATGCCAGGGATTGAACCTGGAACCTTCTGCTTGCAAAGGAGATGCCCTACCACTGAGATGCAACCCTTCATTATACAGTGGTACCTCAGGTTAAGTACTTAATTCGTTCCAGAGGTCCGTACTTAACCTGAAACTGTTCTTAAGCTGAAGCACCACTTTAGCTAATGGGGCCTCCTGCTGCTGCCACACCGCCAGAGCACGATTTCTGTTCTCATCCTGAAGCACAGTTCTTAACCTGAAGCACTATTTCTGGGTTAGCGGAGTCTGTAACCTGAAGCGTATGTAACCCGAGGTACCACTGTATTGTGAAAAGAAGAAATATTAGGGGGAACCAAATTTTGCCCTCACTCAGGGCTTCATAGTACCAAAGTCTGTGGCAGTGTGAGCAGTAATCAACTGTTCAAGTAAAAACCCTTCTTTCTAAAAGCTGCATACTACATTCACCCACACAAAATCTTTTGTTTTGAGTGAAAAATCTCTGGCCTCCCAAATACTAAGGTCTGTGTTTTAATAACAACATATCAGGAGATGTATTCAGCCAAGACAACTTCCGTATTCTGTCTACAGAATTAGGAGCAGATTGCTGCAAAGATGGCACTAACAGTTTCCCTCGTCCTAATTGTACCAGGATGTCAATACATTTTCACCAGAAGAAGACAATGAAAGCTTACAAGTATGAACAAACTCAAATTGAATCCAGACAAGATGGCGGTTATGACAGAGAAGCAGTCCACAGCAAAGGGCCATTCTCATGTTCCACCATCCGGACCTCTGGCACACAAAGAAGGGCCTCAGATGATGATCGCAGGGTCTGGGTAGATTCATATGGGGAGAGATGGTCCTTGAAATATTGTGGTCCTGAACTGATTAAGATTTTATAGGTCCAAACCAGCACTTTCAATTGGGCCCAAAAAACTAACTGTGCAGTCAGGCCAGCACACAATGTTATATGCTCAAACTGTTTTGCCCCGGTAAGCAACCTGTTTGCTGAATTCTGCACCAGCTTAAGTTTCCGAAACATCTTCAAAGGCAGGCCTACAGATAACACGTTGCAGGAATCTAACCTGGAGGTTACCAGGGCATAGACGGCAGAAGTTAGGCAATCCCTGTCCTGATAGGGATGCAGCCAAAGCTGATGGCACTCAGCGCCATTGAAGCAAACTGAGCCTCAGACGACAGCAATGGACCCTGAAGGACCCCAAGCTGCGTACCCACTTCTTCAGAAGCAGTGTAATCCCATCAAAAGCAGGCAGCTTCCCAGCAATCTGGTCCAGGGAACTACCAGCTAACAGTGCCTCTGTCTTGAGCTTGTTTATTGGCTCTCATTCAGTACCTTATCAACGCAAGACAAGAGTCCAGCACATCCGCTGCCACACCTGCAGATGCAAAGGAGAAGAGCTGTGTATCATCAGCATATTGCTGACCATGTACTTCAAAACTCTGAATGACCCCACTCAGAGGTTGCATGTAGATGTTAAACAGCATGGGGGATAAAACCAAACCCACAGTGAAGGCTCCACAGGGCCGGAGAGCACTCCCCAAGCGTCATCCTCTGGAAATGACCATCCAAGTGGGCCAGAACCACCTCAAAGCAGTGACACCAACCCCCAACTAAGACAGCCACTCCAGAAGGATACCATGGTTGATGGTATTGAAAGTCACTGAGAGATCAAGAAGAATTAACAAGGACATATTTCCTCGTCTCTCTCCCAACACTGAGCCAGTGTGGTGTAGTGGTTAAGAGCGGTGGACTCGTAATCTGGTGAACCGGGTTCGCGTCTCCGCTCCTCCACATGCAGCTGCTGGGTGACCTTGGGCTAGTCACACTTCTTTGAAGTCTCTCAGCCCCACTCACCTCACAGAGTGTTTGTTGTGGGGGAGGAAGGGAAAGGAGAATGTTAGCCGCTTTGAGACTCCTTTGGGTAGTGATAAAGCAGGATATCAAATCCAAACTCTTCTTCTTCTTCAACAGGGCGGCCAACGCAGTTTCTGTGTCAAAACTGGGCCTAAACTCCAATTGAAATGAACCTAGAAAATCAATTTTCTCCAAGAGCCCCTTGATCTGGTCTGCGACTACCTGCTGAATAATTTTGCCCAAGAAGGGGTGATTGGCAACTGGCCAGCAGTTATTTAGATTTTATTGAGGGTTTTATTGAGGAATGTTTTTACCACTGCCCATTTCAAGCAGGCAGGGACCAAGCCCTCTTGCAAGGCAGGATTAATCACCTCCATGGCCCAGCAAGCTGTCCCCTCCCTGTTAGTTTTTATCAGCCAGGAGGGGCAAGGGTCCAGAGTGCAAGTGGCTGCCCTGACTGATCCAAGCATTATTGGGGCCACAACTGATAAGACTTTCTCACAAGCTACCCCGCCTTGAACCTCTGAGATAGTAGAAAGACCAAGCCTTCCTTCATTTTCCTCCTTAACTTTCCCACCCGACGTGTATGGCCTACTGGTAAAGCACTTTAGAAAACACTATAAAGAATTTCATTAATTAAAACAATCATATATTGATACATATTGCTGTGGAACATTAATTCCTGCAGTGAAACCAATAGAGCAGGTGCATCACAACTAAAGTATCGTGGCTGTCAGTAAGATTTAATGCGGCTGTACATTATAATTGTTTATTTAAAGCATTTAGATAAACTTACAAAGGGTCAATAACAATTCTATGTGTCACCTCAGAAGTAAGCACCACTGAATTCACCAGGAGTTATTCCTAGGTGACAGGAAAAACAGGACTGCACCCTTAGTCACACAACTAACTTTATAAAATAATAATAATTTAGCTGGATTGTGGCCTGGCTGTTTAAGAGAGCATCCTTATTTCATAGGGGTAGCAGACTGGCCATGTGAGAAAATCAGCACCTTTTTCATTCAATTAGAGAAGAGTAAGGGAACATAGTAGAAAATCACTTTTTTACCCTGTTCCCTTGATTAAAAACCCTTCTGTGTGGTAAGAGCTCCACACAGTGGTCACACTGTGTGAGAACCGCTCACCATGTATGATGGGTGTGTGGAATTCATGCAATTATTAGCTCTCTGTATTTTATAGCTTCCACCGACATTTCTACTGGCTATTAGTATGAAACGGGGCTAAGGGTGAATTCTATTCCAAGAGGATAGCCATTTGTAATGGAAGGAAACAATAAAAAAGAAAGTATTTCAATTCAGCAGAACAGTTTCCCTTCGTAGGGAACCTCCAACCATTAAGCCTGCCAGGCCCCTTCAAATGGTCAACATTTGAGTTTCCGGCAAAGTCCTCTCATCTGCCAATCACTTGATGTCATCTGACATCTGTCAGTCATAGGGTTAGGCATAAAATTTTACATCTCATATATCTTTCACTTATTCTCTATACAATTCCTCCAAAGAATAAGGGGGAACTGAATATAAAATATATAAATATATATGTAAGATCCATACAATTTTGTACAATATTTTTATTTTGTTCATGTTGGAATCCACTTTTACCCTGTGGGGTTTTTTTTTTGTTTTTTGTTTTGCCTCTGGCTCCACCTACCACCCAAATGCAGCCCCCAGAAAGTTGGCAAGGTATGAATCTGGCCATAGGTCTAAAAGAGGCTCACTAACACCTCTTTAGCAAATAATGTATTTTTATATGAAGTATGTATCCCTTCCACTTGTCAACATGATGTTTTATTTTGGGAGATGGGTGAGAAATAGACACTGTCTATTTCAAATAACAGGAAGCAAGTAACAGCTACCTACATGATGCTGAATGTGGTCTTAAAACAATGTCAGTAGTTGCAAGGTATACCCAAATCAAAATTAATTATGTATTCCTCCCATCAGTGCGGTCAACCTGGCCAAGACTTTTGCTCCCAAATCCTTTCCAACCATGGATATTTGGCTGTAATCTTCTTCAAGATATATTCTTCTGTTTCATGCAGCTTTCATTTAAAGAACTGGCCAGATTCACACCTGCTATCTCCAGCAATGTTGCAGTCTCTAAGGTTCCCTCCCAGTCAACTGACTGAGCCCTGGTCTTGGGTTTTAGTCCTAAGCATATTTACATGGAAATAGGTCCAACTCAAGTAGATCTGTTGCTTGCTTAAACTGCAGAGTCTACAATCATGTTCTTCCCGGGTATGCTAGCTTTACAAACTATACTTTCTGCCTTCTGCCTGCCACTGTCAGTTTCTACCTACTGTCATGTATAGACTAGTAATTTCTCTCAACCCCTGTGGGCAAGATCCCATATTTGCCTCTAGAACAGTATCTAACACTGCATGCCTACTCTCAATGAATCAGTGGGAACTATAATCCTATATACACTCACCTGGAAGTACAGTCATACCTCGAGTTGAATGTGCTTCAGGTTGAGCGCTTTTGGGTTGCGCTCCACGGCAACCGGGAAGTAACGGAGCACGGTACTTCCGGATTTTGCAGCCTGCACATGCGCAGACGCTCAAAATGACGTGACATTAGCTAAAAAGTGGAAAACCCAAGAATTACCAACAGTAGAAGAATGGCAGATGAAGATGATGGATTTTTCGGAGCTAGCCAACCTAACCGGAAGATCCGTGACCAGAAGGAGGAGGATTATCAGGAAGAATGGAATAAATTTAATGAATATTTAGTTAAATTTGTTAAGTTAAATTAACCGGAAATAGCTTGCAGATACTTAATCAGGCTTAGGATTTTGTTTATGTTAAGTGATGAATTAATATGTTTAATTATATAAGGTGAAGATTTAAGGATGTTAATGTTTAAGTTAAATTTTAGAAAAATTGGGATTTGGAAAACTGTTAAAAGGACATGCAATGAAATTCAACCAAGGGGAAGCGAGGAAGCCACTTAACAAAGTTAATAACTGTAATTTTCAATAAGGCTATGATTTATGTTTGTTATGTTTGTTTGTCTTGTGTGTTTGTTTGTTTGTTTATAATACTGTGAAAACCAATAATTTTTTTGGAAAAACACACACAAAATGACGTCACGCGTATGCACGGAAGCAGCAAAACGCGACCCGCGCACACGCACCGTCGCATCTTACGTTCCGTTCGGGATGCGAACGGGGCTCCGGAACGGATCCTGTTTGCATCCTGAGGTACCACTGTAAGTCCTACTAAACTCAATGGGGCTTTCTTCTGAAAGAAATAAGATAAGCTGCAGCCCTATACACACTAACCTAAGTTTAAAAGGTAAGAACTCTTTTTTTAAAATGTGGCAGGTGATCTCCCCCACCCCCTTGGGCTTCAATAGGCCTACTGGCAGGGGGGGAAATGATGTGTTCACTTATGTACAATATTTTGGTACATGAGCTTCAGTAAGCACACAGCATTATCACCATCATCATCATCATATACCAGGGAAGATTCTGGAGCAGATCATTAAGCAAACAGTCTGTGAGCACCTAGAAAGGAATGCTGTGATCACCAACAGTCAGCATGGATTTCTGAAAAATAAGTCATGTCAGACTAACCTGATCTCGTTTTTGACAGAATTACAAGCCTGGTAGATGAAGGAACGCAGTGGATGTAGCCTACCTTGATTTCAGCAAGGCATTTGACAAGGTGCCTCATGATATTCTTGTAAAGAAGCTGGTAAAATGCCGTCTTGACTATGCTACCACTCAGTGGATTTGTAACTGGCTGACTGACCGAACCCAAAGGGTGCTCATCAATGGTTCCTCTTCATCCTGGAGAAGAGTGACTAGTGGGGTGCCACAGGGTTCTGTCTTGGGCCCGGTCTTATTCAACATCTTTATCAACGACTTGGATGATGGACTCAAGGGCATCCTGATCAAATTTGCAGATGACACCAAATTGGGAGGGGTGGCTAACACCCCAGAGGACAGGATCACACTTCAAAACGACCTTGACAGATTAGAGAACTGGGCCAAAACAAACAAGATGAATTTTAACAGGGAGAAATGTAAAGTATTGCACTTGGGCAAAAAAATGAGAGGCACAAATACAAGATGGGGACACCTGGCTTGAGAGCAGTACATGTGAAAAAAGATCTAGGAGTCTTGGTTGACCACAAACTTGACATGAGCCAACAGTGTGACGCGGCAGCTAAAAAGCCAATGCAATTCTGGGCCTCATCAATAGGAGTATAGCATCTAGATCAAGGGAAGTAATAGTGCCACTGTATTCTGCTCTGGTCAGACCTCACCTGGAGTACTGTGTCCAGTTCTGGGCACCACAGTTCAAGAAGGACATTGACAAACTGGAACGTGTCCAGAGGAGGGCAACCAAAATGGTCAAAGGCCTGGAAACGATGCCTTATGAGGAACGGCTAAGAGAGCTGGGCATGTTTAGCCTGGAGAAGAGGAGGTTAAGGGGTGATATGATAGCCATGTTCAAATATACAAAAGGATGTCACATAGAGGAGGGAGAAAGGTTGTTTTCTGCTGCTCCAGAGAAGCGGACACGGAGCAATGGATCCAAACTACAAGAAAGAAGATTCCACCTAAACATTAGGAAGAACTTCCTGACAGTAAGAGCTGTTCGACAGTGGAATTTGCTGCCAAGGAGTGTGGTGGAGTCTCCTTCTTTGGAGGTCTTTAAGCAGAGGCTTGACAACCATATGTCAGGAGTGCTCTGATGGTGTTCCTGCTTGGCAGGGGGTTGGACTCGATGGCCCTTGTGGTCTCTTCCAACTCTATGATTCTATGATTCTATGATTCTATGATTCTATGATCATCACCATCATCATCATCACACCTTTTCTTCAAGGAGCTTAGAGCAGCATTTCGATTTCAAGATGCATTTGTCCCTAGACTTTGTCTACAACAGATGTGTTGGAAGTTGTGAATAATGTGTACGCAAGCCCGGCACCCTCAAACACCAACTTCCCAAGCATGAATACAAAAGGCTGGTTACAAATCATAAGTTTTCTTTAGTTAGAAAAAAAAAATCTTATTTGAATGTTCATCAATACAAATTGTGTTTGGTGCTTCACAAAAACACGCCTTGGGCACACGTCACTGCACTTGACTCCTTACAAAACACTTGCAGTTTCTTTTAAATTTAGATGCCTGCATTATCACAATATGCACAGTCAAGTCTCAGGTGACTATGGCAGACTCCAGTGAGTTGAAGTTACTTCGTTGTGTCCTTCCTCAACACACTTTTTTTTTTTGCTGAAGCCACAGGGGTTTGGTTCAGATTCTCATTCTTGCACTTCTGTGAAATGACCCATACATGTTCTTGCATTACAGTTCACTTCTGAAAGTCTTTCACGGCCTTCAAAGTATCAAACTACCTAATGTGTAGTTTCGGCTTTGGGAACAGCTACTTAGCAGAATGAAGGGTTTTTTAAGTTGTTAACAAACAATCCTTCCTGTGCATTCTGCGAAAAGATGTTGCTGTACCAGGTACACATGATACTTTTTCTTCAGGGCACTGTGGCGAGGTAGTGGGACACCTTGGTTCAAAAGCTACCTCTTAGTAGGAGAAGGTTCTTGTGGCCTCACCCAGCATCCAGGTGCTGCAAATAGAAAGGAATTCATCATTAATTGTTTTGTTTTAAAATGCATAAGCTGCTAGATTTATGCACGAAGTGCTAGATTTAAAACAAATATTTACAAATATATTTTGGAAAGTGGTTTGTCTGTCCACCTGTCTGTTCTCTATACGTTTGGCCATTAAGGATGGGCAATACCTGGTTTTCAACATTGTGATATATCAGCAGCTAAATACTGTGATATGCTGGTATGTCTGGAATGTATCTCAGCTGCTTCTTCCTCCCCACCTTAGTGGAGGAACAAGCAGCCGAGATACATTTCCCAGCCCTACTGAGCAAGTCCCCATACCGCTCTGACTCACACATGCCAGAGGGGCACGGGGCTTCCTTAAACTGTTCAGCTGAGCAAGCCCCGATACCGTTCTGGATCACATGAGCCAGAGGGGCATCGAGACTTCGTTGAACTGCTCAGCCAGCCCCAAAACAGCAAACCCCACAGTATGCCAGATCTGGAATGTTAGGGATGCTGGCATGGGGATGGTTCCAAAGGGAAGGTTTGAGTATATGGGGTTTCATGTATATGTGGAAGCCTTGGAAGTCAACTGTCACGTAAGATGTGATCGTACTGTATCTCCATATATCAGTAATATTTCCTGGTTATAATTTTTTTTTAATGACTTTTTTTCTTATTCCCCTTAAAGATGACCATGGGGGGGATTAACCAAGCCATTGAACTCTCCCTTGATAAGAATTTATCTGTCCATGATGTTTTCTGGTTTTTAATTCATTCAATTTCAATCACAGAATTGTAGAGCTGGAAGGGACCCTAAGTGTCATCTAGTTCAACCTCCTGCAATGCAGAAATCTCAACACATGGTCCCCTATCCAATTACAGAAATTCCCCCTATTTGCAAGGGAGACAGGAAATATATAAGATATAATGCTATGTAATATCTCCTTTGAAGAGTGAGTTATCAGATGGAAGTTTGCACATACGGGGCTGTCTTTCAAAGACAAACCCCATCATGATCACACCTGTTTTCAAGGAGAGTAGCAAATATGTAAAACCCAACTCAAAGCACAATTTCGTTTGAAAATGAGCTATTGGCATGAAATTTGACCTATGTGTTCTGGATAAAGATGTGTTCTGGATTTCAAATTTGTGTTCAGGATTTCAAATTTAAACCCATCTTCAGCTCTAGATTCAGTTTCAAGAGGGCCAGGAGTCAGGTCTCTCAAATACTGTTTTATTAGTAACTATCAGCTTCATCCCCAGTGTTGATCAGGAATTGTAAGAAACAAAATAATAATAATCTGTAGTTTTGAAAGGTTCAGTCCACCATCTTGATTCAAAATGGTGTCTAACTGAACCCTAACATAGAAGAAAACTGTTCCTTCATCTCAAGAACCATCATGCAAAATTTGGTTATGATATCGTAAGAGGTGTCCAAATGCAGAGCAAACAGGCAAACAACTTTCCGAAATATATAGCAGATAAATAAACCACCATCCTATACTTACACTGAGGTTTTCCAGGGCTAGTGTTGCTAACACTGCTTTCAAACGAAGAGTGAAAGTTGTGTATGGTCTCCTGTAAAATTTTTCTTTCGCGGCCCTGTTGAAAACCATAGTTAGAGCAAGAACCAAATGCATAGTCCATGTTTAAATCTATCAATGCAATCATTAGTAAGAGAAACTTCAGCTTGGTTCTTTAGGAACACATGCCAGGAAAGGTGATCATGTTTGCTGGTAATGGTGTCAATGAAATAACCTTGTTTGCTCCAGTCTGCTTCCGGCACAAGGTACTCTGGTTTGGGACTGTACAACCTTGTGACCCAGCAAGCTAAACACAGCCCACTGGTTATATATTATACTGTGATGCATCTGCTACCCTCTATAGTAACATTTTGGCAGAATTTTAAAGCATTCATACTCATCCATGCACTTGATGGCTGAAAGATGCTGTTTTAGACAACCTTCAATAATTTACCTGCAGGGATAATTAACTGCTTTCAAATGTTTTGTATCGCGTTGGTGTTTGCTACCCAGTTCTCCTTTGGAAAAATCTAAACAACAACAATCTTGTTCTGCAGTGGCAGAATCATGTTAATAGGGAAACTGTTGACCTGGAGAGAACACTTTCCTTATACTTGTTGCCCAGCAGGAACTGAGAGTAATGACTGGGTGGCAAGGACTTCTGTAACTGGCCCTGCCCAAATAGTAATGAGCCTTGAAACACTGCAGAAGTTTCAAATCTGGATTTCCAATATGCCAAACTACCCCCAGTAATATACAAACGGTTGGCATTGAAGGCTGGAGTCAGAAGAACTGTAAAGTTCTTCTGAGCCAGCCCACTAGGGCAAAACTCTTTGGTGTTAAAGAAAAGGAGCTGTGCAGTCCTGAAGCCAACATCCTCTTCTCTGAGCACTCTCTATCAGATGTTGAAAAATCAAATTCTTAAAAGCAGAGAAAAACAACACTTTGAAAGTAAAATATATTCTGAAATACCTTTCCTGCATTCAGCTCTGAAATAGCTGCCAGAATTTGTTGTCGAGAACCATCAGTTTTAATTCCCAGTTCCTTCAAATCACCATCTGTGAGGGTGAGAAAAGCCTCCATATCCACCTGCGAAACAGAAATGTGTAAATGCATTTTCTCTCTTCTAATTTATGAAGGAGACACTGAGCTAAGAGGCAGAGAGAGCATTTTACACTCTCCATTTTGGCTCCAGCAAGACCTAAGTCCCCTTAACAGTCTGAGGAACTGCTGCTACTAATTTTAGCACTGTGTGAAGTGTTAGTCTGAAGACCTTGCAAAATAGCAAAGGAATCTCTGGATCAAAACTTGTCTCTGCTATTCATTACATAGGTGGCTTCATGGAAGTCATTCTAGGCCTCAGCCGGAGTTAATAACCCTGTTACAGAGATATTATAAGGGTCATGGATAATGTATGTGAAATACTTTAAACACCCTAAAGCACTATATCACTATTATTATCTACACTAGTGGCCAAAATTGTGGAAACCATTTTTTATTTTTAGTAACACCATAAAATTATACATCAATGGAAAGATAATTTAATGAAGAATGTAATGCAACAAAGTTGGTTCAATTATCTGTATTCTATCAAAATTTATAGCCAAATAACCAGAAAAAGAAAGCAAAACTTGCTTAGGTTGATATATGCAGTAGCTTTCCTACAATGTAGCCAATGAGCATGAGTGTTTAGAGAGCCAATCAGGTGTTATGAGCCGTCAAACCTTGGAAATACATCTGGTCTGACTCAATATAAGGCAGCTTTCTAAGTCCCTACGGTCAATACGTTTCTGCCATTTGTATCAAGACACTTAAAAACTAGGAACATACATCAAAAAGTTATATTGACTGAATGTTTAAACGCCATTGCATGTCTGTGGCTCACTGAAATAGTTAGAGAACAGGTTCTACTTTTGACTAGCTTTCAAGATTTGCATGAAAAGATATCACAACTGCAGCAGCAGGCAAAATAGCAAAACACAACTGTATTTCTAAGTAATTCTAAAAGGTTTACACAGCAGTGGAATATGCTTAAATGAACACTAAATTGCTATTCTATCTGAGCTCAAAGGCAGAAAGCAACTTATGCCCAAAGCTTTTGCACTTTCATATTGGGGGCACTGACCCAGAATATATATATTATATTTTCCTCCTTTATGCTCATGAAATATCACTTACAGTCAATAGAAGTCACTCAAGCAAATGGGTGTAATTCTTTATGTAAGTTTTGAAAAGCCACTTCCCTTTGCTATGTGGTGAAAATGGAGCGTAACCAAAGATAGCTGGACCAGAAATACTGGGTGGTTTGCTTTTGCTGTTGAAGCTGTGGAATATGGAGACTGCCAATGATATTATTGTCCTTTACCTCTCAGGAGGCCTAGTTGTCCAATCACAAAAATAATAGCAGATTTGAATTCCTCACACCGAAAAACATATTTTTAAACTCCCTTACTGAAGAAATTTGCAAAAATTAAGTTTTACCCCCTAAAATGACAGGCCCTAATCAATGAAACTAAGAGAAGAGACTGAATAATCCTGGTTTCATACGGTCATGATGTAATTTTTGTTCTTATACCAAATTTGAGTGCGATTCCATTTTGAGAATCTCTTCTAAGCTGCTTTAAAAGCTTCTCTGGGCTATAAGGAAGATATAAGTATTCTTAACAAATAAATATTCAAAAACGCAGCCTTGCATTGTTGGTGGCTGCTCTGTGTTCCCTTTTAAGAACACTGTTTCTGAAAAGCCAGATAATAAAAATCTGAGATCATTCTGTAAATAAATTTCCTTATTGGCCTCCATGGCCTAATGATTCTTCATGATTTGAAAGTTTCAGCCAGCCTCACAGAAAGCATTAAGGAAAAGAACAAATAAAAAGTTTATACAAAACTTTACCTCCTGCTCTTCAAAAATAGGCTGATACTTCTCCAGTGAGAGTTTTTTAAGGATGCCTGTGAGTTCATCTTTAAATAAAGAAAGGAAATAATTTTAATCATTTTGACAAAGGGCAGAGGAATACATATCTTTATCGATATTTCGAACTAATCATGCAGATGCAAAGATCATATTGAGTAGTCTGAACAGCGATTTGTCCCTGAACTTTTCCTGTAACCCTGAAAATATTCAGCCATGCAAAACCTTCTATGCAATGGAGAGCATTATAGGTCTTGTGATTGCCCTTTCTCATACATACACATAAACAGAGTATTTATAGAAGAAAGGCCAGTCTGAAGATTTTAGTTTACCCCTGAAATTACTGGGGCCTGCTCCAAGTACTAACACTTTTGGGAAAGGCAGTAGGGTGTCACAGCTAAGAGCCAGGGAGGGTGATTGTTCTCCAAGTCTGTAGCAGCACTGCCCCAGTTCTTTCAGAGCTAAACTAGGCTTTCTGAGAGGTAAAGTGAAATAAAGTGGATTTCATGCTCTTTATTCAGCTCATAGCGGTGAGGAGGAATGGAAGTTCCCCCAGAATGTCCGCTTTATTTACATTATTTACACAATGGGCCCCACGTGATTGGCAAATTCCGGGATTCTCCTGTAGGCCAATCAGGTTGTGGATTCATTTCCACTTGGAGCTGGATTGGGTGGCTCCTGTGGACCAATCGGACTGCTGCATTCTGGATCCTACTGTGCTAGGACCAATCAGACTGCTGCATTCTGAATCCTATTGTTCTAGGACCAATCAGACGGCTGCATTCTGAATCCTATTGTTCTAGGACCAATCAGACTGCTGCATTTTGGATCCTATTCAACTCAGTACATAACATAAAGGATAGATGAGTAGGAGATAACCACACAGCAATTACTGCATAGCTGTCTTCCCCTCTCTCTTCCTTTTGCTGGATGGGAAAGTCCTACCTACTTACTTCAGGATGTTTGAAAGCAAAACAGTATTTTAAAAAACCAGCTCCTATATACTGAAAACTTGCACGTTTCTGTGACAAGCCTTCTGCTGCAGCAGTTCCTTGCCCCATATGTGCTGGTTTCTATTTGCAGAGCGTTTTCGACGCGGGAGGACATCCAAATGCACAATTCACATTCTAAGTAGTACAGTCCAGTGAGATCCTGCTGACGCTGTAGCCGGGGACTGCTTACCTTCATCTGTGAGAGTTCCACTGCTGGAGCCACCGCTACTTTTCCCTTGCCTGTGAGAAGAGGAGAGAGAAGACTCTGCACTTTGAACCTTGGGGGATGCTGATGGTGACGGTGATGGCGTAAGAGTTGGGGATGTGCTTTTAGAAGTAGACGAATTTTCAGATGGAGGCTTTTTGTTCACATCCAACTTCTGTTTTTGTTAACAATGAACAGAAGAATAAATAATCATGTGGTTAATAATAATAATAATTCATTACTTATACCCCCTCCATCTGGCCGGGCCCCCCCAGTCACTCTGGGTGGCTTCTAACAGAATACAGTGGCACCTCGGGTTACATTCGCTTCAAGTTACATACACTTCAGGTTACACACTCCGCTAACCCATAAATAGTGCTTCAGGTTAAGAACTTTGCTTCAGGATGAGAACAGAAATTGTGCTCTAGCGGCGCAGCAGCAGCAGGAGGCCCCATTAGCTAAAGTGGTGCTTCAGGTTAAGAACAGTTTCAGGTTAAGTACAGACCTCCAGAACGAATTAAGTACTTAACCCAAGGTACCACTGTATTAAAAGCACAATAAAACATCAGTGGTAGGCTTTGGTAGCAGGAATGTTTCTCTGTTTTATTTTAATGTTCACATGAAGTACAAGGACTTTAGCACATGTTTACTTGGGTATTTTTATCTCCTTACATAAGCAGACTCCGTGGTAATTAAAATGTTCCTCCTGACAAAAATGTATTTGGCAATTGGCCTTACCGACGGCGTATTGGGGTGATTCACACGGTTGGAATATGAAGACATCTGGTTATAACCTTTCACAGAAAAAGCTGTGTGTGCTTTAAAGCAGAGGTTATGTTCCACAACATGCATGTATGTTGTCTCGCAAGCATCTTGCCACTTCCCTCTAATGACCCACACAGTTTCCTTTCTGGACTAGTGCCAGAAACGCCCATATAAATTACTCTAAGGATCTCAAGGAGTTGGCCAAATTGAATTCAGTGAATCCAATGCATTTACGAATGGAAAACACCCCATTTCTAACATTGGAAAGCTTTTGACCTGTCTAAACTTTTTACCAGTAAATCAGCTGCCTGAGAGGGTAGCTTTAGATCTATACTTGACCCTGAAATAACAGTGGATTTCCCATGTTGAGATACCCCCTTCTTCTAGTAATATCTAAGCACTCTGCCCTTTAATGACATCGTCACATCATGAATTTCCCTACTTCCAGTCCAGATCATTGCTTACTGCTGTTGGGTAAAGCATGCTTCACTACTTCAGCTCTAAGCTACGAGAAATTTAAAAGACTCAAAAACCTTTAAAATGTGTCCATTGCCAATGGTCTGTGCACTTTCCACGTCAGGAGGGCAGGGTGAAGGAGCTGGGCCTATTGGCACTTGCTGTTGGCTTGGTTTATGTTCAGGAATACCAGCAGCTTTCTTCCTCTGAGCAGCAATTTGAGACAAAACACTATCGGCACTGCCACCTAACGAAAACACAAACCCCAATCTTACATAAGTCAAGAATGTAATAGCAATTTTATTATTCTAGACTGAGAACAATCTCATTTCAACATTTTCAAGCAACATTAAAAGCATCTGTTTACAAAGGAAGTGTCATTAAAAAGAAGAAGAGGTTTTCTGTCTATACTGTATTTGTTCTAGTCTGTCATCATGCTGATGATGAACTGTGCAATGTGAAGGAAGCATAGGAGACAGGCAGGCAGTGAGGTCAGTGAGTGGCAGGGTGATGCAACCAAGAGGGGCTTCCTGTGAAATGACAAGCAATGTGGGGGGCAGAGGAGGCAGTGGTGGAGCAGAGCAGGAATGGAAGATTAGGCTGAGAGCCAATGACTGGTCAGTCAGTGAATGGGGATTTAAACCCCAGTCTTCTAAGTCCAACACTCTAGCCACAACACCACACTAGCTTGTTAACAATATATCAGAAAAGACACATCATGTTATTGCGAGGACAAGAAGGCAAGAGGCCTTCTGAGTCATCAATGTTGAGAACAGAGGCCTTGTTGAATTTGAAAAGACTTACTTCTGAGTAAGCGCGGTTAGGATTTCACTGTTAGTCTGAGACCGTTCATAATGTGTACTGAATAAAATACCATGTAAAAGTTATTCACCCTTTACGTTTCTGTGCAACTATCGCCTCTCAAAGTCATCCTAGGGCATTCAACAGTTTAAAGCAGTGTTTTTTTATTTTTACTATTGCCATCTGGCTAGCTCATGTAAACAGCCTGACAGCTTGTTTCATAAAGCTAATGAGAATCTATTGATGTCATCACATTTGCGTGATTCTGTGCATGGGATTTGAAAAGAATGCAGACATGCAGAGCTTTGGAGACGTGAGATTAGGCAATATAAGAGGGACCTGCAAAAGAAGATGAGAATGTATTCCTACTAGGTGGTTCGGGGTATCCGGCCAGTCAACCACCAATACTTTCCTTCATCAGGCCATTCCATCCTTTCCACTAATAGTCAACATGTGCATGCTCTGAGCATGCTCAATCTTCACTGGGGTATTTAGGGAGTGTTTGTTTGTTTGTTTATAAAATGTACTTTTACAAGTCTTGCTGTTACCCCTATCCTGTTTCTCAGTGACTCTGTTTTGGCTACAATCCTGTTAGCACTAAGAACCTTAGTTTGCTAAAGAGTGATCAAATCTGAGCTCTTAAAAAACAACAACCAGAAAATAAATATCAAATTACTTTGAGGATGAGAAGGACAGAGGCACTGAGGCTAATAAGAGCCTGATACATGTAATTTTTGAAATGCTGTGTTCAAGTTAACTGAATAACTTTATTCAACAAGCATGGTGGTATGTACAGCACATTCACAGTGCTATCACTACTCCCTGATTCACTGGCCTCCTTTAGTTTTTTTGCAGTTTCTGACCAAGTTCAGACCTTGAAGGCGTGTTCTGCAGTTAGGGCTCACAGACAGCATTCTAGTAGAAGCACCATCACTCATCAACAGCTTGACAGCTGTGGAAAGGAAGCCACCACAGCTTTTCTTGTTCTGACCCTTCCTCGGCCCAGATCCCATCATCCACCTTCCTCACCCACCTACCTGTTGAAGCAAACAGCGCTTATGTTTTACATCACAAAAGATGGGAGAGCTTCGGGCAAAAGCGATCAGGAATGAAGAAGGTGGAAAAAGTTGCTGCAGTGTAATGATCTAGGAAGCCTCACTACTCATAATGTTCCCTCGCCACCTGATATCTGCCACACCCTTCCGCAATTATATCTGAGACTTCTCAGCTTTCCTTAGTCTTCAAGTCCTACCTGATCAGAATGACATTGCCCAGCTGTTTTGGTTGGGAAGTGTGTGTGTGCACCTTTAAACAAGCACAAAGCTGGCAAGTAAAGCTTTGTCTAACGATATGGGCATGGAAAAGTTTTACAAGCACGAGTTTCATCAGGTGAGGTTCTGGGGAAAGCTTTACCAGTTGGCCTTCTACTTATTCTGAAGTTCTTAAATACAAAGAAACTCTACCAGAGATCTTATCCACTTAGATACAGTGGCGCCCCACAAGACGAATGCCTCGCAAGACGAAAAACTCGCTAGACGAAAGGGTTTTCCGTTTTTTGAGTCGTTCCGCAAGACGAATTTCCCTATGGGCTTGCTTCGCAAGACGAAACGTCTTGCGAGTTCTTGCGAGTTTGTTTCCTTTTTCTTAAAGCCGCTAAGCCGTTAATAGCCGTTAATAGCCGCTAAGCCGTTAATAGCCGCTAAGCCGCTAATAGCCATGCTTCGCAAGACGAAAAAATCGCAAGACGAAGAGACTCGCGGAATGGATTAATTTCGTCTTGCGAGGCACCACTGTAATGATGGTTCTGTTTATGGGCATTACAAAATAAGTGCACAATAATTTCACGTTCATTTACAGGCTCTGAACAAAAACTTGTCAGGCAAAGAGATAAGAATCAATATATAATATAAGCACCTGATTTATTATGCATTTCTCCACTATGTCTGCTTACTCCGGCTATGCTGTTAGATCCACCAGAAGAGTGGGGGGAATGGTTGAAGTTGCTCGAGGTGGAGGGAGTAGGAGGTCTTCTTGCAAAGGCTGATAGTTTAATGGGTCTAGTACCTCTACTTAAGGACGCCTAGAAAAAGAAATGAGATGCAGCTTTAACTAAAGCGGATCACTAATATTTGAAAAATAGAATTACCCACTCTCTTTCACTTCCATGTACATTCGGGCAAGCCTAAATCCCTACATTTAATTAAGCCGAAGAAAAGCATTTTGTTTTTAAAAATCTCAAGCGCACTACAAAACATCAACAGGCCCTCTAGTTTAAAGGAGAAAAAAACAATGTGTTTGAACAACTCTTTATGATTAAATGAAACCAGGTAGGGTATTATTTTACTTCTCTTCCTTTGTCGGAACTTCCGCCGCCATTATTGTCAGGACTGGTTGCCCGATGTGGCAGGCCAAGCCTCGTTTGCTCTCTGCTACCATCCTTGCTTGGTTGCGTCCTGTCAGAATTCCACAGCTCAAAACTTGATGGGGGCAAGAAAGGTGGAATGACAGCTTTCAGTTTGTCGTTAGGCAGCCTTGTAAATGGAGCCCCACTTCTTAGCTAAGCGGGAGGTGTGGGGTGGAGGAAAAAAGAAAGCAGGGATTTTTTTAAATAGCAAGAAAAATAAGGCTATCACAAAGAAGGCAATTCTGTGTACTCTTGTTCACAACAAAAGGACAATGGAGAGGAAATAAACAAACTTTAAATCAAGCATTTACATCCAATAAATTAGAATTTAGGCTGAAATCCCCTACACAACATCCCATTTACCTGGAAGTAAATTCCACTGAATTCAATGGAAATGACTTCTGAGCAGGCAGGCATAGGATTGCATTCTTAGCTATAGATGCTGCCCATAAACATAGGTATTAATCAACTTAAGTAGATCCAGCAACATAAACACAGAACCAATGAAAGTGAACACCATTTTATCACTTTTACCAATCCTTTAGGGTGGCAGGACCTCCATTTTGGAAGTTAATGCCCATTGAATTAGACAGATGCCTTCATTGTACATTTTTCGGCACCTACTGATTTTTTTTTTCCTTCTGGGAAGCCTACCCAGGTGTGTAACTTTAACATGTAATCTTGATACATGGTTTTAATAAGCGTGTCTTGTTCATTACAGATTTCTTTTTATATATTCATGTTTATGTGACTTGTCTGTAATATTTTTTCTTCTTGGTATTTTAAATGACTGTTTTCGACTCTTTATTGCAAACTGCCTAGAGGTATTTTCCTCTAGTAAGCGGTATATACATTTTGTTAAATAAACAAAAATGAAAATACTCAGAGAATACTGATCAGCGCCGTGGCTTCTTTTTGGGGCGAGGTCTATATAACCTATCTGACAATAAAGTAATTGTTAATAATAACAGAGAGAAGGACATTCATGATTCCTTTTGGTTCAAATCTGTTTTAGGGCAAGAGTTGCTAGAAAATACACCAAGAACTTGGAGCACCAGCAATACTCTGACTTACCACTGTTGTCAGCAATTTGTCATCCTTTCCTCCCTTTGTGCTTCCTATACCTGAATAGGGGAAAAACCCTCACATATAAACAATGCTATTTTGAATCTAATGACAAAACCATGCAAAGTTTAGCATTTCTGAATAAGCCAGCATTTGGAAGTAGTTGAACTACAGTATGGTTAGCTGGAAATGAAAAGCTTCTAATCTGCCACTTGTGGATGTGAAAAAGGAGAATGCATCCCTGTTTGCAGTTCATTCACACAGTGAGAAACCATGTTGTCCATTACAAATTAACTGGGGCAGTGTGATAGCTTAATAGTCAATATACACGTTCAACCCCTGTCTCTCGACACCAAACAAAAAACATCTTTTTAACAGGCTTTCGCAAAAACAAAAAGTTTCCAAAACCTTCCCTTAGTTTGGACAACTTCACATATGTTTGAAAAGAATGTTGAATAATCTTTACCATTAGCCTTGCTCTTTGTTGCCCAAGCTGTAATGGCATCATAATTTACACTGTTATCACTTGGTAACGTGGCCTTCATTGTGCAATCAAATGGCGATGCTGACTCTTCTGGAAAAGGTACAGCTGGATTGATGGAGAATCCATGATTTAAAGTTTGGGTCAACTTCAGCTTGCGAAATCTATTGGACATCCTGTTCCACCATGACTAGATAATAAAAGATAATGATATGGGTGTTTTTTTAAAAGACAAATAATTATGCATAATGATATATTTTAAACACTGATAAATAATGTGCTGAATGACCTGGAATTTATTGGTGTTGGTTTTTTAAAATTAAAAACAAAACAAAACTCCAAAAGGTCTAGACATATCCACATCCCTTTTTCCTGCTGTGTAAATCTAATGCAAGAGTTTGTTGCAGAGTCCCTTCCTTGGACTAGCGCTCATGAAGAAGAAGAGGAGACTTTCCCTAGAAGCCAAGAACAATGAATAACCACAATGGTATGGCAGCAGAACATTGTTCAGGAAGCACTTGTGACAGTCATCAGTTCTAGGGTGGTTTCATCTACATGTTAACAAATTGTTCAGGATGAGGAGCTTCACCAGAGTTGCAGCTTTATAGGAGCAGGTGGAACCCAACTGGCACTTTGTGGGACCTGATCTTTGGCCACACTCAGTTGTGGTGCTACCGTGTAGCAGAGAGTAGGTTAACAGATTTCTCATTGAACAAATTTCCACAATGGGCAAAAGTAAGCTGCCAGATTCTCCCAGCTGAAAACAATGCCTTACTGAAATAAACAAAATCTGCATACCCTCAGTCCTCCCTTGTCATCAGGCAACACTGGGATATCTACAGTTTGCTTATTTCTTGAAGAAGTCACAGCTGATTTGTTGTTCTGCTTGCTCTTTTCTTTATCAACTTGCATGCAGGCTGAGGCTAGCAACCGCACGAGTTCCGCATCTGAAAAAAAATCACACACAAATTTCCTGCAAAGAATTATCAACACCACAAGTGCATCAGCAAAAAAATCAGGTTCTTATCTTATGGGAAGTACTCCACCCAAAAGACTCTCTGTTGTTTTTGCTGCAAGACTCCAAGAAGGATACTCCAATAGAAAAAGAAGTACCTGGATCGTTCAGCAGCATTATCAGGTCAAAGGCTGTATATCCATTTTTGGCACGCAGGTTGACATCAGCTCCTTGATTTAATAAATACTTAACAACTTCTTTATTTCTTCAAAGAAAACAGAAGATAAGTTACATATATATATATATATATACACGGCTCGGTTAGAAGAGGGTACTAGAAAGATCGGAGAATTGCCTGTCTGCCTCTTCCCTCTAATTTCTCCTAAACATTTGCGTGCGTTCTATTAACAACTGTTTCCTGTGCGAAGGCCACCTTATATGGCCCAGCTACTTAACAACTGATCTAGCCCTGATTGGTTTGCAATTCAGCTCAAGAGTTGTCACCAGGATTTTAGGTATTTTTGCAACACACTCAGTATCCAAACATTGCTGTCTTGGGACCAGATTTGTTGTCCTAGTACCTGTACTGTTTGGTTGAGACAAGAACCCTTATCTACACCTGCAGTTTTCCAACAACAGTTCTTGTTAACTTTCTGGCATCACCCACAGATCATTGTGAGTGCCATCTTCTGGAGGTAACAACCCTGGTACCATGTACCTGATTGCTTATACCAGGATAAGAGAGAAGAGAGTGAAGAACTCCTAATATTGGCATAAGTTAGTGACCCTCCGTGATTTCACCCCAATCCGTTCCTTTAAAAATATTTATCTCAAAAGTAAGATCAGGGTTGCTAGCAGAAAAGAACAGATTGAGTAAGGAAGACTAAACAGAGTGATGATTTTTTTGTTTTAGGCAATGCACCTTGACATGGCCTAAACCAGAGATGGAACATCTATAGCCCTCCCAAAATTGTTGGACTCCAAAGCCCATCAGGCTCAGGCAGCATGACCAATGGTCAGGAATGATGCAAGCTGATAAACATTGGCTTTGCTAGGGAAAGTGTCTAAAATTAACTGTTGGTTAAATTGATTTGCTCTTATGGGTGACTACCTAAACAGTTATAATATTTTCTCTTCCTAAAACCGTTTTGTCTAAAACTAGTAACATGCTATCTTGCTAAAACTTTAAGTAAAAGCATTGTTTGTTTTGGGGGGAGAAACTGGTTTGAGGCCCTGTTAATCACCCCACAAGCAGATGCCCTAACACTCTGCTCCCCACATAAGAACGATAGGTTGGGTTAGTAAAAGTCCAAAATGTTAAAAGGGCTGAGAGGCAGACAGAGAGAGAAAATATATCCATTGGGTGGCAGGGATGAGGAAGGGTTGGATGGCTGGCTAACCTTCATTTCCCCATGCCATCACAACCTTACAGTTCCTGCCTACATGCTTTCAAATGTAATAATAATGTTATGTCCAATGCACGGCCATAGGTAGGTGGGACAGGAAAACACCCCCAGTTCTTGGCCCACCTACTCCTAGTCATTTTCAGGGGCTGTAATATTATACCTAAACATGGGCAGGAAACAAAAAGCCAGAACGCAAATACACCTCCTTGGCAATGGTAACAAGACTTATCATACTCCACACTGGGAGGGGCGGGGGTGGGAGAAAGATATTTACCCATGATATGTGGCCTGCATAAGTGCTGTCCAGCCATGCATAGTATCTTGCTTGTCAATATCCACGTTTCGTGAAACAAGCAGCTGTACAAGAGGCAACTGTCCAGTTACAGCTGCAATCATCAGTGGAGAAGCACCATCGTCATTAATTACGTTGGCTTGTGCAGGGTCTTCGTCTGTAATCTCTTTAACCAGCTGAAAATTCCCTGTGGAGATGGTTAGCATGGTTAACAAAGGAAGAGCTCAGGAAGTTAAAAGGTTTATTTTTTAAGTGCCGAAGGGATTAATTCTAACTGTATGGGTGAGACTGAACTAAGCTGCTTCGTGCACCTGAAAGAGGTCCACTGAGCTACAGCAATATGAGCAGTCATTTGAAATAGCCAAACCTTTGGGCTCTTTCCTACTAGAATGCCTCTAGTTACTATACCCAGGAATACATCAGATGTGTTAGAATATTTTTAAGGACCTTACCCATTTTCAAGGCATGGAAGATATCTGGTTGCCTCTTCTGTTTATCTGGGGGTGGGGAGAAAAGTATAAAGTTTATAGAACAACTGCAGCTGATGCTACAACAGCAAATAACACAATGTATTTTAAGTACAGAGGTACCTTGGGTTACATACGCTTCAGGTTACATACGCTTCAGGTTACAGACTCCGCTAACCCGGAAATAGTGCTTCAGGTTAAGAACTTTGCTTCAGGATGAGAACAGAAATCGTGCTCCGGCGGCACGGCAGCAGCAGGAGGCCCCATTAGCTAAAGTGGTGCTTCAGGTTAAGAACAGTTTCAGGTTAAGTACGGACCTCCGGAACGAATTAAGTACTTAACCCGAGGTACCACTGTAAATCGTTTGACTTCAAAATTTGTGTTTTGATTTATAAATGATTAAAAAAACAACAACCCAAAGTAATGAGAAAATACTTGGGATAGTGATGCTGTGTTGCTCATCTCTGAAGCCAGAAGGTTTGTTGAGGTACCTCTCGCCCCTGGTCTCTTGGGGCTGTGATTGTTTGCTGTGTGAAAAGCTGTTGCGATTTTTGTTTGACCCAAAGGAGCACTGGGGTACCATTTCCCAAAACATAAGGTGAAAAGTCACAAGAAGAAGAAAATTAATAATATGCAGCTATCAAATAGTGACAGCTGCGTATTATTGGCATTGCAGCTACAGCAATGGCTTGCCTCTCTCCAAAAGGGTATGGGAGAATGGGATGCTAATGTCCAATATCAAGATGAAGGCCTACCAGACTTGCATGCTGAGCACGCTGCTTTATGGAAGGAAGTCACAGGCAACTTACACCCGCCAGGAGTGAAACCTCAATGCCTTCCACAAGATTTTAGGCATCCCATGGCAGGACAGAGTCTCAAACAAAGATGCACTCTCCCAAATCCACATTCCCAGCATGTTCACATTCCTGCCTCAGTGACTAGTAGGAGCATCAACCGTGCCATGTGCTATTTCCCCTGGCATGTGCCTGGAGACAGGCAGTCAGGTCGTGCATCTACAGTATAGCAGTGACTGGTGGAGGAATGATTGCTGGGAGGAACCCAGAAAGAAGAGATGCTTCTTTAAGCATCTGCAGCAGCACAACTGGATGCCTTTATCTGCCCCAGCTGCAACAAAACATGTCTCTCCTGCATCGGTCTTTAGAGCCACAGCAGGCACTGTAACTTTCCAACGGTTTAACCCCATCCGCACAGGCACACTCCTCACTGTCTCCCCAGACAGATATTTGTAGCCTTGAACAACAGAACCTTAGGACATGATTCAGCCCTTTGCATGCCAGGGGAAATAGCACAGGTATGTTTGTACATTCTAGATGCCATGCCAGGCTATACTGGATCATTCAGTGCACCCTGAGTGTACAAACACCCTCAAGCTGTATGTTGTGAGGCAGGCAGGCGGGGAGGGAGGATCCAGCAGAATGGCATGCTCTGGCCACCTCCATCTAAGTGTTGAGGTCCCAGGAGGCCTGAGCACCCATTTTAGCCAGCTCCTTTCTCCTATAATCCTGTCCCCAACTCTACTAAGTACAGAAGGCTTGGGAGGAGCTGTAAGGCTGACTCCAGTCTCAGCTCCCCCACCACTGCAGCCTTGCGTATGGCAGCATCCTATATGCAGCCTGTCCCAGAGCAATTTGTGGGTCTAGGCCAACAAGGACTCAAAGGGGTGTGGATGCTCTATGGCAGGGTACAGAGTCTGAATTTAGTAGTGATGTGCCTTTTCCCAAGGCATAACAAGCCTTACCAGAAACCAGCACAGCAAGCCTGCAGCCCACGTAGAACTTGGGTCCTATACTCCTGAGAGTCATCTTTTGTACTAATGAAGCCCGTGAGACGTCAGACTTGCTGGATCAGGGAAAAGACAGGAGAAAAGGAGAGGAAATACCAGTATTGAAGAAGGCAGAAATTCTGATGGTAGAGATGGAAAGAATGAAAGAGCTAGCTGGAAGAGAAAAAGAAGTAAGAGGTTAAAAATATATTGGCAACCAGCACCCTTCTGAAGGAGGGAGGAGAAAAAGGTGGAGGGTGGTGCTTACTGTATGGTAAGATTTGATTATTTACATCACCAGTCTTTCCCAAACTACTGCCCCCCAGATGTTTTGGGCTCCAACACACACACCCCTCAGCCAGCCTGGCTAACTGTAAAGGATGATGAGAGTTAGAATCTAAACCATCTGCAGAGTACCAGCTTTGGAAAGGCTACTCTACATAAATCAGGTTGGTACAGTTTTTCTCCACCTTAAGTCTGTTGTCCAGATTCTGCTGTCAGAAACACAAGAAGCTGCACTATGGTGAATGACACACATCTTGCTCAGTGTTGTCACACTGGCTAACAGTTGCTGTCCAGGGTTTTAGACAGATGTCTTTTCAAGCCTTACATGGCAATGTCACAGGTTTAACCTGGTACATTTTGCATGCAAAGTTCTGCTCTTTCCTTACATCACGGTTTGGATCGAATCATATATTGTTTACTGCTTATGTACATTCCTACAGATGCAGTCCCAGGACAACTACTCCCTTGGCATAATACTACTACGCCCTCCGTTAAAGTTCATTCAAGAAATTCTCAAGTTCTTCTGCCATGGAAATAAGTTGGGTTAAAAAAAAAAAGAGTATGAGGATTTTGAAAAGAAACAGGTTGCTAAAATACAGAAAAGAACAAAAAGGAAATGAAATAAAAGCAAAGACTGGAAGTTGAAAGCAACAATTTAAGTCCATCAGTTATGAACTTAAATAAACTCCGTGCCCAAGTCCTCCGATCCAGCAATTCCTTGCAAGTGTGGGAGCTCTGAAGCTCACATGGCGCTTCCCTTTTTCCAGAAGCATCATCATATATTTTAAGGAAGGGGACTCAACTGATCATAAAATGGCTCCCTCCATTATAGTGAGTGACAAAGTCCCCTCATGAATAAGCACATTGTGTACAAAAACTGTGGTCACTTCTACAAAAGGAAAATAACTATCTAGTTGATTGTACATCATGTAAACATACTTCAAATGAATTGATTAATTCAAATAATCAATTAATATTTGCTGGCTATCCAATCAACAATGTCCTCTGGGCAGTTTGCACAAAATTCCAACAACTAAAACATTAAAGCATCTAAAATATTAAGAATCAATCAAGTCAATGTATTGCCTATACAATACATTGCATAACAGCATTTAAAAACTGGCAGCAATAATCTGTTCCAAGGACCGAAACATAGTTCTGAAAGTCCAGGGAGAATACAAAGGTATTCAGCTGGTACAAAAAGGTTGACAACCAGAATCTTCTTTGTTTTCTATTAGGAATAACAAATTATGTATCACACAGGATCAGTAGATGGTCCCATAAAGAGAAGCCAAGGTTTCTTGTGAGCCTGAGAAACTGGGCCGCTAGTATTCCTCTTTATAAACAACTTTATTATTTGAACTGACTGCTTACCCCTTGCATTACAATGTCTTGAGAGCTAAACACCTCTCTCCTGACATTATTAGTGGGCATAATATGGCCATAAGGACAAGACCTAAGAGACCCCCTCTTTGCTATCAGCCATCAGTCCTGCCAAGAAAATCATCCTTGTTTTTCCTTTTTTTGTAATCAGGGAGTTTCCCAATCAGGAAAATAACTATGGCGAGACCCATAACTGCAAAGCAGCTCATACCTGTTTGAGGTCTAACTGTTGTTAAAGGTGCCAAATAATCCATCATATCTTCATGTTTGAAGTCAACAGATATTTCATATGGTGTTTTATGCAGTGTGTTCAGATGATCGGGATTGGCTCCTTTGTTCATAAGCTGCTGAGCCAAGCTCACTCTTCCACTAACAGCCGCCAACATTAGGGGAGTCCAACCCATAGTTTTCACGGTATAATTACAATCCGCTCCCCAGTCCAACAGAAGATGGACCACTGCCTCATGCCCGTGCTGGACAGCTGCCATAAGGGGGGTGATGGCTGGCAATTCCTCTTTGTTGTTATCCCAGCTAGTACTCAAGTGGTCATAATTATCAACGTAAGCGCCCGATTCCAGCAACAACTTCACCACACTGACATGACCACCCCTAGAAGCCATTGTAAGTACGCTGGCTCCCAGTTTGTTCTGTGCATTAAGGTCAGCGCCGTTTTCTAGCAAGATGCGAGCCACAGTCAGATGTCCAAACCTTTGATTGGGGGGAATAACGAGAGAGAGAAAACGTTATGATACCCAGTAGGATGAAACTGCATTGTTTGGATTTAAGGCACTCTTGCCTTAACAATGCAGAGAAACAGTGTGGTGTCATAGTCAGAGAATGGGATTTGAGCAGATAATTGCTCAGTTCAAATCTCCTTCTGACCTCTTAAGTGAGGCAAACCTCTCGTTATGGCCTGCACTTACAATTTTTTCAGGGGGTTGGACCAGATGACCCTTGTGGTCCCTTCTAACTCTGCAATTCTCCGATTCTCTGATCCTAAACCTCCGCTGCCTTGCGGGACATATTCTGGAAAAGGAAAGGCTAAGTGCTAAACATTACACAAATCCAGATCAGAGTCCCTAAGACGGTCGGATGGCGAGTTGTACACCTCCTTCTGGCAAACTCCTGCAGCCACGCTGGTGCCAAACGTACTGCTCTGCTTTTCTTCATCCCTTTGGCATCAGCGAGGCCAAGAGGAGGGTCCTGTTGTCTGGCCCATCCAGGACCTCCATACACATTACCTAGGCTTACGCCTCAGGGAGGTCACTTTGGTGTTGGGAACACAGCAGTTTTGATTTCACTTTCGGAGGTGAATTCCGCTGTCTTTCGAGCCAGAAGGATGCCGACAGCAGGTGGTTGGACTAGATGACCCTCATGCCCCTTCCATACAGTTCTATGATTCTTCTAACCCACACGATGCACCCAAGCAGGAGTGCCAGTTTGACCCTGCCATGCAACGTGCAAGGCCCTGGCACCAAAATCTGGGGGTGCCCAGCCCCATCACTGGGGTATTTTGTGGGTGCTGGGACACCCAGGGAGTTGGGACCTATGTTCACAAGGGTCGGGAAACCCGGCCAGCATCTTCCCTCGCATCCCGACGTTGCCCAAGACCCCGGCCTGGCTTTGCTCTCGCCCTGACCTGGCCGCCTGCATGAGCGGGCTCCAGCCGCAGTGGTTGCGGCTCTGGACCGAGGCTCCCCTCCGCAGCAGGAAGCCCACCAGCTCCTCGTGGCCGCCGGCCGCCGCGAACTGCAGCCCCGTGTTGCCGGCCTCGTCGGCGCAGTCCACGGGCACCGAGCCCGGCGGCAGGCCCGACGCAGCAGCTCCAGACCCGCCGGGCGCGGCGGCGCAGCTGCCGGGCTCCGCCGCCGCTTCATCGCCAGCCCCGGAGGCCGCCGGCGGGCCCAGCAGCAGCCGCCGGGCGCCCTCGCAGTCGCCTTGGTCGCAGGCGCGGAGCAGCAGCTGGGCGCCGGCCGCCACCCCGCACTCCCCCATCCGCGGCCCTCGCGCTCCGCCGCCGCCGCCGCCGAGCGTCCTCCTCTCTTGGCTCCCCGGCTCCGCTCGTCAGAGGAGGCGGAGGAGCGAGGCAGGGAGGGCGGCCGTCTGCTCCGCACAGTCCGGCCGGGAAGGGAAAGAGGGAGGGACGGCAGGCGAGGCAGGCAGGGCGGCGGCGGCGGCGCTGGGCTGAGGCCTCCGGGCGAGGACTGGGGCTTCGCTTCGCCACGGGGTGAAGCCAGCCTCGCACAGCCCGACGACGACGCCAGTTTTAGTTATTCATTGATTTGGCTTGTTAAGTTTGGCATAGCGCCCGAGCGCCTTCCATCCCCGAGAGGGAGAATAGAACCATCGTACAGCCAGCGCTATGCTGCCGCTGCTTAAATATATTTATTAAAATTTGTATACCGCCCTTCATCCGGAGATCTCAGGACGGTCCGCTGTAGAAAACAAACAAACGAGAACACAAAAATGCAGAAAAAAAGCAAATCAATAAACAGCCCCCTTCTCACAGCCACACCAGATTGATTAAATTTGTAAACATCCTTCATCCTGAGATCCCAGGGTGGCCCGCAACAGAAAGAAATATGAAAGGAGAATGCAAAGTATGTAAAAAAAGGGAAAACAACCCAACAAGCCCATCCTCCCACAAGCCAATGCCGTATTTTATTTATTTATTTATCTGTCTATTTATTTACCGTACTTATTTAGTACAGTGGTACCTCGGGTTACATACGCTTCAGGTTACATACGCTTCAGGTTACAGACTCCGCTAACCCAGAAATAGTGCTTCAGGTTAAGAACTTTGCTTCAGGTTAAGAACAGTTTCAGGTTAAGTACAGACCTCCGGAACGAATTAAGTACTTAACCCGAGGTACCACTGTATACCACCCTTCATCCAAAGATCCCAGGGCTGTCTGCAACAGAAGAAAAGCAACCCACAGGGTGTAGTGGCGCCCGCCCTATGGAACGCCCTCCCATCAGATGTCAAGGAAATAGCAGCTATCCTATTTTTAAAAGACATCTGAAGGCAGCCCTGTTTAGGAAAGTTTTTAATATTTAATGCTGTGTTGTTTTTAACACTCGATTGGGAGCCGCCCAGAGCGGCTGGGGAAATAATAATAATATTATTATTATTAAAATACAATATGAGAATGCAAAATAAACAATGCAACGAAAACAAACCAAGAATTGGCCCGCTTCTTAAAAGCACATTTTAAAAGCCACAGAATGTCCATCAGCCCCAATGCCGGGTTGAAGTGAAGCGTTTTTGCTTGGCACTGAAAGGTACATAATGAAGGTGCCTGGTGAGTCTCCCTGGGGAGAGCATTCCCCCAAGCAGGGAGCTACCACAGAGAAGGCCTGTTCTTGTGTTGCCACCCTCCGGACTCCTCCAGGAGAAGGCAACAGGAGGGCTTAGTATGGATAACTGGGGAACTGAGCTTTTTGTCAAAACCTTCCAGGATTTTTCTCACCATTACATAAATATCGGGAGGACTCCTCTCCACTCAGAAGTGAGTCCTTGGAAACCATCCCTGGAACTAGGAGTGTTATGTACTGAAGTTCTCACTCTGGGCCAGCAGGGGGATACTGTAGATAGTTTTCACTCAGGTCCACATATGCAAATAAGGGATTGAAAGTGACGTTCAGTGATTGGATAGTTACAGAAAAAGGTTACTGTTGCGTTGTAGTGGAGCTCTATACTGTATAAGCAGGCTGGCTGAACCCTTCAGTTCAGTTCTGGCCTGTGAATAAACAAGAGCTGCTTGAAGAATTGCTGTGTCGTCTGATATGTTCACCCACAACTTAACAAGGGGCACATAGGATTGCAAACACGCTTGGTCAGGAAACAGGCCCTGTTGAAAATAGTGGGGTTTCACCTCTCTTTTCCGGGTTGTGCTGAAAACTATTCACATGCATCCCCCACTACCCCCAACAATTATCATTCCACAGCCCTCACTTTGCCTCATCTTTGACAGAGGTGCAAAGGGCAGCAGGAGCTTTTCTGCAGTGGCTCCCTACTTGTCCAATGCTTTCCCTGGGGAATCTAGCCTGAGGCCTTTATTGCAAGCCTTTAGTCACCTGGCGAAAAAACCTTTCTCTTCAACCAGGCCTACTGACAATCTGGCTTTTTAAATGTGTTTGTGGGAGGGGTGGGGTGCGGAGTTTTTGGTTGCGTTTTTATTATGTCTCATGTATTATTATTATTTCTGTCGCAGACTGCCCTGAGATAAAGGGCCGTATAAAAATTAAATAAACAAACAGGCGAAGAAGTCTGGTTCGTTTTTCTTGTTTTGTTGCGTGTTTTGTGTTTGGTTTTTCTGTGGCGAGCTGTCAAACTTCCGAGGCCAGGAGCCGCGCGGCCTCTGGGGCACCTCGGCTGCTCCTTCCCTCAGCGCCGCCTCATCCTGCAAAGAAGGCCGCTTCCTCGCTCCGGGCCCGGCGGCGGCGGCGGCGGGGCGGCCCTTCCTCCTCGGGTCCCGCCCCGCGCTCCTCAAGCGAGGCCAGCGCCGGCTTGGGGCGGCGGCGCGGCAGAGATGCGGCGGGTCCGGCGGTCGCGGGTGTCCCGAGCGGGAGGGCCTCTGGCTTTGGCGGCGGCGGCCCTGCTGGTGGCGGCGACGGGGGCGCTGGGCTGGCTGTTGCTGTGGCAACGCGGCCTGCCGGACTCGGAGCTGGGCGAGGCCGGCGGAGTGGCGCTGCCCTCGCAGCAGCCTGCCGAGCTCGCCCGGCGGCTCCTGCGCAGGCCCGTGTACGACAAGCCTCCGCTGGGCAGGGAAGCGGAGCTGGGCGAGCTGGGCCGGCCCGTGCGCCTGGAGCTGAGCGCCGCCGAGCAGCGGCTCCAGGAGGAGAGCATCCGGAGACACCAGATCAACATCTACCTCAGCGACCGCATCTCGCTGCACCGCCGCCTGCCGGAGCGCCGCCACCTCCAGTGAGTGAGGCGGAGGGAGGGCGGCAAAGGGACGGGCGCTGCCCGAAGGAAACAGGGGAGTCGAGGCGGGGGGGGGGGGGCAGGGGAAAGCCTGGACGGCCGTCTGACAATATATGATCTAGCTGAGATTTCTGCATTGCCCGGGGTTGGGCTAGATGACCCTCAGGGGCCCCACCCAACTTTACAATTCCGTGATTGCACTGCTTCCTCAGGTACCTGAAATGGCCACCTTACTTAGAGCACAGGGGTGTTTGTGTGTATGGGAGGTGAGCTCCAGACAAAATTTAAACCAGTGCTCTTTTTTCCTGGGGGTATTCAAAGGTATTCAGTACCAGCATTAAAATATTTATTCATTTGGTTTTCATATTAAAATTTAACAAACAGATTTCCAACATGCACCATAAAAACAAGACCCCAAAGGATCTCCTGGACTTCCCTCTCCTCCCCTTTTTGGGTCCTCTTGTTAATCATTTGCTCCTGCATCTTTTATAATAATCCAAATCTTTTTCATCTCCACTGTATCCAAATTTCACCATTAGACTACAAGTGTTATTACAATCCAACTAACGATTTTAACAGTTTGCAATGATTTTTAAAGTAAGTTATCAATCCTCCCCCCAGTCCCCCATTTTACCCATAATGTTAAAATTGTGGAACTTACTGTAACAACTTCACATTTTTTTTCTATTAATAAAAGAAGAAGCACTGAGTAAAACCCATTCAGAGTGGATATGAGCTACTGCCTGTCTGGGGAAGTGTTGGCAAAACAAGATGGTACTGTATAGTGTACATGAGTGCCTAGGAGAGAAGGTTTGCTTTCGGTAGCAGATTCATAGGGGCCCAGCTATACGCTCCAGTCGTAACAGGGTATTATGCCTGTGTTTTTCTCCAACATTTTAAAATCTCCCCTCCTTAAACGTGGCCTGCCTACTGCAACTTGTCCCCCGCCTTACAGGTGAACATATGGCAATCTTTCCATACAGTTGTGTGCAAATATTGGCTTGTTACTGTAAATACTATGTCAGAAGAGGAACAGAGCAGGCAACTATGATTGCTCTGAAAACAGAGACACAAAATTTGGAGGGGGGGGGAAACCCGTGGCCTTTCTTTCAGTGCCTGTTCAAGTCAGAATGAGATCATGGTGCAGTGGGGGAGCTGTCACCCATCAGATACAAGGTTGGTTCGTTGAAAGACTTCTGTCTGTGGGTATTTAATCCATCTACATTCACCTGTTCACTTCCTGGAACAGTGCACTGCCTCATCCTAGGTGCCCTGGAAGTGTTTGTCCCATACTTTCAGAGCCTGTGTTTTCATACATAAAAAAACAAGTCACTTGTGGCATAAATAGCTAGAATAGGGTTACCAGACTTCCCCGGATTTTCAGATCTGTCCCCGGACAAATTCCATCCCCGGAATGTCCCCAGATTTGCAAATCTGTCCCCGGGAAACGTGGTAGCGGCAGCCTCAGCAGCCCGGAGTCAGCTTGGTAGCGCAGTTGGCTCTGGCTGGCTTCAGGAGCTGCTCGCTGCTACCGCCACTGCCAAAGGAGAACTGGGACATCTGGCGGTACAGATCTCCTGCCCCCTTCCCCCTTTGTTTTGACAGATCAAGGGAGGCTCAGGAGTCACGGGCAGGTGGCCGTTGCCCAGGAGGGGTGCAAGGCGCTTGGTTTCTCTGCCAGGCAAGGTGCAAAGCCCTTCTTTCGCACCCTGTGAAATATAAATGCACAGTTTTTAAAAAACTGGGCAATGGCTGCCCGCCCGTGAATCCCGAGCCTCCCCCGATCAGTCAAAACAAAGGAGGAAGAGGGAGGAGATTGGGGGAGGCTTGGGAGTCACGGGCGCGCGGCGCTCCTTTGCCCCGTTTTTAAAAAACTCTGCGCATTTATGTTTCATAGGGTGCAAAAGAAGGGCTTTGCACCTTTATACAATATGCATGTGTGCTTGAGCCCAGGGTCTTTTGCCTCACCATCCCCACTACTGACTCCCTGTTGCTACTCAGCTTCAACAAAACAAAACAAAAAGTGTCCCCGGATTCATTGAAAAAAATCTGGTAGCCATAAGCTAGAATGCATATGAAAACCCAATCCTTAATTATATTAATTAATTAAATATTTATATATTAATTGGATAATTCAGTATATAATGCCTACTTATGTACAAATGTCATGGTATGTGGTACCTGTGGCTGGAAGTTAATGCAACCAGCAAACTCCACGCCAGAAGCAGTGAATGGGACCTGTGCCAAGTTAGCTTTAAAGTATAGGGTCACCTCTTTGAGAGCATCTCCACTTGAAAATTGTGTCCCAAATGAAGATGTTTGTAAGTTGGTGAGAATGTTTGTAGCCTCTCAAAATCATTGCTGCTTCCAGTTCTGCTGCTGCCTAACCCGTTTCCCATATTTTCTCAGGGAGTCCCATCTCTCACCATCATCCTGCTGCCTCCCCAATAATTATCCAAAAAGATGTGAGTTCACACAGCTATATTCCACCATTTTTGGAAGTTTGATGTCATGTTAAGATATTTCGGCCATGATCATTCCTCAGTTGAGCACTTTCTTTGAACCCAGTCCTATATGTATAGTTAACCAAGCTTATCACTGAGGCTGCAGTCCCATGCTTAAGATCACACAGATGGTTGCTTTCTTTTTATTGCTGCCTGTTCTCAATCAGGCACAGCGGTAGCCTTTGACAATATTTTCTTCCTGGAAATTTTCCAAGCGAGGCACCCTCAACTGACTTAAGCCGGATGTAGTTCCATGCTAGCTGTTCATAACCCTTTCATTCTTGCCACCACAACCTGTACAATAAAGTGCCCTGTACAGTACACATAGACATTGCCAATAGCTGCCTTATCATGTTCATTTCTGCTTGTTAGAGGAAACCGAAGTCTTTTCTTTACAAAAGATTCTAACAAGATTGCTCATAAGAAGAAGAAGAAAAATACTACACTTTACTTCCTGGACTAGAGAGATTGTAAATTGCTGATGTTGCAATGTCTGTGATTGTAGCGTAACTGAATGGTGTATATATTTCCACCACACAGGTGAAGCTCAGTTTCTGGTTATACACCTATTAGCTACTAATAACTTCTCAGAAATTGGTTGAGTATCATGCAGTTTCACTGTGTTAGGGAACTTTCTCAAGACTACTGCAGCACGTGAAAGTTATCAGCATGATGAAATTTGCACCGCAAAAACAATAATTTGATTTGGCTCTTGAAGGGAGCAGCAGGAGCATTAGTGAGCAAAATGGGGACACCTTTGGGTAGGAGAGAGGTATTAGTGAATGATCTGATGAAATATATTTCCTAGTAACCAGAAAATTGAGCAAGTGAATTTTATATGAGCTGGCTGTGATTAACCTTGGTGGGGCAAGGAAGGGACGTCTTCTGAAGCATTCATGTCTAATGTCCTACAGAACCTCAATCAGGTAGTTTCTTCGTAGCAGAATGAAGACAGACAGTAGATCTGGGTAGCCAACTGGATGGCCTCCTGATGTTGCTGGACTACAACACCTATCATTCCTTACCATTGGCATGCTGTCTGGGTTTGATGGAAGTTGGAGTCCAACAATACCTGGAGGTCACCATGCTGGATACTTCAGGTCAAGCTCTTGACATGGTGACAACATAATGACTTCTACTTTAATTGCCTTTGGCTCTGTAGGTAAGTCCCTGTGCCTGGCATTCTCCCAGTTTGGTAAACAAAGGAGATAGAAGAGTGGGTGACAATTGCCTCAGTAATTTGTTGTAAGGTTTTAATCTATTCATTGATATAGTTAATTGAATATCACAGATTTTCAAAGCTGATATTTGAACTGCTTGAATAAAGGAGAATGAAGCTCAAATGAAAAACACGTGTGAATCTGAACAGTTACTGCATTCTGTGAAAATATGCTTAACATTTAATAATAATAAACCTATATGGTTAAACTCTGCAGATATTAAAAATAAGCTCTCACTGATCCAACTCAAATTGTTGTTTTAGAAAATATATTTACATGCAATTAGTAGCAACAGAATTGGGAGTGAGATGGTATTTGCAAATAATACATCATGAATAGGTGGTATTGACACTTGGATATACATTCTGATGTGTGCTTGGAAGTAGCATTGAATTCCTTAATATAGTTAATGTAGTACGGAGCGTATCACAAACTGGATGTTATTCCTAATGGAGTTGATACGCTTTTTGAAACTGCAAGATGAAAATCTAGGAGAAATTACTTCCTTGCTGCAGGTCCTACTCTACACAATTACGATACGTATTTGTGTATTCACCTCACTTCTGCATAAATTGTTGGGCAGAGTATTGCTTAATTATGTATCTGATTTTTCAATTAAAATGTATGCTTTTCTTACAGATGCAGAGAAAAGAAGTATGATTATTATAACCTTCCAAAGACTTCTGTTATAATAGCTTTTTATAATGAGGCTTGGTCAACGCTTCTCAGAACAGTTCATAGTGTTCTTGAGACTTCTCCTGACATCCTTCTGGAAGAAGTCATCCTTGTAGATGATTACAGTGATAAAGGTAAGCCATGTCTCCACAAAGCCCCCTGCTGGCACAGGATTTTCTGTGAAAGGAATAGGGCATTTAGTAGCTACTACACTTGGAGGCAAGCGTAGCCCTTTTAGGATATAATTGGTGTAAGAGTGCAACTTAGCAGGAAGTATTTCCAAGGAACAACATAGACTGAAACTGGCTTGCATAGAGATGCGTTGACAGTGGCCTGTATTGTAATGTTTGCTCTATACAGTGGTACTTCAGGTTACATACGCTTCATGTTACATACGCTTCAGGTTACAGACTCTGCTAACCCAGAAATAGTGCTTCAGGTTAAGAACTTTGCTTCAGGATGAGAACAGAAATCATGCTCCGGTGGTGCAGAGGCAGCAGGAGGCCCCATTAGCTAGTGGTGCTTCAGTTTAAGAACAGTTTCAGGTTAAGTACGGACCTCCGAAACGAATTAAGTACTTAATCCGAGGTACCACTGTACTCCTGAAAATTACTTCTCGGTAATCGTAGTGTGATTATCTCGTCGGTATACCACAATGTTGTTTATTTCCCACCTCTCTTAAAATCTTGGACATGTGAGCCATCACGGGATGTGGAGATTTGACTAATAATTTTGGGGAATGGTTTACCAAGCGACGGAATATTGCACAGGTTGGGATCCCCAAGAATAAAAAGCTAGGCTGAGGGGAACCTAGCAGGCAGGGCCTGATGCACATAGGTAGGCAAGCTGCAGTTCAGTCATGCTGGCTCAAGCGGCAGCTGTACTCATTTTACAAATGGCTTGTGTGATGTTTGGCTAAATTACTTACCTTTCATCCCAGCTTACTCAACAGAGTGGGTTTGAGGCTAAAATGCTGCTCTGAGCTCCTTGGTATGCAAGTGCAGTGGTACCTCAGGTTAAGTACTTAATTCATTCCGGATGTCCGTTCTTAACCTGAAACTGTTCTTAACCTGAAGCACCACTTTAGCTAATGGGGCCTCCTGCTGCCGCTGTGCCGCCGGAGCACGATTTCTGTTCTCATCCTGAAGCACAGTTCTTAACCTGAAGCACTATTTCTGGGTTAGTGGAGTGTGTAACCTGAAGCGTATGTAACCTGAAGCGTATGTAACCCGAGGTACCACTGTGTATCAAATAAATACATCCAGGTACCCCATCCAGATGGCTACTGGATAGTTATGTGATATCAGGCAAAGTCTATCCTGTCTGCTGAAATCAAGTAACCAAAGACCCAGCAATCTCAATTTTGCAGTAATAAGGATGAATGAGATTAATGAATCAATGCACAAAACGCTACTGTAAAATTTACAGCTGATGGGAGTCTCTCTCCTGTTATATAAAACTAAGACTTGTAGATGTAAAATTATAACTAGAATAACTAAAATGATCGTACCGAATAAAATGGGAATGGTAACACTGAATTTTAAGACATTTGCTTGGCTCTTCTGCATACTATTTAATAAATCTAATAGTGGAACAAAGCAAAAGGGATGTCAGATTTTGAATAGGGGTCTCTGCAGAATGGGATATTTCTGCTGTATAGATTTTAGCCCACATTTCATTTGAAGAAAAAACATCACTCCTTACAACTCTGTTCGATGTGTATTTTGATGCGTGGAAACCTAATCAGTTAATGTTTTCTAATTTTATTTTTAGCCTAGAATATTTGGATTGTACTCTTCTATGACCAAAACAGGGTAATAGTGATTGTGCACACCTGAGTCTTTTGTTAGTCTGATATTTATTCCACTCGCAGAATAGTAATATTCTCAAAATATATGTATAATCTAACTCTTAGGGTGATATTCAACTAAGGTTTACTTAAAGTAGACTCACTGAAATTAATTGGCATAAATTAGTTATGTTTATTAATTTCACTGGATCTACTCTGAGTAAAACTTAGTTGAATGCCATCCCTAATATGTAGTTTGAATAGTACCTTTCTCAGAGACTGATTTATTATACTGTATTTAAAAATATTTTTACCCTTCCTTCACCCTTATCAGTGCTTCACCAAAATACAAACTTTATTTATAAAACAGACAAATTAAAGGAGAAGGGGAGAAAACCTCAATAAAGAGAATTTAAAGTCCCTAGGTAGTTTACACAGATACAGTCATTCCTCATCTTAAAAAGATTAATAACGTAATGTTATCTTCCATGTCCTGTATGAGGAGATCACAAAGAGAGATGTAAGCATATGGGTGATAACAGAGACACTGAAAGGGAGGCACACAGTAGTTCAGAACCGTTTTGAGGACCATATCTGAAAAACAACTAAACTGGTTTGTATATGTAGTAAACTATTTTATCTTGACTTTCCATTTTAATCCCCCATTGAGGATTACAATGTATTTTAAATCCATAACAATAAAATAATTGAAACAATAAAATAGTAAATGTAATAGCAGTCTTCAAAGGTAATAGAATATTGAAGAACCTTTTAAGACCAATACAGAGCTTTAAACCTATAAAGTACCATGGAAAGGCAGGGCCTGCCCAAGACATTTTGACACCTGAGGCGAACTACAAAATGGCGCCACCTCCCCCAGCCAGGGAAGAAGGGGTGAATGAAGATCTAAATTGGGAACAAGGGGAGGAAGGAAGATCTACATAGGGAACAAGGGGGGAATAAAGATCTACATTGAGAACAAGGTTGGGAGGAGACCGACAGCGCCTCATTTCCATCAAGAGCTGGCTGTAGATGTGGCATTGGTGGAGGTGCAAAGGAGGTGGCAGATGCAGTCTCTATGGAGCACACTGCAGCCATCACTTCCACTTTAGCAGCAGTAAGGTAAAGGTAAAGGGACCCCTGACCATTAGGTCCAGTCGTGACCGACTCTGGGGTTGCGGCGCTCATCTCGCTTTATTGGCCGAGGGAGCCGGCGTACAGCTTCTGGGTCATGTGGCCAGCATGACTAAGCTGCTTCTGGCGAACCAGAGCAGCGCATGGAAACGCCGTTTACCTTCCCGTTGGAGTGGTACCTATTTATCTACTTGCACATTGACATGCTTTTGAACCGCTAGGTTGGCAGGAGCAGGGACCGAGCAACAGGAGCTCACCCCGTTGCGGGGATTCGAACCGCTGACCTTCTGATCGGCAAGTCCTAGGCTCTGTGGTTTAACCCACAGTGCATCTTCTGTTGCCTCACATTGCCTCATGGGTGGGCCGTCTCAGTGAAAAGAGGACTTCAAAGTCCTCAAATTTAATGCCAGATGAGCAGATAAGCAGAGTGGGTTGATTAACTAAGGTACTTGCATCAAGAAAACCCAATCTTGGATGACCACCCACATAGTCTTACAAAGTGGGAACACCCAGAGCCAAACTTCCAATGATGATCTCAAAAACCAGGCAGGTTTTAATGAGTACAGGCTGTCTTTAGTGAGTACAGGCCGTTCAGAAACCCTGATTGACATTAAGTTGGAATATGTTCAGGTCAGCATCTTGGGCCCTGTGCCGCCCTGCTCTGCTTTCAGAGGTGGGGCAAATGAACATGCAAGGTAGGTATTTTTGGTTGTGGCATCACAAATCTGGAACACACCTTCATCATAGCTCACTTTTTGGTGAACTGAAAATGGATTTCAACCCTGAATTGCTGGATATGTTTTGATGAAAAGCCGTTTTGCTAGCAGTTGCTTTGTACGACAGCAGTTCATTCATCTCTTTGTTACAGAGCACTTAAAGGAGGCTTTGGAAAACTATGTGGCTAACTTGCGCAAGGTACGGCTTATCCGGGCAAACAAGAGAGAAGGATTGGTTCGAGCAAGACTGCTGGGAGCATCTATAGCAAAAGGGGATGTTCTGACCTTTCTTGATTGCCACTGTGAGTGCCATGAAGAATGGCTTGAACCATTATTAGAAAGGTAATGTTCAGTCAAATACTTTCTGTATGCATTAAAAAAGTGAGTGGCATTTGATTTTCATTTTGTTTCTCAGCAGTGGCAACCAGAGCCAGAGTATTTGCCTCACATTCTATATTTTCTGTTCTTCTACCTGCTGTTTTAGACGAATCCAAATAGTACTTTAAAAATGATTTAAGACATTCTAATTTCAACAAATATGTGTTGGTTAGAACCAACGTAAATAATGTGTAAACCTCCAGTACTTTACTGAGATTCATGTAGCTGCTTTATGCATCCCCGATGGGATTAATATATATTTCAACCATAGATTGCTGCTTTTGAAAATCCCCCACAGTTCAGAAGAAATTGCCATGTATCAAGGAAGGACATCTGTTTAAAAAATATAAGCCCTAAATCCCTTGGATTCATTATTATTATTTTTCCTTTCATTTCTACACCACTTTATATTTTTAAGAAAAATATCTCAAAGTGGTTTACAACCTCTGTTAAAACATCAAATAAAACAATTCAGAATAAACTATTATAGAATAAAGTCGACTATAAAGTATAATTTCAAAGCAACATAATTAACAGAAAACTAAAATATTACCTTAAAGACTTCAAAAGAAAACATTACAAAAGAAAGACAAATATATACATTTAAAACAGCATAATTAGCAAAAGAATAAAATATTATCTTAAACATAGAACATACCTGCTGCTGTTGCTGCCAGTCCTCCAAGCAGGAATGTGCATGAGCTGGGTCTGCAGCAAGAGTCAGCCAAGATGGTCTCTGGCCTCCTCAATAATCTCAGTTTTTGTAGTGGGAGTGAGTCAGGGCTGGCTTTAAATTGATAGTGTTTACATTTGTAGATAAAAAGGTTGTTTATTGGTATGCCCTCCTTTTTTCAAAATACATTTTGCTTATATTGAGATGATGCCACCGAGACTGACTGATGATGATGATGAGTTATTTTCAGCTTCTTGTAAGATGGAGATGTTGTGGGATTTTTCTAGCAGTATAAAGGAATGAGAATGGCAAGGGAAGAAAATGCTTGATGGTACACTGTGCTGTGTAATGTGTTTCTGACAACCAACACAAAATACACGTGGCCCAGTTTGCACATAACAGTAAGCCAAAACGTGGTGAAGCATGAAAAAGCAAGCATGCAAGTGCTCACAGCAAAAAATCACGGCCAGTTCACTCATTTTCCTTTTTTTAAAAAAAAAAAATTATTGCTTTTAAACCTTACAAAAAGAAGAAAAGAAAAGAAAAAAGAAAAGAAGAAGAAAAGCAAAAGAGAAAACAATACAATACAATATATAAACAATACAGAATGCAACATTAACATTAACACATTAAACAAAACAAAAGCAAAAACAATTCAAAAGCACACATCATACCATCTCAATATCCTCTCTTTCATTCCCTTGTTTCATCGACCTCCTCTCACCTCCCTTTTTGTATTCCATTTCTATTAATTGTTTCAGCAAATCCTTTCCATCTTTCTCTATTTTCTGTCATGTAATTATCTTAACATATTTTAACCTTATTTTCCATTAATACTATAATACTTATTTATACTTAATTCCTTAAAATATTTCTACTAAAGCCGTATAATTCCCTTCCAACATTTTTCTAACACTCATTAATTTTACATTATTTCCATATATAGATTTTAAACTTTTTCCAATATTCTTCCACCATCTCTTCTCCCTGGTCCCGGGTTCTGCCAGTCATTTCCGTCAATTCCATATAGCCCATCAACCTGGTGATCTTCTGTCCGAGGCTCTTAACTCTTTTCCAGGTCCCTTCTGCACAGTTCACTCATTTTCCACTCTGCTGCTATGTGGTGTCTTTCGCAGCCAGACCATGAGTAGCAAGCATTAAATGACCTTTGGCTACAACTTGCAGTTTGTCTGGAGCAAGACAAACCATGAGTCCAGGTTTTGATGTAACACTAAGCCAAACAGTGCTTAGTTCTGGCAGCAGCAAGACCAGAGGAGGAGCAGAGCAGACGCATGCTCTCTTAGTCACAGTTTTGCTTAGTGATACATGCAAACTGGCCCCTTATGTATTTTGCGGTGTCATAAATGCATTATGCGGATGGCGCTGTGGGGACGCGGGTGGCGCTGTGGGTTAAACCACAGGGCCTAGAACTTGCTGATCAGAAGGTCAGCGGTTCGAATCCCCACGACGGGGGGAGCTCCCATTGCTTGGTCCCTGATCCTGCCAACCTAGCAGTTCAAAAGCATGTCAAAAGTGCAAGTAGATAAATAGGTACCGCTCTGGTGGGAAGGTAAACGGCATTTCTGTGCGCTGCTCTGGTTCACCGGAAGCGGCTTAGTCATGCTGGCCAATAAAGCGAGATGAGCGCCACAACCCCAGAGTCGGCCACGACTGGACCTAATGGTCAGGGGTCCCTTTACCTTTTTAAATGCATTATACAAGCACTGAATACCATCAAGCATTAAGCCATAATAACTTACTGGCAACCCCTCTCCCACATACATTAAAAGCATACTTGTGGTATGAGACTAAGACTATTCTTAACACCAAGATGCAAGGAAACCCACAAATGAGCACAAACCCCACTGTCAGAGGTTGTGGTTCTGCATTGTGAATGAAAGAATAAAAAATGAGACCTCTAAAAATAATTCAGGGAAGTGGAATTTTAGGCAGAGCACTTGCCTAAACACCAAAAACATGTGAAAAACAACATGTAATAATGCTTGGAATGTAATTAATATTTAACGGGAAACATTTTGCAGGGGAAACTAATGCTTTGACTTTATTTAATAATTTCAACTATTAGGTTATAGAGGCCTATATTGCCACAGTTGTTCAGTTCTTTTGAAGTAACCAAAGGCATGCTTATCAATTTAATCCACCAGATGGCAGTGTGGGGCAAGCTTTAGTCTGAAAATGAATATTTTCCCTCATATTTTAGGGCATTCTGTTTATTGTATATACACTCTATGTAGTCTTAGCAATGATTCACTTGTTTCCTGATCTCTTATTTTCACTTAAAAATATTGTTATGAACTAGTGCCTCATGTGGTCTCAGCTGCAGCAGCCTCCATAACTAACCAGCAGCGGTTCAAACTGCTGCCGTAGGGTATTTCTGCATAATATTAACTATACTATTATTATTACTATTATTATAGTATACTGTATTACTATTATACTATTAACTATATTTTGGCCCTTTTACTATCCTGACCTCAAGCTGCTGCTCTTCCACCATTGCAAACCTTGTTTATAAACGAATTGACTGCAGGAGTTCAGGACATGCCGTATTCTGTTGCAAATGACCTGATATGACTCAAGGGGCAATTAAAAATTCGAAATGGGGAACAGGGACATAGCTGGGTGCATTGACATTGTATAAATTGAAATAATTGTACCAACTCTCTCCCCAACTTATGGCATCACAGTGCACACCACGGCTCATCATGGTTGTTGCTCTCAGGTGGCCAGTAGGGTAGGGGTAAAGGGAGTGCTAACACATTGTAGATTATGTGTTGGTGCAGGTTTTCATCTTTTGACCGCTTGGCTTTAATATCTGTAAGTAACCCACTCCTGCTATTAAGTTTCTCTTGCTCTCCTTTCCTCGTCTTCTCTGACTTCATCTCTTTTCTCTTCTTTGGCTGTCTGGCAACCAGCCTTCACTTTGCCTATCTGCCTGGATTGTGCCCATCTCACTGACAGACCCAGTCAGGAAAGACTGGTCACTGAACTCTTGAAGCTCCTGGGACTGGAGAGTGAGTAAAATGAGTTTGCTTGTGCTCTGTGTGTGTGTGGTGGTTCTGTTGTGCTTCAGCTTTGCCTTTGTATCTGTTTCGCCATGCCTTTTTTCCTTATGCTACCATCACTTTCTTTGAAGAAGATTACCAAAAGACTGTAAAAAGACGCTGTGAAGCAGTTAGATAAGCTTCCCCCCGTTTCTTGTTGTTTGTATGTTTAAGTTGCTAAATATTACCTCAACTACAAAGAGGAAAAATCCTGACTATTAATATAACAACTTTACATTGGCAAAGTAAATATATGAACATTATGATGCAGCTTTGTTCTGTTCAGCTGATTTGGCACAGAGTGAAACCATTTTTGTCTCTAAAACCACCATGGATTGTTTTCTCATTTCTCATGGGATGTTGTTAATGGGGAGGAAAGGGACAAAAAGAGGTCGTTCTCCAGCTCTCTGGTGGTGAGTAAACTCTAAAAAGTCTCTAGCTGTTAATTAGAACACTTGTGCTAATTTTCCCTATCACAGAGTACAGTTGTTAAATGTCAGTGGTTGAGCCTCACCTGCAGTTACTACATACTTTGTCTAAACCAGGCACCCCCAAACTCAGCCCTCCAGATGTTTTGGGACTACAACTCCCATCATCCTTAGCTAGCAGGACCAGTGGTCAGGGATGATGGGAATTGTAGTCCCAAAACATCTAGAGGGCTGAGTTTGCGGATGCCTGGTCTAAACTAATGGATAGTTCCCTAATTATTCAAGCTTGCTGCTGAATTGATTAAGCTTATGTGACTTATTTAGGAAGCTCCCTTACACTGAGTCCAACTATTGCTCCATCTAGCTTTGTATTGTCTACAGAGACTGGCAGCAATTGTTCAGAGTTTCAGGCAAGGGACATTCCCAGCCCTACCTGGAGAGGCTGAGGATTGAATGTGAGACCTTTTTTCAAGCAAAGCAGGTGTGCTTCCTCTGAGGTATGCCCTTCCACTTCAGCTACATTCCTTCCCCAAATATATACTTCATTGCATCGAGGCAGTCACATTGCTTTAGACTAAAGCCAGGTTCTTGGGTTGTGGAGCAAGATCCTTCAATAGGTTTCAAGATACTTGCAGTAGTTTACGAATGATGGTTAATGTTGGAACTTCAGAGTGAACCATGGATGTCAGAAGACAAATGGCAGGTGGGCCTTTTTCTCTTCTTGTGAATGTTCTCTTTTGCTTGAGATGCTATGTGGAAACTCTGCAAGCAGTAGGTAGGGGCAGATGATGCTTAGTTGTGCTTTGGTGTTAATTCTTAGAGAAGCTGGGCAAAAGAATAAAGAGGATGGGGTGAGGAAGATAAAGGATGAACACTCCTGCTTTGTCTTTTTAGACAAAAATCCTTAGTATTCCTTCACTCCCTTCCATAAATCCTCATGCCACCAGTGGGCTGTATGTTCTCAACTGTTTTACAAACCTGTTTACATTCATCCATCAAACAGAAGTTGGACCAGAAGGCAAAATAAGTACAGGAAGGGGATGGATTCAAGAGGTTTCATGGAAATTGAGCTAGCTTATGTTTACTTATTTTTTATTTTAAAAAGTTATAAAAGCTTCCTGCCACACAATGGAAAATAATAAACCATTTAACTTATAAACATATGTACTCTAGTGTGCTTCCGTAATGTTGTTTGATATTTCTTGCTTCTGTGAACATCATGCAAATATTATTTCTTTATTAACTTACTTAGAATTAAAGAAGAGCCATCAGCTGTTGTCTGCCCTGTGATCGATGTGATTGACTGGAACACTTTTGAATATTTGGGAAATCCTGGGGAGCCACAGATTGGTGGGTTTGACTGGAGACTGGTCTTCACCTGGCATGTAGTACCCGAGAGGGAACAAAAACAGAGGAGATCCGAGGTTGATGTCATCAGGTCAGACTGATTTCTACTTTCTTTGAAATATATTTTAAACTGCTAAACCCATTGGGCTTACTAAACTGAAATTTGCTTCTCAACAAGGATTCTGAATGTTCTATCTATAACACATAATATATATGTGTAGGTTGTCATATAAATTCTGCTTTTAAAATCACATATGTAAATCTTCCTCTTTCCTCATTTGTAAACATAGTTTTATACTGTACAGTTCTCAGAACACAGAGAGATTAACCAGTGGTAGTGGAGGTGAGAAGCCAGTACATATATGTTTGTGTATGTGTGTGTGTGTTACACATCAATAGGCCACAAAGAGAAGATCAACTGCTGTTCAGTTCACAAGGTAATGGCAAACGGAATATTGGTTACAAATGCATTATGGCGTATCTGGAATGGGTTTTTCACAGTCATCTTCACTGAATACTAAAATGTTCTTTCCAAATTACCCTTTAATAGGGTTGAGCAAACTCATTCAGAAATAGTACACTGGCACCTTGGTTTACAATCATAATCCGTTCTGGAGGTCCGGTTGTAAACCAAAACAGGTTGTAACCCAAGGCACGCTTTCGCCAGTGGGGCCGCCAAAAAGGGGGGGGGGGAGATTGTAATCCAAAAAAAGTGTTGTAATCCAAAAAAAAGGGACACGCACTTCTGGGTTTGACGTGGTTGTAATCCAAAATGGTTGTAATCCAAAACGGTTGCAAACCAAGGTACCACTGTAATGCAAAATCTTACTTCTATGTACTCGTAATTTGTACAGGATTTAAGCTCCCCTTTCCCTTTTACAGTTAAGGTAGTTGCATTCTACTTTCCTCCAGACACCAGCAATTAAAGAGAATTATGTACATGCTAGTTTTTTGGAAGTATTAAGAGTAGTAATACTGCACTGAAGATAGCTATTCCTAGTGAAAATTCAGAAATGTTAGACCTAATGTAAAATAAGCTTAGTCTTGACCTATCTCCATGGGATTAATTTTACACTGAAACAATAGGTTAAGACGTATTGGTTACTAGCAGAGAACAAGCTGGAATGTCAAGATTTTAGGAGATAGTTAAGAATAACGTAATTCTTCTTCCTAATTGAAAATTAGAGCCACTGTGCAATGGAAGTTTTGTTCCTATCTGATGGCCCAATTCCCGAATGAAATTGTCAACAAGTGTCAAACTAGGATTTTGGAGTACCTGCATCTCCAAGCATTGTGGTGACCCAGTTTACACATAATAGCAATCCAAACAGTGGCTTTGTGCGAACAAACAAGCGTGTGAGTTTCCAGAGTGATGATTGCAGCCATTGTGCTCCTCCCCTGGTTTGGCTCTGCCATGCTACTCAGTGTTGTGCTATGGTTTGGCTTCATGTTACACCCAGACTCATTCTTTGTGTGGAGTGAAGCAAACCATGAGTCCTGGTGTGACGTTAACATATGAGAGTGCTGGAGGTGAAATAGTTAAACAAGTTACCCAATCAGAACCCAGGGGGGTGGAGTCAGAGGGACTATCAAACCAACTCTGGGAGGGGCGAAGGGGAGTTCGTTGGGAGTTGGATGGTTGGTTGCCATGGGAGTGAATTGGGATAGAGTCTGGGGGTAGGTTGAGTTGGTGTAGCGAAATAAGCTGAGTCAGGAACAGTTAGAAGCTAGGAAGACAAGTAAATATCTGAGAGGTGGTTTAGTGAGTGAGAGCAGGTAGCGGTCTGGATAGGCACCCCATGATTGTAATTGACTGAGACCGTTAATGAAACCACACGCTTGTTAAATTGCAATAAATAAACAGACGTTTCTGTTCCAAATTAACCCTGACTGGACTCAGTATTGTACCAGGTAGGGCCTGGGTGGTGGCAGTGAGAAATAAAGTGGTGGCACAGGGATCAATAGACGGTGAAACATCTGGGGACCCTGTGTGATCGCCACACCAGGTTCAAACATTAATGCTAAGTCAAACCATGGCTTAGCCCTGGGTAGCGCAGCAGCAGCCGGGCCACAGTCTGTGCTATAGGAACCTGCTCATTTGCACTAAGCCATGGTTTCCCCTAGTGTTGCATCCAAAGTGTGAGCAAACCTCTTCAAAATAAGTTTATAGGCGAGGATGTGCATGTTCTGAGCAGGTTTTCTGGAGTTCCTGCAGGGCTGGCTCATCAATAAGCAATGTGAGGCAGTCAACTCAGGTGGCAGATCTGATTTCCTCCATGCATGCCTGCCACCATGGCCGCCTCTTGTGTGCCTGGCTGCTCCCTTTTCCGCCTTGACCTCCGCACCCCTGGCTGCTGCTGAGGAGGAGGTGGCGAAGGGGGCAGCCAGGTGTGGAGGAGGCAACGGCAGCACATGTGTGTAGAAGAGGCAATGGCATCAAAGTGGGGGACCATTTTCAGTTTTGTCTGAAGCAGCAAAATATCCTGGGCTGGCCCTGCAGAACTGGATCTCAATCGATGCAAGACCAGCATATTGACGAACCATGGAATTAGGATTTAGCCAGTTCTAGATGGAGTTGCACTGCTCAAACAGAACCAAGACCATAGGTAGGGGGTGCTATTATCTAGATCCAGCCTTTCAGTGGACGTAGTTTTCAAAGTGCCTTTTAATCAATTTCTGTTACATGTGTCGGCTGCAGTCCTACTTGGAAATATATTGTGCCACTGTTTTCCATGCCCTGACAACATCCCTGTTAGATTACTTTAATGTGCCCCAAACAGAATTGCTTGCTCCCTTGTAACATCTTCAGCAGAGGGATGGGGTAACCCCATCAACAGAAAGATGGTGGCTTCCCATTTATGGCTCTTCTTCACATCTATTTGTCATGTGCCTCCTTTGCGTGTATTTAAGTGCCAAGTGAAAATGGTTGTTTGTCCAGGGATATAATGCTATGTAATCAATCTTGATTACTGGCTGGTTGGTTGTATGGATTGATGTAAGCCACTTTGGGGGACATGGCTGAATAACAGAGTAAAAGTAGATTAAATAAACAAGGTAATAAATAAATAAAATTTGACACATACTTCGAATTGATACCAAATTATTTAACATGCATTATTACTATACCCTTCTGTTGCTTAGAAGTCATTGGTTTTCTCATCCTTTCCTTAGTAGAGAGGTAAATAATTATTCTCCCTCTTCCTTCTGAGATTCTTTTAAAAACGTTTGAAACTGTCAACCTGTTTTCTTTTTCCTCAAATTTTCTTTCTTCTCGGCTGAGCGTGCCTGTTTCCTTAACTTTCCTTGTATGATTTGTAGCTCTCTGAAACATTAAGAACTTTTCAACATCCCTCTTGAACTAGAGTACCAAGAACTGCTTTCATTTTTAGTAAAGACCAAAACAAATAGGCTTTGATTACTTCAGCTGCCTCTTTATCCTCACTGTGCCTTCTTTTGTATTGAGGAAATATCCAGTGTTGTCTTTGTTTTCCATTTCCTTTTCTAACATATTTAATACAAATTCCTTTGTGTTGGTTGTGTCTTTGTCTATCTGCAGTTCATTTAGGCTAAATGCCCGTCTAATGTTCGTATACACTGGGGACCGGGTATTGTATGGCATAGAAAGAGCGAACTTGAAGAGGGGTATCAGGAAAGCAAAAGCGGAGTACAGAGGAAAAATTGAGGACCATCTGAGAAATCATGATACTAGACAAATGTGGCAGGGAGTCCAACATCTGACTGGTTATAAATCAAGGAATTCATCAGTGGTAGAGAGTATGGCTTCCTTGGTGGGAGAGCTGAATACCTTCTTTGCCCGATTTGAGGTGACACCAACAGTGACTCCAACAGGGATGCCAGAGCTATTGGCGTCACTACCTACAGGAAATGCTGCCAGGGTGGAAGAGGGAGAAGTGAGGCAAATATTAAAGGAGGTAAACACGAGGAAGGCTATGGGCCCGGATGGGGTGGCTGGCAGGGTGCTAAGAGATTGTTCGGACCAAACTGGCAGGAATCTTATTTTATTAAAAAAAAAAAAGAGATTGTTCGGACCAACTGGCAGGAATCTTTACGAAGATTTTTAACCAGTCTCTGGCCCAAGCCACTGTTCCACCCTGTCTGAAATCTGCTACTATTATACCCCTGCCAAAAACATCAAAGATAGACAGTCTGAATGATTTTCGCCCTGTGGCACTGACACCCATTATAATGAAATGTTTCAAAAAACTGGTGAGGAAGCGCATCTTATCTTGTCTGCCAGTGGGACTTGACCCTTACCAGTTTGCGTACAAGGCAAAGAGATCCACAGAGGATGCTGTGGCAATGGCTTTACATTCTGTCCTGACTCATTTGGAGAAGCAAGGGAACTACGCGAGACTGTTATTTGTAGACTTTAGTTCTGCATTTAATACTATTCTTCCGCATAGATTGGTGCCCAAATTATTAGACCTGGGACTTCCACCATGTTTGTGCAGGTGGCTATTAGACTTTCTATCAAACCGCTCCCAAAGGGTCAGGTTGGGTTCCCACGTCTCTGCGGATCTCATCACGAATACGGGGACGCCTCAGGGGTGCGTGTTGAGCCCGCTTTTATACATGCTCTATACAGCTGACTGTGCCCCCAAATACCCCACTAATAAGATCATTAAGTTTGCAGATGATACAAGGGTGGTTGGTTTAATTACGGCTGGAGAGGGGGAGACGGCCTATAGGAAGGAAGTTGAGCAGTTGGGGGAGTGGTGCAGGAAAAACAACTTACTGCTTAACTTAAAGAAAACAAAAGAGATCATTGTGGACTTTAGGAAATGTAAATTGAATATTCAGCCACTTATTATTGAGGGAAGTGCGTGGAACAGGTCTCAGTGTTTCGATTTCTGGGAATGGAGTTGAGAGACGACCTAACCTGGGGAGAGAACAGCAAAGACCTGGTGAAGAGAGCACAGCAGAGGTTATATTTTCTGAGAATCCTCCGGAAAAACAATCTCTCAAAGGACCTGTTGATGGCATTCTACCATTGCACTGTAGAGAGCGTACTAACTTATGGTCTGTGCGTGTGGTTTGGGAGCTGCACGGCCAGGGAAAAAACAATGCTATCCAGGGTTGTAAAGACTGCAGAGAGAATAATTGGGTGCACTCTTCCCACCTTAGATCAAATCTGTGCTGCCAGGTGCCATAAGAAAGCGGCAGAGATAGCACATGATAGTACGCACCCCGGAAATGATCTCTTTCAGCTTCTGCCTTCTGGAAGAAGGTATAGGGTTATAAAGGCCAGGACTAGCCGCCTGAAAAACAGTTTCTACGCTAATGCAATTCTGGTTCTAAACGCAGCATAAGGGGTCTCTGTAGTATAGTGTTTTTTAAAATGGGGTTTTAGAGTTTTTAGGGGTTTTTGAATGTTTTATGTAGTTTTTATGTAGTTTTATGTAGTTTTGTGGTAGTTTTATGTAGTTTTTATGTAGTTTTATGTAGTTTTCAATTTCATTGTTCCGCAAGGGACAATGACAATAAAGATATCGTATCGTATCGTAGTGCCTTCTTTTTTGGGGTTTAGGCTGTACAGCAATCCTAACTCCGCTTACCTGGGAATAAACCATTTTAAATTCAACAGACCTTACTTCTGAATAGACATGGTTAGGATTACACTTAAAGCCTTTTCTAGAAGCTAATGTGGTGTAGAGGGCTGGACTGTGACCAAAGCCAGTCATGATGGTCACCATGGGCTAATAATCTATATCTAATTTATTCATAGGATCATTCTGAACGTTTCTTAAATGTTAATTTCAAAATATATGTCCCACCTTTCTATATAATAAAAGGCAGCTTAAAAACAAAATAAAACAGTACACTGTGATAACAGTAAATAACAATGGGGGATAAAATGGAGGGCATTCATACTAGATATGCTTTATCAATACAATCTGCCCTTTTCGCTCTTGGATCTGTCACATTAGTTTAAATTATTGTTTTTCTGGTATCTTCACCTTTCTCTCTAAATGAGTTTTGGTGTCTTGTATTTGTAGTTTGATCATTAAACAAAAAACAAAAAAGCCCGCTAGCCATTTTGGGCACAGTGCTACCTATAAATCAGAGGGTGGCTGGGAAACCCCTTTCATTCCAAGGTCCACATTCCCTCAATAGTGTGTGTGGCCAGAAATATACAATCCTCAATCCAGGCAAGCAAGAGGTATAATCACAGTTCAAAGATACATTCCATCCTAATAAAAAGCATCAGAGGAGGGTGCAGGGCCTGTGAGGGTCATGGCCTACATAGAGTCCTGAGGGCTGGATAGAGAGAATGAAGGACCACATTTGGCCCCTGGATCCAAGGGTCCCCCATCCCTCCTGTAAATTAGCTGTGAATGTGCTTGGTTTACAGAGGAATCCTAACAGTGTCTACTGAAAAGTAGGTCCTACTCAATGCAGTAGGACTTCCTCCCAGGTAAATGGGGTTAAGGTTGCAGCCTTAATCTTTCTAGTTTGCTTGGAGGTCAGTTAGAATTTAAGTAATACCATTCAGTAAATGTATGTTTGTGTAATAACATTCTAATGTGCCATTAACTCTAATGTGCAGCTCAGTTTTCAGAACCTTGAAACCAAAAAAAGTATTTGCTGGAGAATGTAAATGTTCCATCGAATCTAATGTGCACCTTAATTTTTGCAACGTAAGTTGGCCAAAAAAGTTGAGCATTAGATTTGAGTAGATACAGTATATGTGTGTACCTTATTTTAAGATGTCTGCCTGCCTATCTATCATCTATCTATTATCTATCTATCATCTATCATCTATCTATCTATATCTATCTATCTTTCTATCTATCTATCATCTATCTATCTATCTTTCTATCTATCTATCTATCTATCTATCATCTATCTATTATCTATCCATCATCTATCTATCTATCATCTATCTATCATCTATCTATCTATCTATCACAGCCTTTGAACCCTTATTCTTTTAAAGTATTAAATAATTTGGATTTATTAGCCTAGTTGTAATCGAGCAGCCTGTGAAAGCAGAATGTATTTTATCACAAACATTTCTTGAAACCAAAACTTGTCTTGTAAAATGTTAATATCTCCCTCCTTGTTTTCTTGGTAACGTATGAATAAGTTGCATTCTGGGCCATGGACATTTCTTGTAAAAGGTGTACCATTAATAATATGGCACTGATATGTTGAGCCACCTAATGATGCTTGTTACAGAAAAACAATGTGTTCCCTAATGTCAGAGTTACTTTCCTCTCATAGGTCTCCTACTATGGCTGGTGGGCTCTTTGCAGTCAGTAAGCATTATTTTAGCTACCTCGGCTCTTATGACACAGGAATGGAAGTCTGGGGAGGAGAAAACCTTGAATTTTCATTCCGGGTAAGTAACGTTATTGGAAGTAGCCCTGAAACATTCCCCTCCACGCAAATCTCATTAAGCTCCTTATGTCTCCTGCATGAATAACTGTCTTTTAAAGGAAATATGCAAGTAGTGTAGTGTAAGTTGTTAATCAAACCAGTCCTTGCCAGTGCTATTATGAATACAAAGTCTAGTTCATTCTCCTGAGCTGCTTCTGTTATCCAGAACTAGGTAGTTGTAATAACATTCATATTTTGTAGTCTAGTGCTCTGATGGATAACTAGCTGGTGATTCCGTAGTTTCAGGCAAGTCCTACCAAATGTTAATGGAAGTAAAATTGTACTTGCTATGCCCCATTTAAGGAAAATAAAGGTAAAGGGGACCCCTGACCATTAGGTCCAGTCATGGCCGACTCTTGGGTTGCGGCGCTCATCTCGCTTTATTGGCCGAGGGAGCCAGCGTACAGCTTCCGGGTCATGTGGCCAGCATGACTAAGCCGCTTCTGGAGAACCAGAGCAGCGCACGAAAACGCCGTTTACCTTCCCGCCAGAGATACCTATTTATCTATCTGCACTTTGACATGCTTTCGAACTGCTAAGTGGGCAGGAGCAGGGACCGAGCAAGGGGAGCTCACCCTGTCGCGGGGATTCAAACTGCCAACCTTCTGATCGGCAAGTCCCAGGCTCTGTGGTTTAACCCACAGCGCCACCCGCGTCCCTAAATATTTCCCCCCAAAGATGAACATATTCCCTACTTAAAATTAATGGGACATAAACATACAAGCTTTCTTTGGACTGAGGTGTTTGGGTTTTGTATGGATTGTAATGTCTAATCATACGCGTATGATCCATAACTGCAAACTCATTTCTTCTTGGTATCACCACATGTTATTATCAAGCTTGGTTATATGTAAATAGTGTAGGTTGCATGGCAGTTCCTGCCTCCACATCACTGTTTAGAGAATAGAGCAACATCTGAGAATATTAGATGTCATACTAAGTATGGAACTTGTAGATTAAACTTCCCAAAACACTCTGTACTGCATCTACCTATAAAGAAAACGTACATACTGTAATGCTTCAGTCTAATACCGCTACTTAAATTGTATACTCTTTGATCTTAATATAGTATCTAATTGAACGGATCTAATGCACAAATGAGCCAATAATTATTTCATGCTGTGAAATGCCCAGGCATCTCTTCTATCCTCTTAGCTGAAGTGTCCTCCGTAGCCACCCGCTGACTCCGTGTATAAAATACATTCTTCAACTAATTACATCCTGTGTAAAGATACTCAATGACTCTGCCCACAGGACAATGCAGACAAAACAGGACAAAGCAGAAGGCCAGTGCATATCTGCTCAAAGTTCACAAGGAAGAAATCCAAATGTAGGAAATATCAATGTTGTATGCTTCCAGTAATAATTGTGCTAGACTGTTGACATAAGGTCCTTGCAATATTTGATTGTGTTCACATGGCATGAGAGATCAAACTTTAGGCAGATTTTTAGGGGAGGAATCATAAATATTGGGTGGTATTCAACTAAGTTGAATAAAAAATAAAAAAAATATTATTATGAACTTCTACTCAGAGTAGACCCACTGAAATTAAGTTAGGTCCATTAATTACAATAGTTCTGCTTAGCTGAATACCACCCATAGAATAGACCTTGAAATATGCATGGAGTTAAACTAAGCTACAGAGACTGACACAAAACAGAGCTAGCCAGAACTGGTAATGGAAAGGGATTCAGGAGGAAGTGTGGCAGGAGTATTTGCTCAACTTCTGAAGCATTACCTTGAGCTGCTGTGGTACAAATAGCTTCTTAAACAGCTGCTGCTTAAGCCAGTTCATAGGATAGGGCTGCAATGTTGCATGCATATAATACAGACTGTTTTGTTTGTTTTTCTTTATTTTATTTAGATCTGGCAGTGTGGAGGAAGTCTTGAGATCCATCCTTGTTCTCACGTGGGACATGTTTTCCCAAAGCAAGCTCCCTACTCAAGGGCAAAGGCTTTGGCTAACTCTGTCCGTGCTGCAGAAGTGTGGATGGATGCATATAAAGAGCTTTATTACCACAGAAATCCACATGCACGCAAGGTAAGCTTACTGTTCAGATCACTTTTCTGAGGAGCCCGTCACCTAAATTTTGACTCTAGAGGGAAAAGGGGAGAGGCAAGGCAGCAAAGGGTATTATTTATGCCAGGCACATAATTTGAATTGCCTTGGTGCATGTCTGTTTTTGTAACGCACTGAGAACAGAGAGCACTTTTTGCAGGGCTGTTAATCCATCTCACAAAAGTGACAAAATTCCTAAAGAATGGGAATGGTCTCCAATGAAGTAGATCTACTAGCACGAGGACTTACGGCTGTGCAAGGGAACTTTCCTTTCCTCCCCACACTCTGCCTCCCTAAATCTCTTCTGATGTTTTCCCCAACTCCCCTGGAGCAAATTTGGGGAAGGTGCAGAAGAAGAGGACAGAGAGGGAAAATTCCATTGCACAAGTGGAAACCCGTGCAGTAGTGGATCTACTTTATTGGATACTGCCCCTTAGTGTTTTGCCAGTTTGAAAAAGAATAGGCTTCATAATCTTGATAATTATAGGTTAGCTATCCTGACTAGAATAACTGAACTGTTGATAAATACATAACTCTACATTAAAGGAAAGATTTTGATGGTAGAATTATAATTATTACAATTATAATTATTGCCAATCAATGTGGTTTCAGGATTAGTATTACCAAATACATTTATAATCTTGAGAAAATGTGATCAGTTGGATAACTATAAATAGTTGGTTCTAGTAATCTGATTTTAATATAGAAGAGTAAAACTTAAGAAGGATCACAGGAAAAAGGATTACTCTGGTACCCAATAGCTCCTGGTGGCATTACATGAAATCGAGGGTCCTTCTGCCGGGACATTTGAGGGTATCTAATTCAAAACTCCATAGGTTGGACCTCTGCTACCATCAGGTGGTCCTAACAGAAGGGAGAGGCAATTCTGCCAAAGCCGCCAGTATCCTCAAAAAAGCTGTTCCATATGGTTAGAGAACCCTCTGAAACAGTGTGGGAGGTAATACATGGAGCACTAGGAAGGGGGAATTGGCAAAAATAGCTTCCTTCCGTCCCCACCTTCTGCATCAGGAGCCTCCACTGGACTTCTGTCTCTTCTGCAAATGGAAGGGGAAACCTGCATCTAGTCCAGTAGGTTTATTAATGATTTTGAATAGTAATATTGCAGATGATCAAGGTTACAGCTGGTCCTAAAAATGTTGAGGTTAGGTTGGGATATGATTAAATAGATACCAAACAGTCTGGCTCAGTTAATGGGCTGGATACAATCAAATACCACACATTTCTAATGAAGGTAAGAACACAAACTCCCTGATCTAGAAATCTGTAATATGTACTGGTACTGCAGATAAGGGGGGATTATGGTGTTTGTACTGAGTTACCTTTGTGAGACTTCACACAGATTTTGTCTGGGTTTGGGTCCTTCACTATAAGCTATGATGCTTGACTATAGGGAATTTTGCTGGTAACTAACCCTCTTTCAATTGTGGTCATACCATCGGAGCCAACCCCTAGGGGCTGAGGTCCCTTTGACACCCCCCCTAAATATTTGAGGGGACCAGCCCCTCCCCAAGTTGAGGTGCATTGCCATTCAAATAGTGTGTGGGGGCCATGTCATGTGATTGATTATGTAAGGCAGGGCTTACCTCCCCCCAATATTTAATTCAAGCTGGCATCCCTGGGTCATACTAAATATGGTCTTTGCTCTATCAGGATAGTATTAGGAAATAGTGTTTGAAGGTCAGTGACTTGCTGTGAACATGTGCATCAGTTTTATTGCAGTAACAAAACTAAAGTTTGGATGTGAAATCAGAACATCCAAGTAGAAAAAGCATATAGAATATTAACTTAATGATGCTTGTATGTTGATGTCCTATTTTGACCACACTTTAAAAGGCTGGAGGAGGAGGAGATTTATATACTTAGCATTACATTTTATCTGTTTCTACTTTCAGGCCTGCACAAATTGTGACTAACCAAGGAAAAAAACCATGGTGTACCAGCCATGTTTTGTGGCCTGCCAGAATCTAATAGCTTCCCCTATCCCAACCCCATTTTTGCCATTTCAACCCAGTAGCAGAATGTTATGACTATATGACTGGTGGGCTGAATTCAGCTTGGTAGGTCACAGGTTGTACAAACCTGACAAATATTCCATGCAAATGGACTCCCATTTCCCTCCTGACATTTCAAAGTTTATGCTGTAGCTTTCCTTATGTTGAAATTTTAATTTACTTTCGGTTTTCTTTTTAGGAGCCTTATGGAGATGTGACAGAAAGAAGATTTCTTCGAGAGAAGTTGAAATGCAAGGATTTCAAGTGGTACCTGGATAATATTTACCCAGAACTCCATGTGCCAGAGGACAGGCCTGGCTTTTTTGGGATGGTAAGTAAAATGTTTTTTTAAGAGGGGTTTTTCGTAAGACTGACTTCTCTCCTTCAGGATAGTTTGGCAAGGCAGAAATCAGCAGAAAGTGTAATAAGTTCAAATCTCACCCTAGCCATGAATTCACTAGGTAGCTTTAGGTAATCCACTGTCTCTCAGCACTCGACACTGTGGGGATAATAATTTGTACCTTGTACAGAGCTATTGTAAGAAGTACTGAGAATGTGCAAAAACCACCTTCTTGACTAAAGGACCTACTATTGGTCTCGTCTGCTCAGCCCGCCAGAATCTATATTCACATGCAGGGAAAGTCCCAAACTGACCCGAGGGTTTGAAACACATCAGCTACCCTCATCTGGTTTAGCAAAATGAATGTTAATAGGGACAAATGTAGGGTTCTGTACGTAGGCAGGAGAATCAGATGCACAAATATAGGATGGGGGACACCTGGCTTGGCAGCAGTACATGTGGAAAGGATCTAGGTGTCTTAGCAGACCACGTACTTAACATGAGTCAACAGTGTGATATAGCAGCAAAAATAGCTAATGCAGTTCTAGGCTGCACCAACAAAAGTAGAGTGTCTAGATCAAGGAAGGTCATAGTACCACTCTGTTCTACCTTGGTCAGACGCCACTGGTAGCCCATCTAGGAGAAGGTAACTCTGATCCTAAACCTCTGCTGCCTTGCAGGATATATTCAGGAGCAGAAAAGGCTAAGGAGTAAACCTTACACAAATTGGGAGTGGAGTCCCTAAGGTGGTTGGAGAGCACCTTGTATGCATCCTTCTGGCAGCTCCTGCAGCCAAGCTGGTGCCAAACATGTTGCTCTGCTTTCCTTTACACTGCACCAGTGAGGCTGAGAGGAGGGGTCTTGTCATCTGGGCAGCCCAGAACCTCCATACACACTGCCCACTGCCCAGTCTTTCGCCCCAGGGAGGTCATTTTGGCGCTGCTCATGCAGCAGTTTGACATCACCCCCGGAGGTGCACTCCATTGTCTCTCAAGTCAGACAGATGCCAACAACAACTGAGAATTTGAAAAACTTTGAAACGTTATAGACGTGCTTATCATTTTAAAATTGAATGATTCTTGAATTTATATACAGTGGTACTTTGGTTCTCAAACTTAATCAGTTCCGGAAGTTCGTTCCAAAACCAAAGCATTCCAAAACCAAGGCATGCTTTCCCATAGAAAGTAATGCAAAATGAATTAATCTGTTCCAGACTTTTAAAAACAACCCCTAAAACAGCAGTTTAACATGAATTTTACTATCTGAGACCACTGATCCATAAAATGAAAGCAATAATCAATGTACTGTACTATAAAATAAAGAAGACAGTATTGTAGATGATAAAAAAAATAATCCTTACCTGCACTGATGATAGTCATTGTTTGGATGGGGGGCAGGCGGCTTTTATCCATTTCTGCAGTCACACAGTCTTGGCGTTTAAGAACCAAGGTGTTTGAGAACCAAGGTACCACTGTATAACTAGGTCCTTCTGGAGCTCATCAAGGGTCCAAAATCGTATTTGCAGCAGTAACCAGCTAGATGCTTCCCACTAATTAGATCCCATGATAAGGATGGTATAATGCAGGGGTCAGCAAACTTTTTCAGCAGTTGGGAGGCCAGAGTATATTTTTTTTGGGGGGGGGGGAATTAACAAATTGCTATGCCCCACAAATAACCGAGAGATGCATTTTAAATAAAACGACACATCCTACTCATGTAAAAACATGCTGATTCCCAGACTGTCCACGGGCTGGATTGAGAAGGCGATTGGGCTGCATCCGGCCCCCGGGCCTTAGTTTGCCTACCCATGGTATAATGCCACTATAAAGGAGCCATGCTTTTTTTCTGGGAATACCCCTTCACATGTGTGCCACTACCACAATATGTTAACATTCACCATATGTCATGTGTAAGTGTATTATGTAATATATCAGATAACTGGCTAACAAACGTTCCTCCAGTGGCTTCCTTTCTGCTGTCTACCAAGAGGATACCTCTCCAGTATTGTCTGGGCTGTCTTCCCCATAGCTGAAAACATCTTGCCCAGTCATGCTTGCTTTATGTTATATTTCCTCCCCTCTACTGGTTTTATTAGTTCTTGGCAGATCCTTTCTTTATGAAATCCCTTTTCTTTTTTTTGTGATACTGCTGTGAATTTCCTTGAAGGGAAAATTATTCTTCTTTTTATGTAGCTCTTGGGTCTGACATTTTGAGTTCAATGCAAATAAAGAAAGAATCAGTTCATTCCATGCTTGTTTTCACTGGGGAGAACTATGTTTACGACACATACAGCTTCCCAGCAAATTAGTACACAGAAGACCTGAAAGTTCTTCCAATGAGGATTCAGTCACATTATATTTGACCTGGCCTAAAGAAATTTGGAGCTAGGGTCAATAGTAATTCATATTGAAATTATTATTATTATTATTCATGACACTTCTCAACAGTAAATTCTCATTTGCTACCTCATTCTACGTAAAAAAGTGAATATAAAGTTAGATTATAAAAATAGTCCATATACCAAGTGAGTGAATTTTGACCATTGGTCTTCATCACCAGCTTGTATTTGACATTTCAAGACCAATTATAGAATGTGGGAGTCCTCCCTGGCACAAAGAACAGTCAGCATGTTTTTAAAAGCTCCAGGGCATATATTTTCAGGCCGTTACCAACACAATCTGGAGAGGAAACTCCCCCAAAAATATAATTGTATTCTATGTGTGGTACCTGACTAAGTCATATTCACAGTAGAGCCCCTGAAATCAGTAGGCTTATGTTACTAGTCAGGACTAACTTAAGATCATTGGTTCCTACTATTTAGTTGTTATGGTTTCTCATTAAAAAAAATAAAATCTTATTGCTGCATCTGAAGTGATACTGAATTATAAGCTGCTAAATTAGTAGTTTTTAAAGTGCAATGACTGATGGGATGTTTGGATTGTGGGCTGGTATCTCTTAACTGCCTTTTGCTGCCTTTCAGCTGAAGAACAGAGGGATGGCAAATTATTGTTTTGATTATAATCCTCTTGATGACCATGATATAACAGGACGTGTAGTCATATTATATCCTTGTCATGGCATGGGACAAAATCAGGTAAGATTTTCCCTTTACTTCCATTAGAGGGTCGAAATGTAGTTGCCCTTTCTTTGTGCGTTTTTTTTATATTAAAATATTTACAACCCACTCTATCCTGCTTGATCTCAGGCAGGACATCTACTTTGTATATTGAAGTGTTGTATTAATGAATTAACGCACACAAAACAATAAACAATGAACACTAATCTTAAAGCACAAAGCAAAGTGTAGTAAAGGTAAAGGGACCCCTGACCATTAGGTCCAGTCGTGGCCAACTCTGGGGTTGCGGCACTCATCTTGCTTTATTGGCCAAGGGAGCCGGCGTACAGCTTCCGGGTCATGTGGCCAGCACGACTAAGCCGCTTCTGGCGAACCAGAGCAGAGCACAGAAACGCCGTTTACCTTCCCGCTGGAGTGGAACCTATTTATCTACTTGAACTTTGACGTGCTTTCGAACTGCTAGGTTGGCAGGAGCAGGGACTGAGCAACGGGAGCTCACCCCATCGCGGGGATTTGAACCGCCGACCTTCTGATCGGCAAATTGTAGTACCAGGCAGCAAATTTTGACAGTGCACAAATGCCTGAGTAAATAATCAGTTTTTAACCTGGCACCAAAACAAAGCCAAAGTTGTTCCAGGTAGAGGAGGCCATTCCATAACCAGGGCATCAGGCCTCTTTTCTACATCTCAACATAATGGGCATCTCCTAAAAATGGTATCTTAATGAGCCAATCTCAGTGTTCAGGCAGTTTGCTTGTTTGTTTATAAATTCAACCATATAACACCATAGTGGAGAGAGATGCTGCTTCAAATACCCTAAGTTCCCATTTCTTTAGAGAGCCAGTGTGGTGTAGTGGTTAAGAGCGGTAGTCTCGTAATCTGGGGAACCGGGTTCGCATCTCCGCTCCTCCACATGCAGCTGCTGGGTGACCTTGGGCCAGTCACACTTCTTTGAAGTCTCTCAGCCCCACTCAACTCACAGAGTGTTTGTTGTGGGGGAGGAAGGGAAAGGAGAATGTTAGCCGCTTTGAGACTCCCTAAAGGGAGTGAAAGGCGGGATATCAAATCCAAACTCTTCTCTTCTTCTTCTTCTTTCGGGTTTTATTGACTCTAAATTTATGAAATAGGCCCAGAAGTGTATTTGGAATCAGTGCTATGCATCTTAACTCTGGCTTCAATATGTAGTTCCACTTAGCAGCCTAGCTGCCACATTTTACACTAACTGAAACTTCAACGTCTTCATCAGAAACAGCCCCATATAGAGTGCATTACAGTCACTGAACTGGGGACTACTAGAGCATGAATTACTGTGGAGATGCTATCCCTGATCAAGAACGACTGTAGCTGGTAGATCAAACTGAAGTTGGCCAAACAGACTCCAAGCCATACACCTGCTCCTTTGGGGCAGGGTGTCTTGTGTGTCAAAACGCTTCCATGTTGTTTGCCTAATTCCCATACACAAAAACCATCAACCCACAAGGCCTCTGTCTTGTTGGGATTCAGTCTGTTTATTAGTTCATATGCAGACACCCATCCAGCACTCCACAACTTCCCCTAACTTGGTAGATATGGATTGGGTGCTAATGGCACCCAACTCTAAACTTCACCCAGCGGCTTCATACAGATATTACATGAAGCATGTTCCCAGCAGCAGGGGGTGTGGGGGATCAAAGCAGCTGTAGTTTTAGCACTATGCACCAGAAAGCTGTGTACACCAGGCATAGGCAAACTCGGCCCGCCAGATTTTTTGGGACTTCAACTCCCATGATCCCTAGCTAACAGGACCAGTGGTCAGGGATGATGGGAATAGTAGTCCCAAAACATCTGGAGGGCTGAGTTTGCCTGTGCCTGGTGTACACCTTTAAACCATGGTTAAGCCTGACTGTGGGTTTAAAGTGACATGCAAATTGGTAAAATAAGTTCTTTCAAAGTCTAAAGTTGTTTCAAAGTGCTAAATTGGATCATTCTCTAGGGTGATGCAGATTACTCAAATTTGCATACAACTTTTTCCACTACAATTTTTCCCTCTGCAAAACCCACTTCACTGATTGCAACCGCGGGAGGCTTTGTTTTTATGGTCTAAGATCTAAATTCTGGTGGGATTCATCTCCTGGGCTGGATCCTGGCATAGCCAGAGTGAGTATTGGTGTGCACTTCGCCTTTCCCAGCTGGCTGCATGTCTCTTCACTGCTGTTGCAGAGCCTGCAGCAGGCTTTGTTTGAAGCTCTTAGCCCCACAGCTTCTTCTGCTGTAACAGCTGCTCTCACATTTGAGGTCCTCCAACTCACTCAGGGCTAAATGGAGGAGGAAGGTTTTTGCCTTTTCAGCTGCTTTCTCTCTGCTCAGTACTCTGTGGATCAAACGAACAAACCTTTATTAACGCTGTAAATCTCCTGTCCTGCCCCCAATTCCCACAACCCCTTCTTTCCCTCCTCTTTCTTCTCATGGTCCTAGCTGATTATGAAATACCCTCCCCAGAGATTCTTGTTTGGCACCTACCATCCTATCTTTTAGGTGCAGAGTTAAAATTATTCTATTCCCCTGGGCTTTTGGTAAGTAAAAGCACAATCCTTTTGTCGTTTGTTGTGTGCCAATTTTCCTGCTGCTTGTTTCTGTTATTGATTTGTTTGTGTTTTAAACTTGTGTGAATTTTATATTTTGTCTTGGATTGTAAGCCACCTTGAAGACCTGGTAGAAAGGCAGGGTATAGTATTTTTAAAAAATATAAAATGCTGCATCCCTATATACCCTACTGCCAGGGATGAACCTGTATTGAACACAGTGGGACTTCTTAGCAAACATGCATAGGTTTCCTCTGTAAGCTGCCAAAATACCACTAACCACTTGCCCCTGACTAGTCCTTCATTAATCCTCTTTCTACCCATTTCCCTGTCATTTTCTTGGATAGTTTTATATGTGTTCCTTTATATTCATTACCACTAACTACTGTTACATAATAATAATAATAATAATAATAATAATAATAATAAATTTATTATTTATACCCCGCCCATCTGGCTGGGCTTCCCCAGCCACTCTGGGCGGCTTCCAAAAAAAATATTAAAATACTCTAATACATCAAACATTAAAAGCTTCCCTAAACAGGGCTGCCTTCAGATGTCTTCTAAAAGTCTGGTAGTTGTTGTTCTCTTTGATGTATTGGCAGTAGTTAGTGCCTGATGAACGAATTACCAAAAACAATCCATGTCGGGGCTGCAATTCAGAAAGGTTACAGTTGTTGCTACTGGATATGTTAATTTAGTTCCTGGTCTGGAGGACCCACCCAAAAAATACGACTTTTTTGCATTTAAGCTCTAGAAGGCTGTCTGTCTGAATGTCACACATACATACCTAAAGTTTTAGTCGAGATTTTATTTCCGTTTGGGGTTTACAGTTTTTTGAATACACCTCCCACAATGAAATACGTTACAACACACGGCAACCTGAAGTCTGCGCAGCGGTTGATCCGGGATCTGATTATTTGAAAATGTATTTGTGCCAAGAAGGTATCCAGAACATTCCTGAAAATCAGAAAATTTTCTTTAGAGAGGTAAGGATACAGCACAGTCTTTTTGCTTGCATTGTACAGCCAGCAGCCATTAGCAATGAGTTAATGGGTTAGGGCTCAGTCCCCGAAAGAAGCTTCAAACAGAATTGCTCTCTAGAATAGTGGGGTGGCAGTTCATTGCTTGCTTCCCTTCACTCACTGAAACTACTTCAAATGTATTCATGCTTAAGAAGAAGGTTGGTTTTAATACAATGTGAGGGTCAGGGGTCTGAAAGCTGTTGCCCATCTGTGTCGTCCCCCCCATCTGCACCTGAAAGATCAGGAAATATATTTACAACAGAGCGTTGAGTGGATTTCCTGGATAAGCTTCCACTGTAGATTGCAGCACCACTTGATAGGCGCAACCCCAGTTGATAGGTAAAGGTAAAGGGACCCCTGACCATTAGGTCCAGTCGTGGCTGACTCTGGGGTTGCGGTGCTCATCTCGCTTTATTGGCCGAGGGAGCCGGCGTACAGCTTCCGGGTCATGTGGCCAGCATGACTAAGCCGCTTCTGGCAAACCAGAGCAGCACACGGAAACGCCGTTTACCTTCCCGCCGGAGCGGTACCTATTTATCTACTTGCACTTTGATGTGCTTTCGAACTGCTAGGTTGGCAGGAGCAGGGACCGAGTAACAGGAGCTCGCCCCGTCACAGAGTTTTGAACCGCTGACCTTCTGATTGGGAAGTCCTAGGCTCTGTGGTTTAACCCACAGCACTGCCCGCATCCCTTAACCCCAGTTGATACTGGACTGCAAAGAATGATAATATGCCTTCCTCTTTTAAGGCAGATATGCTATCTGAAACCGCTGTATACGGTTGGTGATTTGCAGATCCAGGCCATTGCACCCCTTCACCAAAGTATTTTTGATTGACTAAGGAAAAGGAGGACGTACCCTCAAATTTTAAACTTCATATCAGATTAAAATCCTTTTTTGATTTCACTTTCTTCAGCAGGTATATGTTTAAATTGTTGCTCCCTTACTACATAGACTGCTTCAGCTACATTGTGATAATTACTACCAACAACTTTGTCAGAACTTCCAGCGAATTGTTGAGTTGAAAGGGACCCTGAGGGTCATTTAGTCCAACTTCCTGCAATGCAAGAATCTCAACTAGATCATAGAATCTTAGAGCTGGAAGGGACCCAGGGGTCATCTAGTCCAACCCCCTGCAAAGCAGGAATCTCAGCTAAAACATCCATCACAGATGACCATCCAGCTTCTACTTAAAAACCTCCAAGGAAAGAGAGTGCACTACCTCTCATGGGAGTCTGTTCCTAATGTTTATAAACAGCATTTAAGTATGAAATAGTTTTGCCAGAACTCATGTTAAAGTTAATTTCTACACTGATCAGCAAAGGCTGCCTTCGGAGGGTTTCAAGAAAAAGAGTTCTCCTTAATTACCATTGTCTTGACAGAGAGTCAGTTGCTTACTAAGAGTGACTGAAGTTGCTAAATAATCTTCAGATTCTGAGTCTGCACACAAAAAATATTGACAGAATCCCACGCCTCTTTGCTTTTCTGTTAGTCTTCCTTCTTTCAGTTAGACTAATAAAAAGCTAAAAAGCGATGTTGATAAGTGCATTATCAGCTGGACTCTCAAATATTATTATACTGTCTTTACTGTAAAGTATAAAGTGTTCTGTACCATCTTTTGTAGGATGGAACGTTACTCCATGTGCAGACCCAGAAGTGCTTACAAGCAGAATCTAATGCTTATGATGGCAATTCAGCACCTTTATTACGGCCGTGTTCCAATTCAGAATACCAGAAGTGGTTTTTCGAGGAAAGGAGCTGATGTGGAACTCCACTATTTTGTGCAAGAAAATAATTGAAATGGAAGAAAGAAAACCTTTATTTTTTTTATGCAGAAGGGCTGCACTTTCCCTTTTCTACTTTCCTGGAATACTAGCAGGCATTGTAATGTATATATTAAATTGGTACAGATTTTCCTACAAAAGAAATCCGTACCTTACTTGGCAGCTATATGACTTCTCCAAAAGTGTCCTAATCCCACCCCTGCCCCTGCCAAAAGGCCATGTATTTATATAAACCTGTTAGGTATGGTAATGAAATGCAAACGATTGCACTAACATTTGACAACGTAAATATTTATTTTTTTAGCAAGAGTTTCTGCAGTTGTGTCTCTCTAAGAGATATTAAAATGGGCCAAATTTTGCTGTGAAATGTGTGATTACAGGAGATTTCAAGTAGATTTATTTTCTGTGTACACCTGACATCTTAGGACTGAGTAGCAAACATGGTGGCCTTCAGTTGATGTTGGATCTAGCTCCCATCAGCGTCAGCCTGAATGGCCAATAGTCATGGATGATGGGTGTTGTAGTCCAACAGTATCTGGAGGCTACTCTGTTGGCTATCCCTGCTTTAGGGCTAGTACATTTGCTCAGACACTGGAGAACCATACAGATAGTACATACTGGAAATTCAACCATAGGCAATCATAATATAAAATATCAAACAATCATGCTGTGTCATGGCATACTAGGTTAAAATTACTAATCATTTAGTGGTTGAAATTAACCTTTTAAAGCACCCATCGTAAGCTTTATTTCGGCAAAAAATGGTGAAGTAGATGTACTGGGGGCCTATTTCTGGCATACAGAAAAATTAGTGAAGGGGAAAAGAATTTGCAGGAGCAGATTTACTAAGGGGGAAACTATGTGTTGCACTGCAGCCATGTGTCACAAAGCGCTGACAGCCCCATCTATGTGGCAAAGCACATTCAGGTGGGGGCAGTTTGCATCAGTTGAGGAGAGGTGAGCAGTTAACCCTTTTCTTGCCGGGCGCTGTTCCTCTGAAGCTTCCCCTTCCAATATGCTTTTAGTATTCAGAACCTGCATTTATCTCACAAATAGGTCTGGAGCCCTCTAGGTACAAAGGCAGCTGCAGGGGTGGGATGTTCCAGGAGGAGAGTTGCTGCAAAGGGAAGGGTTAAGCCTCTCATTTCCTCCTGGCCTTTTTCTAATGCAGATCTCCACCTCTGGAAGGTGCTTTGCAATGGAGAAGGAGACGTTGGGTTTGTTTCATATGTTTGTGATATATTAATGGGTAGTTTGCCCCTGCTAATTAAGGCAACCAAAGATAGCATTCAGTTTTAAAGCTTTTAAAATAACTTGAAACTTTTTCTATACTTCGTACGTTCAAGTTATACTCAGAATAGTCCCATGCAAATCAGTGAACCTAAGTAAGTGAAATATTGCTATTAATGGGTTTGCTTTGAGTATGATTTAGTTGAATATCACCCAGAGTCTTGGGTTTTAAAGAACCAACAAAACTACCTCAGACCACAAATTTTGAACTGGGATTTAATCTTATGGTACTTTTAAATGTGAGGATTTTCCTTTTGAAAAACATGATAGGAAATGTCCCCATGCTCTGCTAGCACATAGCAGCCAACTTCAATAAAGCATATATTGCATTATACCAGAGGGTACCAGTTTACTAACATAAAGTTAAGTACCAGATTAGGCAATTGATACTATGTTAGCACTAAATTTCAGTAGCCAGCTTTCATCACTGGTTCTCCACTATGGAGAGGCAAAACTAACTGTAGTGGTTGGCACTTCAACACAAAGGGATTTTTCTGCCTTGAGCCATTCATGTACCAAATTTTTGGCTGCTCTACTTAGGGCATAACCAATCTTCAAGCCATACAGTGCCAAAGTCCCACTTGACCTGATAACTCCACTTATCTGTGTGAAAGAAAAGATGAGGTGTGATATCGGTGTGAGGAATCCTGCACAGCTTCTATACTTTCTTTCCCCCCCTAGATAGTTCCTACACTTCTGTTTGTGTGCTTAAACAGAAGATGGGGATACTTTTCTTGCCGCTTCCTCACTTGAAATATTTCTCAACAGAGTAAATGAAACTTACTTTGAGAGAGTGTGAGTGTGGAGGATTGTAGCTTAATCAGAAACAATTCTTAGTCAGTGTTGAATCACCAGTCTTGGAATTTTTCAGGCAACAACAATTGATACATTGCCAGTTTTCACAGATCAAGCTTCATCATCTCATACCTCTTTGGACTTCAGTTGAGGTTCATCAACTTCTTCAGTGTCTCATGAAGGATAGCCCAAAGCAACACCTGCCTGGATTGTCTGTTATTTCACCGGGTATACACTATGCTTCCTGGGAAATATGCTTCAGGAGTACCATTTCCCACCATTAACACCACCCCTGGTGTTTGCTGGGTATATCAGAGAAGAAGACGACAAATATATGGGAAGCAGGATAAAATGAAAGCATAGGGAAGATGGCATCTGAAGCAATGCTGCAAACTTGGGGTGAAGCAGTAGCATCCAGATTCACTGATGGTATTTTTCTTGCAGCATCAAAATTGCATGATTTTTGTCACTTTCCAAAGTGGTCTATAATTCTGATCCATATCAGACACTGTTGACATTCATCATGTGCTATGAAATTGCATAGTTCTTGGAGGCTGCATCTTCCTAAGTGCCTTAAAAACTAAGCAGTCTTATTCTGTTGGATATATTGGGAGGTTTCTTCACCTTATGCTTTGATTCGTGTTATCACATGGCTGTTGAAACTGTTTAAAAGTATGATAAATGTTGTTTAGTAACTTTATAAATGGTAGTGAGACTGTTTTATAATGGTTAGATATCCAACTTTTTCTAGGAATGTGAGCATAGGTGGGAGGTTTGTATAAGACTGTATAAGGTTCTGTGTTCAATTAATGTAGCGAGTACAAAAGCCAATAAACTATTTGTTGATTTGTCCTTCAACTTTTCCTTTTAACCTTTTTTTTTAATCTCCTAAAGGCCTTATCTGCCAGAAGCAGGCAAGTAAAACAAGAAATACGTTGACTGCCAGTTTCCTTTTTCTGAAAGTATAGTCTTTTCTAAAAGACTATACTTTGAAGATTCTTTTGAATCTAATACTGACATTAATTGCTCTACCTCGCAAAATACCTGTTTTTTTATTCTACAACATTTGCATTTAGATAACTGCTGGATTTTGACCCATGAAATCTAAGGAGGCTTTAAGACAGACATGAGAGGTCATTGCAGTGCGAAGGGTAAATAGGCACTTCTGATGCCATTTAAAATGTTTTAGTCATAGGATAAGAGTTTTGTTACGAATATATACACACACTAAAAAAACCCTGGAATGTCAGTATTGGTAATAGAGCAATAGAAACAACTGAACATTATTTCCTGATTGTATATTTTCCACTTAGCTACTTAAAGCAGAGATTAGACAGGTAGCTACTAGAAACAGAGCCTTTTCTGTAGTTGCACCTTAATTGTGGAACTTCATTGCTGTCATTGCTTTGCCCAGCAAAGTCTGTCCTTTTTTTTTATTATTTTGGACCTTTTAAAAAAAATGATGCTCTTGCATGTTTGTGTGCATTCTTTATGCTTTTGACTTTCTGCTATTTTTATTATTTTGATAATTTGCTCACTCCCCTGGAACCCAGTAATCTCATAAAGGCATTTTTTACAAAATACATTATAAAAACACATGCTATGATGGTAGGTCAGATACATATGGGGGAATGCTTGCAACCTGCAGAGACCCCTTGCAGGTTGTAGTGTTTCTTTTGTGTGCCCAGATAACCTTGATGGTGTAGCCCAGGCAATTCAATCTCAATGGTAGTAGAAATGACTCTGCTGCGACAGTCATTTTGTCCCCTAAGTGCAGCACTTTATTTTTCCTCACATACGATTAAGTGGCAGAAAGTAAAAGAGTGCACTCATATGCCATAAGAGTTGCAGTTAAATTTATTGGATTACTCCATTATCTGGGACAGATAGGAGCTTTTGCGTCTTTTTAACTTAAGTTATATTCATCATTTTGACCCATGCAATTTAAAGTGAACCACTGAGAACCAAACCAGCTCATCTGCTTTGCCTTACACATTTTATCCTCAGTCTGTGTCTTTTTTATTGGTGAAATGCTGGAACATATCATATCAATATTTGTAGAGTGTACATCATCTCTTTTGGGGTCTGACAGATTTCAGGATGATTCCCCTCCCCAATATTAATATATGTATGCCACTTTTCAACATTGTATCTTTGTCATTTGATGGCTTTGTATGTTAGATTATCTCTAGGTGTAACATTGCACCCTTATATTATTTTTGTTTGTTTGTTTATCTTAACCTTCTATACTGCCTTTCACCTGAGAATCACAGGGCAGTTTACAATATGTTGTTGTTGTTCAGTCGTTTAGTCGTGTCCAACTCTTCGTGACCCCATGGACCAGAGCACGCCAGGCACTCCTGTCTTCCACTGCCTCCGGCAGTTTGGTCAAACTCATGCTGGTAGCTTCGAGAACACTATCCAACCATCTCTTCCTCTGTCGTCCCCTTCTCCTTGTGCCCTCAATCTTTCCCAACATCAGGGTCTTTTCCAGGGAGTCTTCTCTTCTCATGAGGTGGTCAAAGTATCCTCAGCTTCAGGATCTGTCCTTCCAGTGAGCACTCAGGGCTGATTTCCTTCAGAATGGAGAGGTTTGATCTTCTTGCAGTCCATGGGACACTCAAGAGTCTCCTCCAGCACCATGATTCAAAAGCATCAATTCTTCGGCAATCAGCCTTCTTTATGGTCCAGCTATCACTTCCATACATCACTACTGGGAAAACCATAGCTTTTACAATACGGACCTTTGTTGGCAGTTTACAATATAAAAACACAAAAATACATACGATAGTATCAAATAAAAACAATACGCCCACATTTACAAGGCCATAGATTGTTTAATTAGCCAAAGGCCTGGGGAATGTTTTTGCCCGGCACCTAAAGATATGTAATGAAGGCACCAGGCAAGCCTTCCTTGGGAGAGCATTCCACAAGCAGGGAGCCACCAAAGAAAAGGCCTGTTCTTGTGGTGCCACCCTCTGGACCTCTTTTGGAGCAGGCACACAAAGGGCAACTCTTTAGTAACTAATAACCAAGACATTCCTGGATGACAACCTATGTACATTGTGGTCTCAGAAGTAAGCATAATGTCACACACTTCATCGGGAGAAGGGTAATTAGGCTGAAACAGAGCAGCATTCATTGCTCCAGTATCCCAAGTCAGAAACATTGAAACTACTAGTCCAGCAAGTCAGTATTGTTGTTACCTGAAACACAAGCAGTTACCTATGGGCTGTCTGAGTAACACTGCTTGGGAAGAAGTTCTCTGGAGAGTTCTTGGTGGAAAACCAGAGATTTCAGAAGCCCTGCAAAGCTGAGCCATAAGGCTATGAAAACCGCAGGTATGGAGAACTGTAGAGGTGAAAATAGCTAGCTCTAAAGCATTCACCATACAATATCTGTTACAAATGCCTGCTTGGTGTAGTTGCAACAAGCAGGTGCATCTCTCCATCCTCTGGGAACATAAGGAGGCTAGCATTTATCAAGGCACCTGCTCCCTAGCAGCAGACTTTGCCAGAGCTTCTCAATGCCAGTGCTCTTAATACAGAGCAACAGGCCATGGAGCTGGGGAAATTCACCAGCTGGAGAATAATAGTTTGGTCCCCCAAAAATACATCTGTATCTGAAAAGCACATATGAGAAAGACCACAAGTTTGTAATGCTGAGATTGCCATGAAAGGGTTCACATATCAGTAGCTTGGTCATGTGTAAATTGTGTATTTTAAGTTGTGTTTCCACATAATTTTGTGTCTCGAAGGTTCAAAGAAACAGCAAGACTGTTTCTGTAGTGTGAGTACTGCAGGAATGACAGCCCTGTGGCCCTCCAGATGTTTTTTGACTCCACCATCCCTGACCATTCTCCCTGCTAGTTGGTGTTGATAGGGCTTGACAGATTTCCTGTCCCTGGACTAGTGGTGTTGAGGAAACCCAATGCCACCCAGTATGGGCAAAGCACACGTAGTGGCCAACTGTTGGGTTGTGGGGCAGAAAACCAGGTGAAGGGGGAATGGAATTAAGTATTCAAGAGGGCAGTGGAAATGAATACAGTACCCACTTGCAAATACAAATAGCAAACTCAGTTCTTTGAGAGCCAATCCTTATGCAGCCAAAACAGTACCACCAATGCACAAGAGAGAGGTATCTGTAGGCTTGGGGAACCCTTAAGGTTTGTAGAAGTACACATTTATTTAGATCCCTCCCTAACCCCCCAAAGATAGAAAAAACCTGAAAAAATCCAATGGAGACTGAGCATGCTCATTGGCCATGGAATGATGTCCATTGAGGTGAGGCATGGAATAGAATAGAGTGTCGTGGAAGACAGGATGGCCAGCCGACTAGAACATTCTTAATTGGAGCATCCTACGCTGTAGTTTTGTCGCAGTTCACACTTCTTTATTTTGAATATTTGTAGGCAGCTTTTCCAGTGGAGTATCCATTTGAAGTATAGCATGTATGCTCACTGACTCAAAAGTTTGGCGCCTCATTTAAGGATGGGGGAAACCCACGCTTTTTTATAAGTTGAAAAATTGTTCCAGGAAAGTGTGAATGTGTATTGTGTGTGTGTGTTGTAACCTCACAAGAGTCGGGCAGTCAGCACCTTGCATGGCTGGCTTTCGTTGCGAAAATGAAGGTCAAGTCCAAAGAGAAGACAGTCTGTCTTCCACTTTGTAATATGGTGAGCACATTTACCAGAAGGCTCATTACCTTAGTTATATATGTCTGATTTATCTCTATGTGATAAATGTTCTTTTGATCAAGACACAGTTGTGGCCCATTACTTGAGGCTGCAGTCATCTAATAGTGAATATCTAAGTTATCTCTGGGGGGAAATTGGCACAACTCCAAGAGCAATTCAAAACACTGTTCCTATATGTTTACATAAATTATATATGTTTGTATGCATATGTGTAACTTCCTTAAAAACTCAGATAACCTAGTCACTGGTATCCTGTTCCCAAATATATTTATTTGGAAGTTCCTGTTGTTTTAATTGAAAGATTCCATTAATAATATAGGATCTGTTGCACTTCTAGTAACCTTTATATTATAGCCTTACCTATTCATTGAGTGAATGATGAAGTGACAAGAATTTTATTTCTGTGCAAACTATAAGAGATGGATAGGCCGTGATTCAAATTTCATGCCCTCTTTTCCTTTGCCGATTTAAAATAAATGTGATGAGGTTTCAGCCAATTCCCTTGAGCAGACTTCTCTGTAATTTGATAAAACACTCCAGCAGAATATAGTCAGAGAGCTAACATTTTGTAGAGTTATCTGAAATGAAATCTTTGCACATTTGATTTGGCATTAACAACTTGCTAAAGAACAATGCTTGGGGGGTCGGTCTCTGTGTGTCCCTGCATGTGTTTTGCTGATGCAGTGGAGAATAAATTCTGATGGATTTATGTTCAATAAGGCTGGTTTCATAATGAAATATCTAACTTTAAAATATATCTTTTCAAAAACAATATTTTTTAAATGTTGAAATTGTATGAATAAAAAAGAAGAAGACTGGTTTCTTTACATTTTTTTTCTTAGCATATGGCATAGAAATATGGTCAGTGGCACCTGCAAACACTTTTGCAAGGCAGTTTATACAGTCATACCTTGGGTTGAAGTAGCTTCGGGATGAATATTTTCGGGTTGAGCTCCGCGGCAACCCGGAAGTAACGGAGCGCGTTACTTCCGGGTTTCACCGCTCGCGCATGTGCAGACACTCAAAATGACGTCACGAGCATGTCTTACGTTTACTTCAGGATGTGAACGGGGCTCCGGAACAGATCCCGTTCGTATCCAGAGTTCGTATCCACTATACTCCAGACTATCAGCTGATTGCCAGGCCTTCGGAGCACAGTGCA